AATGCCACTTCGAGGGAAGACCCCTTCGGTCTCGCTGGAGGAAGTCGAAGATGAGGAAGCCCACTTACGGTCCGACATACCAGTAGTGACTCCCAAGAGACCGACGTCTCCCGCTGTGTCCCTCACCGCGAACGCCAACGACAAGAAGGTGTTCGCGGCCATGTATTACGAGCCGCATGGAATCCTATGGACCCGTCGGGCCCTACGAATTGCACGAGGGGATGCGGCGGCGCGCGCCGTCCTCAACGGATGGGTGCACCCGCGACGACGAGAGGAGGTAAATGATCAGTTATGCCATCAGCTGGAGGAACAGACCGAGACGGCCGCTCAAGCTAGGGAAAAGTGGCAGTGGATGGAGGACTTACAGAAGCCGCCCATGTACATACGAGGAAGAAAGGGGCGTAATGTCTCAATAAAGGTGCAATTAGAGACTCTGGACACGAGGGAGACCCACGCCGTAAGCGCCCTGGTCGACAGCGGGGCCACCGGAAGCTCAATTGACCGGACCTGGGCCCAAGCCCATGACCTTAACCTGAAGAAGGCGGCCCGACCCGTTCCGGTTTACAATGCCGACGGCACCCGCAACAAAGGAGGGGATATCACCGAGTATGCCGAAGTACGACTACGCATAGGGGACCACGTGGAGCGGATCGAACTAGCCGTAGTCGACCTAGGCTCCACTCCCCTATTCCTGGGACACGACTGGTTACAACGTCATAATCCCCTGATTGACTGGGACACCGGGGCGGTGACCCTAGCCCGATGCACGTGCAGGAAAATCCCATTTTCCCTCCCCGACACCGACCCCCTCAGCACGGTGGGACGAGTACGAGGAGGGAGATACCATTCTCGTCATCGACTTCGAAGAAGCCTTCCATGTGCGAGCCATGGGGACTCGGGCTAACGAACTAGCCGCCCAAGCTCACGCCAAGAAAACCGCCAAGTCGTTCGAAGAAATAGTCCCGGAGGAGTACCGAGAGTTCAAAGACATTTTCGATAAAGAAAACTTCGATGAACTACCACCTCGTAAACCCTGGGATCACGCCATCGAGCTGATTCCCAACGCCAACGCTAATTTAGACTGCAAGGTCTATCCTCTTAACCAGGCGGAGCAGGAAGAGCTAGACAGGTTCTTAGACGAGAACCTGTCCACCGGTCGAATTCAACCTTCGAAGTCCCCCATGGCCTCACCATTCTTTTTCGTTAAGAAAAAGGATGGCAAGTTACGCCCCGTCCAGGACTATCGAAAGTTAAACGAGATGACCATCAAAAACCGATATCCGTTACCGCTTATCGGGGAATTGATGGATCGGCTGAAGAAGGCTAAGTACTTCACCAAGTTGGACGTGCGTTGGGGCTATAACAACGTGAGAATTAAACAAGGGGATGAATGGAAAGCCGCATTCCGAACCAACCGTGGACTCTATGAGCCCTTGGTAATGTTCTTCGGGCTGACCAATTCTCCGGCCACGTTCCAATGGATGATGAACGATATCTTCAAGGATCTCATCGCGGCCGGAGAAGTATCGGTTTACCTAGACGATATTCTCATTGCTTCAAAAACCAAGGCGGAGCATCGCCGGATCGTGCGCAAGGTGCTGCAGATCCTTCGCGAAAACAAGTTGTTTCTTAAAGCAGAGAAGTGCGAGTTTGAGGTGGAGGAAACCGAGTACCTGGGGGTGATCATCAGCGAGGGGAAGATCCGGATGGACCCGGTCAAGATTGCGGGACTGCTCGATTGGCCGGTCCCTCGAAGGAAACAAGAACTACAGTCCTTCCTAGGATTCTGTAATTTCTACCGGCGCTTCATCCGCGACTACAGCAAACACGTGAGGCCCTTAACCTCCTTGACGGGGAAGCAGGAATGGCAGTGGGGGGAGGCCCAACAAAAAGCATTCGAAAAGCTCAAAGAGCTATTCCGCGAGGACGTGGTCCTCGCCATTCCCCTGGACGAAGGGAGGTTCCGAGTAGAAGCCGACTCGAGCGAAGGGGCGATAGGAGCAGTACTTTCTCAATGGCAGGACGAGAAGTGGAGACCAGTTGCTTTTCTCTCCAAAGCCCTCTCAGTCACGGAGCGCAACTATGAAATTTACGACAAGGAACTGTTGGCCATAATGATCGCTCTCGAAGAATGGCGCCAGTACCTCATGGGGGCGAGAGAAGATTTCGAAATCTGGACCGATCATTCCAACCTCCAGTATTTCCGTAAACCACAGAAACTCAACCGACGACAAGCCCGGTGGGTTACTGAGTTAGCGGAATATCAGTTCAGTCTACATCATAAACCGGGGGCTCAAAATCGCAAGGCGGACCTTCTATCCCGAAGGGCGGATCACGACCAGGGGAAGGAGGATAACCGAGATGTGGTAGTACTCAAAGCGGAGCATTTTAGAGCCCTCATCATGCCTACGGCCGAGGACTTGAACGAGCGAATCAAGGCGGCGACCCACGATCCTCGTCGCTGGGACAGAGGGATCTCTAACTCATTAAATCACGAGAAGGGAGTCTCTCGCGACCAAGACCTACTATGGTACGACGGACGAATCTATGTACCGGTAGATCGCGACCTCCGAGGTCAAATCATAGCCCTCAAACACGACCATGCCACGGCCGGGCATCCAGGCATTGACAAGACCAAGGAGTTAGTACTCCGGGACTATTGGTGGCCGAGATTGCGACGAGACGTGGAGGCATACGTAAAAGGATGCGACGTTTGCCAACGAACCAAAGCAGACCGTCGCCCCAAGAAGGCCCCACTACATCCTAACGAGGTCCCGGTTCGCCCTTGGACCCACCTTTCCGTGGATATGATCACCAAACTACCCAATTCCAAGGGGTTTGACTCTATCCTGGTGATTGTCGACCGTTTCTCCAAAACCATCATTCCCATCGCCTGCACAGAGGAACTCACCTCTCTTGGCTTCGCCAAGATTCTGAGAGACCGCGTGTATGTACCCTACGGGGTGATGCCAGAAAAGGTTATCTCGGACCGAGGCTCGGTCTTCGTCTCCAAATTCATGAAAGAATTCTACGCTCTCATTAACGTCGAAGGGAATCCCTCCACAGCGTACCACCCACAGACGGACGGGCAGACAGAGAGGGTAAACCAAGAAATCGAAAAATACCTCAAGATGTTCGTCAACGATAGACAAGACGATTGGAGTGAATGGTTGCCCTTAGCAGCCTTCACCCACAATAATCGCCAGCACTCGTCCACCGGGTATTCTCCGTACAAGGTAGTCTTTGGAAGAGATGGACAGGTTATCACCGCGTCACGAAAGCCAACAGTGGTTCCAGCCGCGACAAAGCTGGTAGCAGAGATCGAGAAAGCCCAAAAAGAAACGAAGACGTCCTTGGAGAAAGCGGCCGAATCAATGAAAAAGGCCTACGATAAACACAAGGAGCAAGCGGTGGAGTATCAGCCGGGAGACAAGGTGTGGTTAGACACCACCAACTTAAACCTCCCTCGACCCACCAAAAAACTCGGAGATCGTCGCGTTGGACCCTTTATCATCATTGCCAAAAAGGGAGCCTCCGCTTACGAGTTAAAACTACCAGTTAAATGGAGGATTCATAATCGCTTCAATGAATCCCTCCTGACGCCTTACGTGGCCCCCGCATTTCCCAATCAACCCCGTCCGGAGCGACCCCCTCCAGAGTTAATAGACGACGAGGAGGAATACGAGATAGAAGAAATTGTGGAACAGCGGGACAAGATTACCGGTCGAGGGCGTAACCGTCGTGCGATAACAGAATACCTAGTAAAGTGGAGAGGATACCCGAGGGAAGAAAACTCATGGGTCAAACGTTCCGATATGGCCAACGCGGAGGAGCTGGTGAACGACTATGAGGCACGCCTTCAACGGATTTATTGGGAGGTCAACAAACACGGACGGACAGTGGGGAGAGACGACAAAATCCCTCCGGAAGCTAAGACACCATACCACGACCCGGACACTCCGTGCGTCACGGACGTGGAAACCGTTTATTCCTCCGAATGCACGAACCCAAGGCATTCGGATGTGCAATCTGCAGTAGAGATGCGAGAAGTAACGGCAGAAGAAGCGGATGGGGTACCCATAGTGGAAGAAACTTCAACAGATAACGACTCCGATGTAGATTTCCTACAACGAGTCACGGAGAATTGGGACAAGAACGAAGATGATGACAACGATGATGATGAAGAAGAGGAGGAGTGGTCGTTTTACTCCGAATCACGACCTTCCTCATCGCAAAACGATTCGAGTGACTCCTCCATATCGGAGGAGTCCTAAATCATTACCTATGGTGTAGAAGGGGATTTCCACCGCTTACTTATAAGCATTGAACCCTTAGGGATCGCGGATCCCGACAGACAGTCGAGGCCTAACCGGCGCAAAGAGGCTTGGGATTTATAGGAACCTAAGTCCAGGGGGAGAGAGGGTCAGAGGCCGAACACACCGGGTGGCTTTTTATGGTGTAGCGGAGGTCCAATCGATCCTGTTTTAAAGCAGAAGTGAGCCCCTCGACTCGACGATGTGGAAGGGAGGAGATATTCTCATTCGGGACGAATGAGTCTTAAGGAGGGGGTAATGTTACGATTATTCTTTTCTTTTTCCTTTCTTTTCTTTTCTTACGTGTTCACGCTTACTCTATGTTGCGATCTCGGTCGGACGTTGCTGCGGCACTATCTTTAGCCTACGCAACGTGTATTTAAGTAGAGCCTCAGCTGGTCTAAACCCCAGCTTCGGCTAAGGTTTATTCTACCTAACATCGAAACTCCGTTCTTCTGACTAAGTGCTCCATCGACTTGCGTCGTCTTTGACTTGCTGAGTGTCGTCTACCGAAGTGCGAGTAGCGACCTTAGTACGATCTAAGTCGATTAGAGTTAGTGGCTAACAATCCTTTAGAGGGCGGAGAATCCCCTGCCATTCATACCGGTTTAACTTTACGGACATCGACGCCAATGCCATGTAGATTCGTTGGTATCTTGAAATGTCAGCAGCAATCTTGTCTTCTACTCAGTGAAATAAGGTATTTGCTTTAGTGCCATAGCGCTGTCCTCGGGAAAAGCATTGTCGCCACGCCGTGAGATAAGATTTTAGAAGAAGATGATCATGTAGCACAGCCAAGGCATCATTAGCCTGAGCAAGATGGAGACACCACTCATCGTCGACGATAGTGCTCTGGGTCAATGCATCAATAGCATTGAGCCTGAGGGCGGTAGAAGGGAGATAGAGAGGAATCTTTGAAGGCCACACAGCAGCTCCAACCATGCGGCAATCGTCATCCCGTGCATGTAGAAGTGTGGTCCTAGGCATGCATACCTTCTGCACATCAATCCATGCTTCAATTTTGCGGCTGATACGGTTCTCCTGGGCTTGAACTTTGGTGCGTTGTAGATCTGTTGAATGTAGACCAAGGGCGTCGATATCATATTGCAGTCGCACCCTGTCAAAATTGTCAGGGACGGCATCCCATCAGATGATACGGAAACATACTGGGCCTCTTCTAGCTGTAATCCTTGTGCAATTAACTCACTGGGGCTAACATCATGCCGAATTTCTACAGCAGAAACATTCTTTTCTTCTCTTGCGAGCTCCAGATGCACGGCATTTTCAGTCACAGCTAAATGGTACAAGTGAGAATCAGATATTGATGATGATGCAGGCAGACTTACAGCGCAAAGTCGGTGCAAAGGGATTCTGCTGTGTTCGATCGGCTTCCCATAAAAGGACCATTTGTCTCCATGAGTCGACAGATTCTGAATGCTCGACCCGCAAAGCATCCTCGTATCCTATAAACTCTTCAACATGCTCGATATGAGCTTTGACCGCCTCCTTCAGCCGATCACAAAGAGTATCCGCTGAAAACCAAAGGTTAGCTGATTCCGTTTGTTAAAAGAATTACATACCTAGAATGATGATCTTTCTCCAGTTGTAATCTCCAAAATGGTCATCCAAAGTGTCTCGATGAGCACCTGGACCCATCTCTTTGGTACTTGCTGCTAAAGCATTGGTAGCAGCCCAACCGCGCTCAGGAGCCTCGCCATCGGTGCGACCAACTCCGGCGGAGAAATTGAAGGAAAAATTGTCATGGCATTTCAAAACATGGGCTGGCAGATGGAATTTTGGCACAAGGTAAAGGATATTCCGCTCTGATTGCATCGGTCATAGTGATTCAGGATACTGGGAAATTCAAGTGAAAAACTTCTTATGCCATTGACATGCAATGTCGTATGATATCACCAACTCAGGAGGCGTGTCGTCTGATAAGGTTGATAAAACGAAGTAGTCCATATTGAGATATCTGATAATATGTTCAGAATTGAACATAATTTCTCATAAAATCCATACCTTTCGCCTTTCTGGAGGTCTCCGACTGACATAGGACGTTTCATATCATGTCGTCCGCAGACAACAGCACCAACCTCTGTTGCTGCGGCACCGTGTCCACCTCTACTATTTGCAAGCTTGACGGCATTGTGATTGTTACACGTACTCTTTTCTTCCTCAGGAATGGCCTTTCCGAATGTATCAAGGTGACTATGAAAAGCGGTTTCTTCAACGAAGTAAGCATATCCGAGATTGAGGCCCGGGTCAGATTCGTTGCTAGAGACGTTCAGTCGATGGAGCCGGAAATTTGCATCTATAGCCAAAAACAAGCGGTACAACCAGCGAGGAGCTCTTGGGGAAAAGTCAGGACCTAGGAACTACAAGCAAACTTGTAATGAGACGTACAGATTCTTGTTCCAATCTGGAGGTAAGTTGATGCTTGGTTGAGGGCATGCAGGACAACGAAGAGCGAGTTCACCCTGTTTAGTGCCTTGTATACCACTCGATTCGTGCCCACGCCCAAATCGTTTCAAAGCACGAATGTGCCGCCACTCTCGCATGACTCGAAGAAAAGCCTGGTAGCGGTCCTGACTCCTATAAGCAGCTTTGCATGTGGTATGAAGAAGCCTTACTGGAGGTGTGTACATCCCAGAGTTATCGGTCAAGCGAACCAATGTGTGATAAAACTCGTATGCGGATACCTTTGACATGAATGAAAGAAGTTGAAAGAAGTGAAGCACACAAAACGTGAAAGCGGTATGTGGGTATATCGTTGTCACGGGAAACAGCCATCGATGAAGTAGCTGAATGTGCTGTAAGATCCCTTGGGTACAATTGCAAAACGCCATGTTAACCATGTGGATGCCATCTATGTCAACAACAACAAAATCTGGAATGATTGCGGGAAAGAGGCACGATGTCCCGTGTTTATGGCCCAGTTCAAAGTTAAGCCTGAGTTGGGCAAGCGTCGTTCTTCAGAAAAATGAAGAACGCCACTCCTACCACATCTCGTCAAAATCATTAGATACATTGATCCTTATTGACACACCTCGATTCTATGCAGGGGCAAGCCTTTGTGCCCAGCAACTATGCAAGTGTGACAAAGGCGCCGAGTATCGACACAGGAGAGACAGCGAAATAGGCCTAAGTCGGTCTTGCAAGCGTCGCATGCATCATTGTCCTCCGTTTCAAACGCGTCGAGTTTCAAGATCTCGTCGAGGTACTCTGAGCGTAGCTGAGACCAGACGAGGAGTGGATGATCCTGGTGAGTAACATTAGTTAGACTTCGTGACACTGGTAAATATTAGACCTATGCCAAGCAGCCTGGAAGCACGAGTGGCACTCCCTTCCTCTTCACCATCCTGAACCTCGGCAGACGGAGCATAATCGGGATCTAAAAACGATCCTGAAGACAACTCTGCGATAGATGGGTACAGATCCTTATCCATTACAGGGTACTGAGATTCAAGAGCAGGAAGCGTCAAAGTTCTATGATGCGTACTGGAGCAAACTCGTACACCATCCTGTCCTTCCTTCGTCTCTGTGCTGAAATGAGTGTGTCGATAATGCTCAACAGCAGGAGCAGGGGGCTGACGCTCAGTGCCATCACTGACAACCAAGTTTCGTGCAGGGGCATGCTTTCCGTGCTTCTTGGGATTGTAGTTCCACATATTCCGTGAGAGGGAGAGAAGGAGATGGGTACCAATGTCACGTCATTTGGGTTAAATATTACTTCATCCTAACAGAGACTACGAAAAAGAGAGACGTTGTTATTTCGATGAAACATGTGAAATAGTGGTCCTTGTGGAACTGCGAGTGCTCCACGAGTGACAGTATATACAAAACACTTCGGAGTTGAGACAAGGCTCGTTTTGGACAATCAAAGGCTTTGGTAAATAACACGACGACCGCGTGAGCTAACTATCATCAGGATGCCTTTTTGGCTTCGGTACTCGATCACTTCGCCTCATACTGGATAGCTGTGTCTTGGAGGCTATATTCTCTACACGTAAGGAGAGCAGTGCTTGTCCTGCTTGCTTCCTGCAACCCTCAGCATAGAAGGGATCCCACAACGCGAGCATCTGAATAATCTTGAGAAGGTCCTAGGGTGAATACGGTGAGTCTATTGATTTGCGCCATGACAGAAGAACTTACTCTTTGGCGACAATGGTTCCAATGGCAAATCCCCGCAGCATCATTCAGGTCAGGAGCCTGCATTTCCAAGTACCAACGGTTTATCCAAAGTACCCATATGCGAGTTTGAAACTGTGCGAAGAGTCTCGGATTCTCCTTCGCAACAGCTTTCACCCTACGATATTCAGGCAAATAAGGCCTCAAAAAATCCCTTTTCTCCTGAGAGCGAAGCATATCTAATAACCGACATAAGAGACCTTACCATCTTATAGCCGAAGGTACCCACCTGTTCTGCCGACAATGATATCCTGTGAGTGATAGCATTTTCATTTCTTCTCTCGAGCTTATAAGGATTTTAGACTTGCGACAAAGTACAAAGTCTTGATTAGACTGTATACAGTCTCGAAACTTTGCAAAGTGAAACGAGCCCAAATTACATGACAGCTGTCAGTCACCTGTTGCCTTTTATGACACAGTACAAACTTTCGAGCTGACTTTGTACAGTCCCGTAACGCGGTTCCTTCCTTCCATGACAAAGTACAAATTCCTCAGTTGACTCTGTACAGTCTCGTAAGGCTGATCCCTTTTTTCTATGACAGTGCGCAAATTCTGCGGCCTCAAGTGATCCCCTGCTCCAAAGTAGTCCCTCGTGCCAGCTGTCACTTGGTATTCGCACCTCCGTTTTTTCAGCCCCCCCCTCATTCCAGCTATTACCATGGTTTCACGGCGTGTCTTTCAAACGGAGGAGGAACGCCGAGCAGCTCACAATGCTAGTAGTCGATGAAGTTATCAGAAGTAAATATAGTTATATGAGCTCTGAGCCATAAACTGAAGCTCTCTTTCCAGGCATCGTCATGCCATCAGTCAGTGTCAATGCGAGACATATCAAGCTGCTGAAAAGCCTAACAATCGAGTACAAAGGTATGTGAGATGATAACTCTTTTGATCGGGTTCTTACTCGTATGCTTCTAGCTGTTTGGAACCTTTGATTTGGCGGGTGGCACGACATACTGATATCAAGGTCAACTCGGGAGAAATGCATATACAGTATGTCTCTTGAACGTGTTCTTACTAGAGCTTAATGACTGATTTTGACTTCAGATGCAGTTCAGATCTAGCAGAAGCACTCGACCAACTAGAATGGCTATGGCAGCGGTTCAACTTGCTCACAGGAAACGATCCATGCCACTTTGTTGACAAGATCTACCATGCGTACATTGATACTATCGGTCCTACACGATTCAGGGGACGCCGACGTGTGATCGAGAATGTTCTCGCTCGACTTTCCCACTTCGAGAAGTTGGGATATGAATATGAGCATGTTGTTCTGAATAGCGCAGGAGTAGGAAAAGATATGGAGCGGGTGCAGTGCATGTTGAGGCCCATTCATCAATTAATATTTTGGCTCGAAGACTTGTTATGCGAAGTGATGAATAGTCCGGAGGATTTACAAGCGAGGTACACTAACAAAGAAATATCCTTTTGTAGTGATGATAATTAACTAATAGTATCTCTTTGCCACGCTAATCGTTTCACATTGTATGTACGCAGTAAGCTCCCTGGACCATCGATCGCGCAATGCCAAAAATCTTCCACCCACTCAACGACCTTGTTGATAGGACCACCTGCTTGTACCAGTGAATTATGCCTCGCACTCAAACCTTCGGCTTCAAGAGATTGATCTTGAATCTTCGTATAGGTGTCCCGGAGCTCATACAGGTCTTGCAATGGATCTACAAAGACACTGATTTGTCCCTGGCGTTTTGAGTTTGACTTGAAGTAAGCTCTCAAGAGCGACTCCGCATATTCACCAATAGACGTGCCCTGAATGAAGGAATTGAATTTGTCTTGAAGGGCTTTTGCCTCTGCGCTCAGTTTGGGGAATATGTTGGTGGACGGTATAGGTGGTATGGGAGGGGCATTGTTAAACAAAGGCAAGGTTTTAGCTTGACGTGTTAGGTATTTTCTCCTGCATGTGCACCGTTAATATATTTCCCAAGGATTGAGTCAATACGGTGTCCCCCTACCTTGTTTGAATTTCAAGTGCATTAGTCTTTCCAACTCTAGTAATGTGTTTGACATTCACGACAGTAGGCTCTTTGCTAGAGTAGTCAGAAGGTGAGAATGAACACTGGGGTGCTGGGTCTTGCAAAGCTCTGGCGTCGTAGGCAGCTTTGCGTCGGAGTCGGATCTGGAGCCTGTTTCTCAATAATTGTATCGCATATTAGTTGAGTTTTCATGGCAGAAGGGTCAATACATACCTTTCATAGTAGCGTTTGCTTTTCTCGCACACTGAATGACGCTTTGATTCAGTTGTGTGATATTTTTTGGGTGGTGCCATGCAAGAAGGAGAGAGAGTGGGGGTCGGTGACAGTATACTATAACGCATTCTTACCGCTTTCACTCTTTTGTCTGACAGTCTCACCGTATCATATACTGGCTTTGTATCTCTTCCTCTCAGTTCTAAACGACCCTCAAGGTACCATGGATGTATTAAAGAAGGTTCAGTCCTTCTACTGAAATATATTGTCTGTAGAATATACCTTTGGTGCGTCTATAATAGAACTCTCCCCCACGGTATTCAAATGAGTGTTATAGCATAAGAGCGACTAGGAAATGTCAACCAATTGTTCGCTATAGAAAACATTCTCATTATCTACAGCCTGTGTTAGTATTTTCGTGGTAGTAAATTCATTATTGCTAGTTGTCTCACCGAAACTTCACCTTCTCCTGTCGTCCAGTTGAAAAATTTCCCATGGAAATCGCATATATAAGGGCCTGCATTCCCAGTAAAACACACTTTTTCACTACCTTTTGCCTTCTATTTGGTGTGAACCACTTCTCGCTTTTCCGGTATCTCTACTGACTTGTATGGCAGAGTCAATGCATGACCTAATAGACTGTGGCACGGCAGTGGGTTTCTTCATCTATAACATGAGAACCTGCTCATCGATTGTAGTATCATCGTACGCACCTTGACCTTCCCAAACAACGGTTGCTCGAGCGATACCGTTTGTCTTATTTCGATGCAATACATGATGGTCGTTCCGAGCTGTGGTGGCAAGGGTTCATAGAAATCTACACTGAAGAACATCCCTGCACCGTGCTGGATCGACGCTTTACTTCGCAGGCCTGCTACGAAGAGAGCGTTCGCTTGTTGCGAGAGGTACGTATCTTCCAGCCCAGGTTGTTAAGAGAGGCTAATGGCAAAGGCAGGTATTAGAACAGTGGATGGATGTGCATGGAGGGAGGATTGCCAAGCTTACTGCTTACTATAGCACTAATGGCCAGGACACCAAACATGGCTCCAATACCTCTTGCCCCGCAGATGTCCTAGAGATGAAGAGTTCAGTTCATAACGAGAGAGAAGATCCTCAGAGCGATGATATTCAGCATGCTACCACTGGTCGCATTCTACAGTGGAGGGCCGGGGTTGCTGAGGCGTACGACACAGGACATATGATGGGTCTGATAGATAGAAAACCTTAGTTGCTGTATGCGCCAAGTGAGGGGAGAATAGGACCAGTGCTGACTTCTATAACAATTCGTATTTTCAAAATACTTTCCCAGTGACTATAGCATACGTGGTAGAATAGCTCCTCATACATACCATCAACCCCCAAGATACAGCAGATGGAATTAGTACCTGTACAATATGAGACTTTACAAAGTCAGCGTGTACAAAGTGACATAAAGGAAGCTCGCCAGTACGAGAATGTACAGAGTGTAGTTAATGCGCGTGGCATTGGTACGTATTTTCAAGTGACAGACACAGCCTAGCTAGGAGAAGGATCTAAGACAATCAGCATCCTGACCCATTGCAGGAGCAAGGTCCATGTACCGCTTTCCCATATATACTACGTTCCGATTTGCCTTGAGGGTAAGAACTTTCGCCCAATAACACAGACACCCAATCCTTGGATGCTCGTTAGGTCCATGAAATCCTTGGTGACAGCATTCTGTTCCTCTCTTCGAGAGCTGTGGGGAATGGCGCAATGAGCACAAGATCAAGGCATGCGAGAAAGAAATACTTAATAAAGAGATAAGTCTTTTATGGGCTATAAACAGCGGCGTCAGCTTTTAAACGAAAGGGGCGAAAATTTCTGAACAGAACTTCTCAGCGCTAAAGGTGGAACTTGGGCAACTTCGTGTCACGCTAAGCTAAGGGCGCATAATGATAATAGCGGTGGGCTTGCAGGTACCATTTTTTAAACTCCGATAACGTGCCGAACATCGACTGAAGACCACGAATTTCCTAAAGCTGCTGCAAATAAAATAAAAGTTAGATATATTATTCCTTCCAGACTGATAGACGTGCATCAAAAACTGGTGATCACATGGTATTTTTTTGGCCAACTGCTATCATATTCATATCAAGCATGTACAGATGACAATAAATAAAACAGTAAATGAGCAGATCTTTAATGAGTGTGTGGATAGATGAGATCGAAAAGAGATAGGTAAATGAGTGGACACTGTTGTATGTATGAATCAGTGGTATGTAAGGAAATAGGCACTACTCCCGATGATGATTGACATGAGGAACACAACAGTAAAAGACCAAGAGATATCAAGGATGGGCGGCGATTTGGAATTAGAGAATTTCCACGGCGCCGGTGGCAAGTGCCTCATCAAATGCGGCCTGGGCCGCAGCATGAGTTCCACAATGAAAAAAACAGGCTCTTCCGACGCCGGTCACCAAAGTGCTCACATTCTGCCTGCAAGAAGTTCAATAGAGGCTTGATGTTAAGGAAGAAGCAACGTACCAACCACGGAAGATGCCAACGGAACGGCCTTTCGAGATGATGTACCATGGCCCATCAGGACCCATCGTGACAGCTATGGATGCTGACTGAGGTGGACCAGGAGCAGGAGCGGCGGGAGCAGGGACGACGGGAGCAGGAGCAGGAGCGTGGACGACGGGAGTGGGAGCGACAGGAGCAGGATTGACGGGAGCAGCAGGATTGGACAAATGAGCTGCCAATGCAGGAGCTGCAGCGTGAGTGCGAATGTGAGGTAAAGGTGCGGTCATGATAGGGGCACTCGGCACTTGGGCAGAGGCAGGCAGGACCGGGCGACCTCCAGACCTCGAGCTTGGAAACAGGATACCCATCATCGATGGGACTGCTGAAACAGGGACGATGTTAGGAAAGGCGCAGTTGCTGCAGTGAACAGTGAGTAGTGGGCCTGCCCCCGCTGCATCTGCAGAAGCGTGAGGATGCGAGGCGGGTTCGACGGCAGCTGTACAGAAAGTTAGTAAGGAGCCGATCTAAGACTAGACGAACTTACCATCTGTAATCGGAACAGATATGCTGAGTGCCGAGAGAGCTGCGGCGAGTTGCTCGAGAGAAAATTGGGTCATTGTTTTGTTGGGTGTGAGTGGGTGATTTGAAAGAGAAGAACTGGGTGACTAACATCGGGTTAGTTTGAGAGCTTTTATATGACCAAGGGTAGGGGACTTTACAAAGTTGAGAAAGCCACTTTGTAAATTCTCGTTGACAGGTCATACGCGACTTTGTACATTGTCGTGGTATCATGACTTTGTACATTCTCGTGTTTTTGACACTCTGTACGTCGCCATGTCATTGACACTTTGTACATCGCCATGTGCCCAGTGTTCACACTGATTATGCAAAATGGAATTATGCGCCTGTATTTTTTTCACTTCGAAACCTATTCCCGCCGTCATACAAGTTCACATCACACAAAAACTGACTCACTGTACGTGAAAGCGATAACTCTAGAAACAAAACTGATGTTAACGATACAGATTCCTTACGATGGCAAGACAAACGAAGAAATCCAAGCCGGAAGGCGTGCGATACACTCGAGTTTCTATCCCTGACATACCAAAATGGGATGCGAAAGCGAATCGCGATCTTCCTGACGACCTGTACTACGGCGGTGGTACGTGAATATTGCCTTCATTTTGAGAATGAAAGCTGAAGATCCCCCGTTGTAGGGAGTGAATTTTCTTTCCGTAACCCAGTATGGATAAACGACGTAGGGCACGGAGCTTGGGACGACGAAGGACCGGGCCCAGACGAGAAAAATTTAGCCAGTAGGTGGACTTGCTGGCCTATGACCCAATATCTCCGGCACCGTCGACTGGCTCGTTTAGCAGCTTCGGAGGCAGGAGAGGTGCAAAAGTTCTTGGGAATGGTCGCGAACCACTCTATGCACTGTTGGCCGCCAGTGTGGGAATTAATGTTTATAGACTACAAGGGACACTCCAGAAAGTTAGCTCTTCAACTTATCGGCGTCAAGGATTCTCCCAAAGGCATGCCTTTTCCAAGAATGGATAAAGGGTTTCTCGATCTTGGCCCAGATTTAGCTCTCGACGGGTGTGAGCTGGTCATTCTTACGCAGGAAATGAGGGATACATTCAGCCAGGTACTGGAGCAAAGGCGTATTGTGAGTTTCCAACAGTCCCCATTCCATTGCGATCTAAACACTGTATATTAGCGAGTGAAACAATGGTTTCCCAATAACAAAAGGGAACTGACTGGCGGCAAGGGCCTCAAAGCTATACTGAAAACGGACATTGAGAAGACGCGCCTTCCCCAGGCGAAGCACGTCTACTCACGTATGCTCTACGCTAAACGGGGTCTCCGTGAAAAAGTCGTAGCTGAAGCGGCAAGAACTGGAGAGCCTCCCAATAGTATCGCCGTTATCTCTCGGATGACTAATGCAGAGTGGAAGAAGGAGACACCGGAGGTCAGGGCTGAGGTCATGAGCATACAGTCAGAGCAGAAGAAGCAGGTTGTGGCAGTGAAAGCTCATCGCTACGACGACATTGCTTTTGCTACTCAGCAGAAAAAACAGTAAGTTATTGTATTCATGTTGACAATATGATTCTTACTACGGTATAGGGCGATCGAAAGATTGGGGGGGGGAGTTTAAGAAAATGTTCAGACTGTTTGAGGCCGTAACGGGTTGGGGATTCGTCGTTGTTGGTGCTGGAATTGACTCCGGTAGTGAAAATCTGAGAAGCTGCAGGTGAGTCCACAGCATAGTTGACAAGATACAGGCCTGATTATAGCACAGCTGGGAGTATGGGACGGGTCTTGCATCTGGTAAAGAGTTCTTTGACAGTTTCGACAGAGACGCAGCTGCAGGCCTGGTACCGGGAGGTTTGGTGGGGGACAAATGCCAAGCTGACACATACTACAGCGGCCCTCTGCTCGCTCATATGCGAAATACGGAACATACGTCGTACTTTACTTGATTCCACTGTTTCCAAGTTCTGATCGTGGGTGTATACAGGAGTGAAAGTGCAGCAACAGAAGCCTCAGGAACCCGTGGCATCGTCATCATCTATGGATGTTGATCTTGTAGCACATGATGTTCCAAAAGTGGCACCAGGCAATAACAATTCAAATTTGCCTCCTGTGAACAATCTCCTGCCTGACGAGTCCCTTCCTGGTGAGCCCCCTCAGGAAACATCATCTTTGGATACCGTGGATGAGCCCTTGCCCGACGAGCCCCTTCCTAATGAGCCTCCTCAGGGAACGTCATCTGCAGATGAGCCCCTTCCCCTTCTCTCATCAAATCGAACCCCAGACTTGCCTGTTCCATCAGGTTCTGAGATGGACGTAGACTCGCTCCTTGCCGCTTGGAATAGCGGCCAATTATCTATGCCTAACGCGAATTCCATGTACTGTCAATCCTCTCAAAACAATTCGGTATCCCAAAACAATGCCCTGTTCTTTCAATCCCCTCAAGGAAGCCCGGTATATGACGATTATGCCCTTCTTCAGCTTCTACATGATAACTCGTTCCCCGTTACTAATGAGTTTCAACCTAATATACCGGCACCGTCGAGTAGCAATAACGTCTGGTCGGATTCCTTCTGGAACAGTTATGGCCATATTTCACCTGGCCCTTCCTTGCTCAATCCCACATACTCGAGCTACAATTCATCCCAAACCGAATCTAGCACGTCTTCCATGGCATTTACTTCGTCATTATCTCCCTCCTTCGTTGCGCCACCCTCCTTTCCCTCCACCGAATCTAGTATGTCTTCTATGGCGTTTACTTCGTCATCCTCCGTTGCACCATCCTCCTTTCCCTCCACCATCATGCCATCCGAGGATGTGGAAATGTCAGAGGTTGAGACGATATCGGACCTTGCAACGAAAAACAAACAACAAGAGCCTGTCCAATCCAATCGAGCGTCGGCTGAAGTCCATCCTCGCACCCTTTCGAACAGATCAGCTGAACAGGTATTGGCACCTGTGATCCCCCAGCAGGCCCGAAACCGTAAACCACCTGGCCCTAGAGAAGTGAAAACTCTCATTGGCAGCGAACAGAGCACCCCTGTTTGGCAACTTCAAAGCCTTGCTTCAATGCAGGATCCCACATTCAGCGACAATTGGGCGAAGTTGCTGGACAAGTGGGATGCCTTGGAGACCATCCTGAGTAAAGAGAAGTCCTCAGTGCGTTATTCGAGTCCTTAAATATACCTCTATCTCATTCATTTTATCAAAGGGAAAATTACAGGCGCCTAAAAAAAGGCCAAGTGTTTTGGCTGTATGGTTGGATGGCATTCACTCGTTTAGCGATCTTCTCTCTATTAACGATATCGATCAATTTGGTGATGCTATGGTAATGTGGTGGAATTCAATTCAACCAAACTGGAGGCAGAGTGCAGAGGGGCTGCCGCTACGCAAGTACGATGATTCATTTATGTGTCTGCGCAAAGGAGGCCAGAATGGGATTGTCACGGTGATATTTGGTCTTTTCTGGTGGAGAAAGAATCTGGATGATCCATCGCAATGGTCTGCCTTGATAACAGACATCAGTGATATGTTTGACGCTCTCCTCAATGCTACCGGACCTGAAAAGCGTCGTATTCGATAAGGTGTGCTTCCGACTGTTTTGTTACTGGTGTAAATGAAGAGCTAGCAATATTCTTGGTATTTATGACTGTACATACACATCTATAGTAGGCAATTTACATGCAGTATACCTTTGATTGAAACAGAAAACCAGAAAACTGATGTCGGGGAAGTTTTTCGAATTTTAGAGCCGCCTTATTAGATACTTGCGGAACTCTAGGTTTGCATGAAACCAGAGTCCAGGTTCATCGTTCAACGTCAGTGATAATCATTAAATTTGGCAAAACTACTTGTATCAAGGATCGAACCTCAGATGAGGCAATACCATTTCATCGATTGAGCTAATTTTAGCACTGCATAGTAAATTGATGTAACCTCATAGGCTTCGTGCCTGTAACAGTCACAGTCACAAACGTCCTCGTTGCGGATGCCACGCATTCATCTACTCCCACCCATGATGTCCTCCACCACCATTTTTCTACTCATGCTTCAATGTTTACCTGTATTTCGTGATATTGGATAGCATCCCAAGCAAAGTGAGCAGCTATACCTCACACCTGTACCATGGTAAGGCCCCCGTCCTTTTCCATAACAACACACTAACTCTTGTCCACAAACAGAGTTCACTGTCGCCTTGACTATTTACTACTTCCCCTGGTGTAACACACTACCTTGCTCATCAGGTATAACACAATTTGCCCTCACACTTCAAGTTCCCATCTGTAATGGTAAGCATTGTCACTGCTGCTCCTCCCCTGATTTCTCACTCCTGTTACAGTAAATATCTTGCTGTCTGTGATAGTCCTCTCCATGAATATATTGAATATTCGCCCACTCCCCCCATTCCAAGACCTTAGCGCTTGAGTAAGTTCTAGTGCCCCTGCTACCTTTCATAACTAATTTTTCTCCGAGCATGTTCCTGGCATTTGCTGACGGACTTTGAATACTCACACTTGCCGTAATATGCTGAGCTCCACCGGCTGCTGACATGACCATGTCGGTTACTCCAACACCGGATGATCGGAATGAATGATTCGTCAGCCGGCCCACCCCCATGAGGTCATCAGCTCCGTACTCAGATAACATCAGGCTGACTGTCCCGTTCAATGCCAATCCCGCTCCGTTAGCATCGTCACCGACCTCGACCTCGATGTTTCAATTTTATCACCAAAACATTTGTATTAATGAAACAATGACAACTCAATCTTCTCAAGATCTAACTTCACGAACATCCTCTCGAATACCCTTACAACCAGCAAGTTACTCCTGTGCCGGCTTCCATCCTTTCTCTCGTGCAATCGCCATAACATCAGGCTCTGTACCTGGCAGCCAATACTTTGCCATACCACGTTCTTGCCGGTATACCTGGCGACTCGTTCGACTATCCCACTCATCCATGAGCCTAACTTCAAGGTGATTGTCACTGTCATCCATTCCAGACCCAACGTCAGCATTGACGCTCGCCTCATTGACCTCCAGATTGGACCCTAAGTCGCCCTCGATGACTTCGAAGTGATTTCCGCCACCATTCGTTGCAGATCGACCTTCGACATCCGCGCTAGCGCTATTCCCCACCAAACGACGTTCACGATATCCACTGCCATTCGTTGCAGATTGACCTTCGACGTCCACACTAGTGCTATTCCCCACCGAACGACGTTCACGACCATGAATTTGTTTAACGACTTTCTTCAAGGCATAGATAACTTGTCTGTACCGGCCCATCACCTACTGTCAACAGCTTTGAACGAAACCAAAACTCACCGAGCCCCCGTGTGCAATCTTCTTTTCCAGACCATTGCAGTTCCTGATCTGGGAGTTTGATCTGGGTAAGTTATGTCAATATTTTCTAATACTCAGTTCATTTCACTCACTTGAAATTAGACAAAAGAGAAATATCATTGGAGCGTAGTGATGAGAGAATTGAGGATGAAGTGCTTGCGTGGTAATGTGGCTTCTTTGATGGCTGATTTCGTTGTAGTGCTATAAATAGTTCTCTCCTCGAAATACCAACCTACGAGTCCCATATCACTTGGAAAATTGTTATTTTAAAAATAATTTCATTGCTTACATGCAAAACAATTACTTTAAAATTCCTCATTTTCACCCACAACCACTTCAAATTTTCCCATCAAATGCCACGCGAGACAATCCACAATGGGAAGCAAACCGGGTTCGTTTCTGCAACCAGACCGGACCGTTTGAGCTGTTCCCGAACGTTGAATCTGAGATTCCATCTATGCCTTAGATCTAGAATTTTTTGGTCTGTAATAGGTAGGCGTCGGGGGAAACCTCACCGCTGTCATCGCTATCGTACACGATGATCAGAAAGCGCGGCGGGGAAGGGCAAATAGATACACACATGCTGACAAGTCCATCAATGGTTCCGCAAACTGTACAGATTCTGTTTCTACGAGAATGTACAAAGTGTACCGCCCACGGTAGGTACTGGAAAATTTGCAAAATGGCTTGCACCATAACTACCGTGAAAAGTACAGATTGTGGACACTAAGGGTTGGCTCCCCCTGGCCCCCACAAAATGATATATAAATCAGATAACCTCTTTTCTTCGTGTATATAAAGGTACAAACGAATATTAAATGCATTTTTCAGTTCCGCAACCCAAACTCGTGAGTGCGTGAGCACCCAAACCCATGAGCCACTCACATCATTACTCGCCAAGTCCGGCCGGTGCTCCCTGCTGGCGCCGCTAGGGCGGGGCTCTCGAATAGTTATTACCGCATGCTCGAGAATGTATCGGGACCAATACAAAGTTCTCCTAGCTCCATTTGTATACCGGTGGTGGAAGCCCCAGATCCTGCGGTTCCGTGGAATAATGAGGCACAGTGGCAGTTCGAAGTTCGAACCACTGTTGGTGTCACGTGATATCGAACCTTGTGGTTTGACTTTTACCACGACCGTCGACGATGACAGCAGACCGTGCTATACCGTTCGGGTTCGGGACTTCATTTTCTCGGAATGGCCAACAGATTTTAACACAACTATGATATGTTAAACACAGCCAGACAAGCACATATTTCATCTACGCGACATTTTCTACTTTTTTTTTGCTGAGTGATGGAGGCCAACCAAGCCACAGTGTCGTCACCCAGGACCCTGTGAATCTATCCTCCTATGAGAGTGTAACTTTCACTCTCCTGCGTACCATTTCTGTTGCCCTATTAATTGTCTCATCCTCAGGACTTCCTATCCCGAGCCTGGCAGTTACAGACTGATATTGGGCCCTTAGCTTCAAGATTCAAGACAAACTGCCGCTGTGGTAAAGAGCGTCCGAAACGAAACACAACAGCCCTATTGAACGACGCGGAAAGATAAGGATTGCGGCACCGGGGAGTCTTTGTTGAGTGGCTATTTGTAAAATCGGCAACGGCACATCGCCACCCAGAGTTTCCACAGCTAACGGCAAAACAATACCAGATATCACCCGCAGCTTTAGCTGAGCCTACATCATGGAGATCTCTTTTCTGGCGTTCACTCTCCATTCTCGCAGCCGCAGGACTATGAGCTTGGAAGCTCAGAGAGATTGTTTCGTCTAACACCGAATTCGCTTCGTTAGCATTGGTTTATTGTTGACAAGCTCGTATATCCGAGCCTGCATCTTGAATAATCATTGACAAGAGCACGGAGTACGAGTGGTGCTCACAAATTCAGGACTATCCCTGTGCAAAGTAAGTAGATCAGGATGATGGCTACGATCTGTAAGACTTCGAAAAGGATAGCTCGATTTCACTGAAATGCTCAAGTGAGAGTGGTCCAATCCTCCCAGCTGTACATGGATCAGCGATGATTCTTTGGAAGACCTGGAGTGGAATGGAAATTGAAGTCACTCGATATTATCGAGGAGGAAGGATAGAGCCTCGTCCCAGAGGACTTGTTCTCAAGTCGAGGGCTGTTTGCAGACGATGATCTCCGAAGATACGTCAATGACTTCAAACCTATCGTTGTAATAGTTGACTGATAAGGCCTTCTTCCACAGCTCGACTTTGTTATCTCAGGCAGCACTAATATTGAACAGTTATTAGTAATGTTGGAGGGATCGACAGTCATAACTTGTGCTCGAACAGAGTATTCATTGCCCATAAGATGTGTCAGAAGGTGAAAACCGATGAAGCCTGTGACTACAATTGTAACTATCACGCGCAAGATCAACAACCCTCGGTAACTGTTCGTAAAAGATGGACACAATGAGAACCACATCAATGGAAGTACTAACGAAAATCAGCTTCGAGCTCGAAGACATGAATCTTGTAGTGGTGATATGATGAAAGAAATAGTCGCTGCAGTACACGCCGTTTATTGGTTCCACCCTTGAAAGTTGGTACTGATTTCAAAGCGGTTTAAGTCTGACAAGCGTCGGGAAGTAGCTTTGTAAGGGCTCTAGGTTGGATATACTTTTGCGTACAAATGACGACAAGGTCAGAATACCTTTATCACTTTGCGACATATGATTCTCCGTATTGAAAGCAATTGGCTGTTCAGTGTTAGAAATAATTCAAGATATAGATACAGACTACACTTACACCGTAGTACAATGAGAGTCCAGATCGAAAAGACTCTAAGCAGAATCTGACGTTCCTTCTCCGCTATCCCTGCCAACGATCCATTTAATGGCGTTCCCAACTTTCTTCCCCACACACATCACCTTCCTGACGAACCACCAAGCCCCAAACACCAAGAATTGCAATGACATCAACACTCCCACCAAGAAGGACATAATCAGCAACCCTGCCGGCCACACCGTCCACGCAACCACGCCCAAAAACCCCATCAACGTCATGCCCGACAATAGCACACATATCATTGGCACCCTTGCCGATAATGAAAAGAAAAAGTATGACTTAAACTTATCCCTGGAGCGCGCGCGAGCAGTTTCAAGCGGGACGAAGTTATAGCGAAAAATGAACCAAGCATCACAAAAGATGCCAAGGCCACAGGCAGTGGAAGACATGGCGATAAAGGAGCGTGCAATGGGGCTGATGGGGAAAAGAGTGTCGGGAGAGATAGAGAAAATAGCAGTGTCAACCCTACAGGCGGCAGTATCAGTATGAGTACATGAAAGGTCTAGGAAAGGGGAGACATACGCAGCCAGCGCAGTGAGGAGCCCACCAACATACGACCATTCCAGTTGCTGTCGCGAAAGCGCCTGCTCACAATGGGACTCGTCTCTCAGCTCCCCATACATCGTGAAAGATGCGACAATGCGCTGGATCACACCCATGGCAGGGAGGTCCGGAGGCTTTTCGGTTTCTGAATACTGTGGTAATATCGGCGGGGCGCTGTTGAGGTATGCTTCGTCGTCTATGAGAAGGGGATTCAACTCGTCATCGGAGTCTATTATATAAGGCTGCAGACGCCGTTTGAGTTCATGCTCATTGGGAGGCGGTAGAATGATGACGTCGCCTTCGCTGGGCAAGGTAGGTCCTATGCTGGTGGGTGTAGGAGGCATGCTGGCCGAGTAGCATGCTAAAGGGAATTCAGTATCAAAAATTCTTAAAAAAACCCTTTTGCCTCACATAAGCTGCCATCGTCGGAAAATAGTTCTTCGTGGTGTAGCTTGGCTATCGACGGTGGCCGCACACGGAGAGATAACTTAGGCCACATCCCTGGACGGGCGTTTTTAAGGCGTTTTGCGGTGGAGGGTAGAGTGTTTAGGCGAATATCTAGACCTGAACATTCGTCAAGTCAATAATAGGAAGCACTAGCAAGCGGACCCACTCACATTTTCCAGCCTCGTTTTGCTCCTTCACGAGATCGCGCAGCATATGACACGCGTTTGCGACCAGAATTCTCTTCCTCTTCTTCTTCGATTGAGAACGGTGCCAAACTTTGATGGAGATTTTGGAGTGCGGGGAGACGTCGTGACTGAGGAACTTAAAGATTGAACTGTAATAGAATATATGCGCTCTTACATGTAGAAAACCTCCTTCTGATTAGGATTTTGGCCATCGCTTCCCAGGGTCGTTTCATGGCACGGCGTCGCGTCGCAATCAACTGAACCACCCTTGGACTCGACTTGTATGGTTATTATGGGACGCCATGATTTTTCCGGTCGTAACAGGTGCAAGCCGCTACTCCGAAGAACTGGATATTATCGACATTAATATGGATGAATGAAGTGCGACTGTCGGTCGACACACCTGTAAAACACCAAGGCCTTCAAGGTGTTGCCCCTGGTCAGCCTACTGCATTGAGAATGTGAAGAATGAACTTGCTCTGGTTCATTGATAGACATCTGCGTGAAAATGTCAGCAGTAGAACGAATACAAGTGGCAAGATGTTTACCAGCAAATAAATGAGAAATAGATAAGCATTCACCAAAAACCGCAACCTGGTCTATACCGTCAATAATGAGTTCACCGCTGGCAAGTAGTCAATTCGAAAGAAAGGACTGAATAGCGACCAAGTGGAAGTGGCGCGGAGTAGAGAAGTATAGAAGAGGCAGTGCCGCAGTGGTCACTCCATGGTTACGGTGATCCGGCCCGTGGTCCGGAATCCCTGCACTCTTGGAAAATCCGTGCGAGTCTTGAAATTTGAAAGCCAAAGCAATGCATAAAGGGTGGTATTCTGGGGAGGTTCAAGTATATCATGACGAACTACGAAAACGTCAGGGTTACTGTTCTCTGAGAATGTATGACGTCAAGGCAAGCGGAATATAGGAAGGAAGGAAGGAAGGAGATTTTATTAGTCGTAGGTGCTCCTGAACAGAAACGTAACGACGTCCGTACTACAGTTAGATAAGAGATGACGCAAGATATAGGTAAGTAAACAGATTTCATACTGGAACTTTGAATCCCTTCTCCTTCCAAATCTCTTCAATGCGAAGGAGGCTATCCACGGCATCCAGAACCGTCTTCTCCCATGGAATGAACGACTCCGCCTTCAAACCAAGTACATCTTCGAGCCTCTCCCAATTCAACGGGAGCGTGTACGAAGGCCATTCCGGCGCATGACTCCCATCTGCGAGACGGTCCTTGAGTTCTGGGCGCTCCTTCGCGATGATATCAAGGGCATCTTTGTATGAAGACTCGTACAGGGAGCAGATAGCCAATCTCTTCCGTCCTACCTCAGAGGATGGCCGAGATTCCAATGCAAGAACATGTGCTCTCGCGGAATCACGGACATCGATGGCGCCGGGTAGAGTGAGAAAAGCGGTGTGGGACCGTCGGAGAAGCGCATAGAAAGATTCATTAGTAGACAAGGCGCTGAGATTCGGCTCAGATATAAGGAGCTCGAAGCCTGGCGCAAAAGGTCCGAAGTTGAAAGGTGGACCAACTATATGATTATCTGAGTTCCGATCAGAGTGTACATGACGCTGAACTTACCAAGTGTGATATCGATCTCGGGATGACTCTCTGCAAACTCAACAACGGCCATGTCGGAGTATTTCTTTTCGGCCACATATACATGGAACGGCGACCCAGAAGCTATAGCTTCCTCCTTGGTGATAGGATTCCAGTCTATGAGTCATTTGATAAGAATGCATAGCTCAGGAATGCAAAAAAACCGACCGTCTACACCAAATGGCCCTATCGGAAAAGGATATGTCACAATAGAACTTGTAGCAACAACCCTAGGTATTTTGGCCCTTACGGCCTCGCGCATGATATGGAGAGAGCCCTCAATACTAATCTGTAACGTCGCGCATGTCGGTATCCGACTCGGTGTGTCAAGCACAGACCACTCACCCGAAAAGCCGTCTCTGGATCAACCCGACCTGGTAGAGGGGCTGCAGAATGAATGATAGCGTCAACTCCTAAGGGGATATAAGAATGGACAAGCATCAATATCGCACAAATGAGCTCACCTTTTAGATGCTGACTTAAATCGCCCGAGGAGACATCGGCAACTTCAACAACCTCGAAGTTTTTGCTGTAGTTTACTGAGAGAGCTTTCTTCAGGATGTCGACTTTAGGTCCTCGAGCCGCGCTGATACAGGACGAAAGTTACTAGAAGGGAGAAGCATTAAATTGTGTACGATACGCACGCCCTAACAGAGTAGCCCTTATCCAGCAATTGGGTCAGGATGTGGAATCCGATGAAACCTGTCCCGCCGGTGACCTATTCAATGTATGAGATATACGACCACTCGGGGGATATCAATCAGGTGGGGAGCGCTCACAAAGATCAGTTTTGAACTAGAAGACATGATAGTTGATGAAAATGTAATGGAGACATGCTCTCTTATAGATCAACTAAGAGCACGATGACGAAAACGAAGGCCAACGGGCTGACGTACATATCTATATCCGCTTTGAAACAATACAGATACTTTATTTATTTCGTGTCTGCTATGGAGTTGCCAAGAATTGAACTTTGTCATATCGATAAATTTTTCTTTCTCAGCGCACCATGGCCTTTACACTGGGGAGAGATATCGAAGTTTCAGTTTCAGACAACCCCAGAATCGCATTTTTAGGGCTCTGTTTTCATTGCCAAGTGGTAGAAACTTGTGAACGATACCGAGTTATATCTTTCCGTCAATTTGGGTTGAGGCGGATGAGGTAAAGGTATTTCCTGTATTTCCTCAGGAACCTCATGACAAGGAATAATCACCGAAATAAACCGGCACATTTGTAAGGACGTAGATAAAGACAGATAAGCAGTCCGGCGACCAACGGTAAGGTCGGGGCTGGGCGGTATCTATATGACAAATGAGACCTGTTATTTATTAGGGAGAAAAGGGGCCCAAGCTCCAAATTTCAACGCAAAATAAACGTGCGTCCATGAAGACAGAAACGAATGAGGCGCTGGAAGAGATAAACAAGACTCTGCAAGACTGCCCTGAAAATGCAGAGACGAGATGGACCGTGAGAGAATCATCGCAGGTTGACCGGTTCCTTCAATACCAGGAGGCTCCGGCTCCGAATCCCGAACGTGGCTCCACTCGTTCCTGTCATCTTCTGAGCCTGTACTGGCGTCCTCCATGAATTTTAATGCCTGTGTCCTGTTGGAACTGTTAGAATCGCGGGGCCGTTCTCAAACGAAGTGAGTGGCAAAAAAGGGTTTACATCTGTGGCAAACGCGACATGGGGACTAACTACAAAATATACCAGCTTATATACTACGAAATCCCCTCGGAAATAAGCAACACGTAAGTAGATCGCTACGAGAACCCAGACGGCGACTGACTGTCGTGCCATGAGAAGCTCGAATATCTCACAGGAACGAGGCGGCGAATTGAGCAAGAGGAAAGGTAAAGTATGCATTGCAAACGCGATGGTGTACGCTATGGCTTTTGTACACGGCAATTTTATCTATTGAAAGCCGCGGGTCATCAGCAACAAATTCATATAGCTTGATGTAAGAATCATATCGAGAATATTCAAGAGTATAGGGGGGAGGGGTTAGCAAACGTAATCATCAGTGTCTCCGTCTAGTAATCAGATCATGCGCGAGATTTTATTCACAACGATTACTGAGTACGAGAATGAGGATGGTGCACTCATAACTACCTGTTACAACCAGACGAAGCTTACCCTAAAGGGTAGATCAGTGTTTCTTGCAACTTCTTCGAGACTTCTTCCTTCGTCGACCCTACGGAACACAGCAATGCTACCATCTCCAGCTACACCACCTGCGATCAGATACTCTGAGTCCTCGCCACCAATTCCATCGTACGAATCTGATCCAAGCCGGTGTACACTTGGCTAACGAGCTCCAGCTTTCCCTCAACGTACCGGAAGATCGCGATCGTGTCACCGCGTTCGTCAACCTCCCCCATGTTCCTATTCGATACGTAAATGTACTGTACGGAGAACTTTGCTGAGATTTTAGGAATGAGAAGCTCAGCAGCAGCAAAAGACGCGTTAACAGGCGAGTCTGGAGGCACGATGAAGACATTAGCGAGAAGTGCGGCAGTCTTGGTAGAAAGGGAAGGGATCTTCTGAACCGTAAGCGTAGATGTGGTTTCGTGTAGAGTAAATAACAAGTCACCTTCGGAAGATATGATGAGTTCTCAGAGTATCGGAAGCATCGTCAGATTAACTGACCTTCAACCGCTATATGCCTCGGCCCAGATCCCGTAGGCTGGGTAATTGACCCGACGATGCTCCAGTTTCCGGGAGACCCAATCTCCTTGAGCCGCCAGACGGTGTCACCCCCTTGCATACGAGATTAGCGTGGATCGTACCGTAGGGATAGAATTAACCTTACCAAGTCAGGAACTAGGACCTCACTTCCGTACTCCAGTGCCATGTGAGGATTGGATGCGCCCCCATTAGGGACGGGGAATGGTATAATGCCGGCGGCATCATCAAAGTCCAGTGGTGTATCTGTCGTGGGAATAATGCGCCCGTTGGCGCTCGCGTAGTTCGTGACAGCGACCTGTCCTGTGGAGAGCCCAACTGCGAAAGCGGGAGTGTCGCCGCCGGACGAGACTGTTTCGACTGCCTCAGAGAGTACTCCATCTGGGGTGACTGTGAAAGATTGCACGGCTCCTTCGGTATTTTCGTTTGTCGCGCTGCATCACACGATCAATGAAGTTTACTAATAGTACAAAGGGTCAAAGCGCTTCATGGGCGGCCACACAGACAAACAGTTGTTGTAAGGGCTGACATACCCAAAATCGTTGACGGAAATGCCACGCTATCACCGGTTATCAGCTATGGGATCACGGAGAGAAAAGAAACACAAGCTCACAAGGCCAGGATTTGAGGCATTATGCCTTGGTGATATCCGCACGTTGATTGAGGACTGTTAACTTCAGCGTCAGGACGGTTCTCGGACCGACAGAAAAGAAGGAGGAACAAAGGCGGTAAGGGGACGCGTAATCAGTGGAGCAAGACGCGCGGGCAACGCCAAGTCGACCTGGAAGACCTCAAAATAAATACTAGTATATCTAGAGCCTATAACAGAGCGCGAAAGAATCAAACTTGTGTAGCAGCTTACTAATTATCAGTTTATTTTTAGCACGCGAGCCAGAAGTCTTGTGAATGTTAAAAGTAGTCTTCGAAAGTTTGACTGACACTAGTTACTGTTGCCTTTTATTCAGTTTAACGCGTCAGATCTCAGAATTATGGACAGTAAGCGCTTCGCGATAAGCAAGAAGTGTAACAATTGCCCTGAGAACTTAGCATAAAGATACAGAGCAGGATGGCCTGTGGTTCATCATGATTACAGTGACCTACATTTGGAGAGCATAACCACGAACTTGAACGTCTCGCAACCTGTTTGGACCGTCTCGACTACCTCCGAAAGTACACCATTTGGCGTGAGTCGCGTGACTGCGAGTGAAGCGCCTCGGAAATCTCGTCCGCGCTGTTATCGTATGATCAATGAAGTTCATTGTAGTATCTGTTGGCTATCGAACGCTCAGTATCTAAGAGAAAATGTCTGGATAAACGTACAGTTGGATATAAGTGTGGTCCCAGGTTGACCTGTGTTTGAAAGCCTACCAGCATGTCAAGGTTGAAAGAACACGATGGACCGTGGGAGTTCATCGGAGTTAATCCTATCGGCAAAACCCTGTGATGTAAGCATCAGATCCGACTCCGATCAGCCAACGCGCCTAAGCATTGACTTGCTCTACAACTTGACGACAACCGTAATTCTCAATATGGCTGATCAACGGTGACTGTCCTCGTCTCTCCGTGATATAATCCCACTGACGCGGATACTATTTACCAGCTCTCTTGCATTTTCTTCCCGTCGTCATTCACTAGGAAGTGGCACCACCGTGCCAACAACGATCACCTTCAACGATCTGACTGATCGATGGGGACGGAAGGATTTTTCAGATACTATACTGGCAACGGTTCCACTGGAAATTTTTATCGAGGTGCAGAACTTGATTTGACGCCCCGAAGTGACACTCAGTGGCACAGATATTCTCGTACCTTGACCCTGTCGACCTTCTACGACTCGCAAGGACGACACAACAGTTTTCGAAATTTTTACTGAGTCGCTCTGTTGACAGTATACGATTGTGGCGTGCCGCTAGAGCGCGTATATTCGGTCCAGTTGATCTGCTGGGGATGAGTGAACCTCATTATGCAGATCTAGTGTTTGAACGACACTGTAACGTGCGTATACTGCGTAGTGCAAATTATCATCTAAAAGTAAGATGATGAAAGTATTGTGCGTCAGACGTAGAGTCAGAGATCGTGTGGCGAGCCTTTAAGCGCGCGTGCAGAGCTTGCATGCAGAATCTGTAAGTGTGTGCTAGCTTTGTCACGCTCTTTTTTCCCTAATATACTTGCTCCAAAGTCATGTAGATTTCACGACCTTACTCACCCACGACAAAACTTCTGCACTTCGTCAACTAGTGGAAAATAGAACCCAGCTTCCCTTTATGGGAAGCCGATGGGTCCCATTCAAAGCTGGTGAACTCTGTTCGTATTTTGTAGGAATAAACTTATTCTTGTCGTTGTCCTAGACGTCCAAGGCTTTTACGGGTATTTCTTGCCTGATATGGTACAATACGCCCGCGAATATGATTCTTTGGGCGGGGACAAACAAGCTATTCGCCGCTGGGTACGCAAGACTACTCAAGAATATGACCAGCGCCAGCGAGTACGGCGAACAGGCATCTATATCATCATAACATAACTAACTCGATCCCTCGTGCATCATAGCTAGTTCGCATGGCCCGCGGCTGGTTCTTCGATCAAGAAGAAGCGCGAAAGGCTTCCCAGACAAGGAAAATAATCGAAGAACGTATCCTTCAGTGAGTGAGGATGTCGTCTTATTTCCTCACACTGATACCTTTTACTAGCGTGTATGAAAGGCTGATTTCACTCGGCTGGCAGGACGAGCTCGGTTTGATGCGCACTGACTCCATAGAGAGGCACACGCTAGTAAACAGGCCAAATGAACTTACCGATGAAGGTCTGTTGTTCTTTTAGTTGAAGACCACTGCACTTACGCTTGATCTTAAATCAGAGTGGTCTACCATGGAGCCTGTTCTTGTTGCGCTTCTCCAACGGCATAGAGACGAGCGTTTGGTCTCTGAACGTTTTAGCGTGGTCCGATTTATCTTGACAGACACTCTGAAAAGATATCTTATCACGAAATTAGCGACTTTGGCGCCTGATTGGGTAACCCTCGCGTCTACAGACGAATTCAGAAGGATTGTTTCCGCACCTCTCGATGTGCGGCTGACGGACAACAATTTTGCTCCAGCGATTGCTAGACTTCCGGAGATAATTTCTCGTTGGAAATCACAACAAAAAGCAAATTATTTGGGTATGCTCCGACAGACGACGCAAGAAAAGGTTGGAGGCTCAGATCTTTATCTGGTCACGAGCACTTTCCAGTGTCAGGCGTGTAGACAGCCAGTCATGTATCCGAAGGCCCTTGTTCACGAATGTATCGAAATGTCAAATCGCAGGTCGCAATGTCCTTCTTGGGGACAAGATTTCCCGTGGCTTAACCCACCGTCCTGGATTCGTTTTGACCCCAAAGCATCTGATGCTGCGCGGTCTATGGTGACTGCTTGTGGGTTTGACCCCTCGGTCGCCACTTACACGCAGATGAATCTCCTACATCCATTATTGGAATGCCTTGGTATCCACAATGCCGACATAAGACCAATTATGCGGTGGCAGCAAATGGTGTGTGACCTCCACGTTCCTATGTCTTATCTATTATCTTGCTCATCTATCGTCAAAGCTCGTACACGCTACTCATCATGTGAAGGCGGCGCAAGGATTTCGTTTGGTCGAGGGTGATGACAAGGATGAAGCCGAAAGACTTGAAAGCCTGTTGGACTTCGACTGGCATGAATTCTACAGGGAAGAAGCAGTGAACTACTTCGAGTGCCTTATTTGCTCTGCAGTATGCGAATCGCCGATGCTTAGAGGGCATATGAAGACAGTGTGAGTAGGTCGTTAGTGGACTAGACCGCGTTAAACTTAAGCTTCCCTACCAGCCATCCAGGCTGTACTGTAGCCGAAATGGCATCGAGAAGTGTCCATGTCGCGGACGCTTCCTTTCCCGTTCCATATATCACCCTTCCGCGTACGGTTCCTAGGGGCAGGCGTCGACGGGGCGGTTGAGCACGATTTAGAGATTCATCGTAAAAAGTGCTTACTATGCTCACTGTGTAAAATACAGATAGTTCTTTGTCAACCTTGTTACACGGGACCATCTTTCTGCTTCCCGCTGAGCGATCCGCGGCACCTGACTCCGTCTCCGTCTCCGTCTCCGTCTAGTAGACTCTGCGCCTGTGGCGCCAACGGCCTTTTCTTCTGCTCAAATTTGATCCATGCTAGGAAGGTCGCCCCGGCGACATAAGAATGTCTACGTGATGAAACGCAGTAGCCGTCGTAGACTATTGCGCGAGGGAACGCAGGCCTGGGCTGCCGCTCAGTCAATTGAGCGGCTCAAACGGCCAAGTTACCATGTTGCGCGAGGGTGGCGGCGGTGTGCGACATTTGTAGTCGGAAACAATATTTCGGCGCAAGTTATGACACGGACAACCGAAATACGAAGCTAGAGCTCTCAGGAGAGAATGCTCACTTGTTAACCGGTCTCTTTCTTTACATGCTTTTTTTACCACGGTGCAGGTTGGAATAGGATAGAATCCGACATGGACGGAAGGTACTCGGGCACACGAGGGCAGTCCCACAATGTTAAGTTCCTAAACTGCGCGTAAATTATAACTGCCGAGCTGCAATACCGTCGTCGTTATCCCACCAGATCCTGTTACCGTGCGGGTCTGAAAATTACAAGATGGCCCTTTTCATTCTTCCTCGGTACCGTCATTCAGGGAGCACGACAGCCTCGCGGATGTGTTGCGAGTTTCTCCGTGGAAATGGACACCGAATAATTCACATCTGGAAGGGGCTGGTGCGCACGGTGAGGTCAAATCATTCATCCGTCATAGGGTTCCCTGAAGTTCCTGCTTGGTTCCTGCAATGAGGACGCTCGACACCTTCGCGGCCCCTTGTGTAGATCCCTCGTATTGTCGCCGTCCTAACCTTGATACCAGGAGACGAGGGTCACCCAATTACAATGGCTTGGCTAAGCTGGCTTCCATCATCCAATATATGTGAGCATATGATTTTTCGAAGGGGTTGGGCGAGCGAGAGAGCCCGGTAACCGGCCATCACACGTCTTGCCAATTTGGATTTGGTTCCGACATCTTCAATGTACAACAGCTGTTGTAACTCGTATCTTTACTTGGGATAATCTATAGACTGCCGGCCGTAAAGTCGTCTTGACTCGGGACTACTTGGTGAATTCTTGGACACGTCAGACCTCGAGGCCGTGCAGCATCTGGCTGATCCTTGACACGAAGTCCGAGGCGATTCCTAATCGACTCAAGTCACAACCAATTAATTAAGCGACTTTGCGACCAAAAGCACAGCAGCCATATCTTGGTTCTTTTGTTGTACGTCGCTCTGTCCTGCTAGTGAAGTTGAGGCTCCTTCTCGAAACACCAATGAAAGCGAGCGTTAAGGTCTTTGTTCCCAAAAAGTTGCTGTTGTGATCTAATACCAAAGATGGCATTCTACCCCCGTGGCTATTGCCGTCGCGATCCATCCACAGCAGTTGACTCGGAGTCACCAGTCATAGAAGACAAAAAGATACCTTTACGGTGGATCCTGGAGGCCGTTTTTCGCAGTAATTAAAGATGAATCTATTCGCACCCCTTCAGCTCACGGGGATGGGGATTCCTAGAGATTCGACGCCCCTTCCCGGCTCTTCAGGAGATTTCTGTGACGAGCTTCACCTTCCCATCCATCAACGCCCAGTTTCTGATGGTATACCCGGTTTGACGGTATCGGCTGTTACAGATAACAGATGGAACTCCCTTCCTGGCTATCACTTTCTGTAAACAGCTCCATACTCATCAGTAGCAATAACAATGACTTGCTGCTTGCATTATGTCGCGAGAGCCGGTGATATCTGAAGGCATTCCTTGCCGTAGCTGGGCGCTGATGCCATCTACGATACAACAGCGGTTATGATAGCTGTTCAGCTGCACTGCCTTACAGTCCACCCATTCTTCCACTGTAACACTATAGTAGTAAATGATCGCTTAACCGCTTTATGTAGTAAGTTTATCTTGAATTGAATAGGGCGGTGCCGACGTACGAACCAAGCTAAACATCTGGTATTAAGACCATACCAAAGATATCCAAGTTTTGTATTCCGTTTGTATGCACTAACTACGTACGTGCTATATACAAAACAATGCGCAAGTCAATTACGCATGAATAATAACATAAGGGCGAATAACTGAATAGATAGCATATACGATAGCGACGCACTTTAATATGCATATTGTAAAAGATAATAGAGAAAGATTTAAAGAACGTGTAGTCCATGCGTACAAGGAGAAGTGGAACAAATGACGAAATGTATGAGTACAGCAGATTGAATAACGGCAGACGCCAAAGAGCGTGAGCATAGTAGGTGTGGTGGATAATAAGATAATGCTGAAGCGTGTTCGGCGTATCGGAGATGGATCGGTTAGCGATGCAACCCGAAGTCGACGAGGACAAATTATAAGATAAAGTGAAGGTCGCATGGGTAGGAGATGATCATCTGAGAGGGGATTAGATCGCTGAAGAACTCTGGACAAAAATCAAACATACGATGATCGACGAGGTAAGAGTGTAACCACTCGGCTCGCCTTAACTTCGCGGCCATTTTTTCCAAAGTATCGCTCAGACTGGAAAGACCAATGGAGGGACCCAACAATCCAGTCGGCTAGTCCTTGCACATATATGGCAACTTCGCGATCTATCCGCTCGCCCCAAGACGGAAGCTGGGTTCTGTCGTAGTTAAACCGGTCGATAGCCTGTTTGCACAAGTCTCCCACAAAATCCACGGCGGACTGGAGGTCTAGCCCCTGTTCGTTCATAACAACGGGAATCATGTTGTGGGTATCGCCCTTGGATTGCTCGACATTGTATGAGAAAATATCCTAAAGAGGCATGTCCATCTATCAGGACGCGTGTTCGGATTCAGGTTCGGAGATGAGAACATACGTTAGACCATGTCACTAGATCGTTAGCTGCCTCGCCGAGACCACGGATTAGATCATGGTCCATTACTTCGTCCGGGATATTGAGGTTGTAGGCGTACTCGATCAGAACGAAAGACGTCTTGCACCCTGCAACAAATGTTAGGACGCTGGATTGTTCTGATCTTGAGATAAACGAACCAGATGTGTCTCGCCTAAGGGCAATATAAGATTCGAGATCAGGAATAACTCCTGCCTGCCGATCGTGAGCCTGCTCCGTAACGCTCTGGAAGAAAAAGTCGAAAGTCTCAATAAAGCGTTGCTGCGTTCCTGGAGAAGCCGTCTGTATGAGACGACGCCAGTAGCTAAAAATCATATGTCAGCGCCACGGCGTGTAGAACCGGAAGTGGAATGACATACTCTTTCGTCATCTTGGATACACGAGTGGGAGAATGATAGGAATGTGGGTGGTAGAGGGTGTTGAGAACGACATCCGCCGTTGTCTGGGTCCCGCTTTTGTCCATATCGTCCGAGAGATTGTCCAAATGAAATAGGTATGTGAGAAAGTCGTTGCAGACCCTGAGCTGGGGGCAAGCCGCTCCAGGGTAGCACATCGCGGTAAGCAATCCGCACTTCAAGCCGTGGTAGTTGGCGCGTTTCTGTCCCATCAGGTTGCCGCTCGTGAACAGCCATTTCTTGGTCTCTGATGTGACCTGCTTTCGGTGCCGACTGACACTGATGTCAAAGGTGCAATGCGAGACGAGGTCGGGTAGGATGAATTTTGTGGGCATAGGCGTAGGTGCCTGCACGGAAGACGCGACTGACATGGGTGAAAGCAATACAGGAAAGCAAGAAAACTAGTAAAGCGGATAGAAATGAGAAAGGCGGGAAGGAGAAATGGAGGGTGCTGAGGAAGGTGGATAGAAAGAAAGTAATTACTGACCTTTATATGGCCGGTATGTGATCGGGCAGATTCAAATCCGGCCCATACTGGTCACTTTCGGTAGACTTCTATTTTGGAACTATACCTTCCTGCCTCCCTCGTTTTACGAGAAAGGTACAGAGCCGAGAATTAGCTCCCGATCCGAAAATATCGACTTGCCTGCAGAAGCATTTTGACTCCAGTGCTGAAGGGGAAAGCAGTAATCATTACCGAAACCATTAGGCGACTAGGTCTGGAAGTGAAAATTCACAGAGATCCAGTAGATCGACCAGACAAATGAATAGCATTAGGGTTGACGCGGTCCAGAGATCCAGGACTGACGGAAGATCTTCTACCCTGACTCTTGAGCTGCAACATGTACCATGCCGCCGCGCAGTTAGGTGCCCGTACCTGTTACAGTAGCCGCGTTGCGATGCGCGCCAGTTGCTCCGTAGGCACAGCAGCACCATTTGCTTTGTCATGGAGAACATGGAGAAATACCATATGTTGACGAAGCAATAAAGGCAAAACAGTTATCGCAACTGCGACGGGAAACATGATAGACGTGCAAACAATTGATTCCGCGCCTGAATGTGACGGTCACCAACCCGTCTTCCTACTCTTCCCAGGCCCACGATTGGTCACGTCAACACTTGCCTTATTCGGTTCAACCGTTTTTGCGGGGAGGCTGGCGGGGGTGGCGCATTGCAAGGATCCTCACCTTGCACTCGTGAACACGATGTGGAATGCAGAGCTACCATGACATACCCAGCCACAATGATTGCATTTTTACCCCAGTCAACTCGCCATAGATCGCGAAAAAAACAGAACAAGCGGTAACTAAAGCACAATCGCCGCTCACCCGTTGTGTGAAAAACTCTGCTCTGCTTGGGCATCAGTATGCAATGGAGGCCGTTTTTCCCGTGCCAATCGTGTCATTCTCGGCAATGCGGGGCGGGTCTTACCAATATTCCTCGGATCGTGTTCGCGCTCGCGATTCTGTCCATCAGACGAGGCGCTTCACATCCTGAAGGTGCCCTAGTAATAGTAAAGTCTCGTTGAGCTGACAGAGAAACAAATACTGTGGATGTGCTCCAGGTACTAGCAGAAGAAGTCGGTCAATGCTGCGGCTTCGCGTGCTTTGACTCAATGACCATACTTCGGCTAGATTCACCGGATCCATTCCATTATGCTTTCTATACGCTGAAGAATGACTTTTAGGTCGTTCGACGACGGCGCTTAGAGCCAGCGGACGTACGCCCACCGGGAAAACACCCGGTATTTCACCGGAAAGCAATATTCCACGTCGCCCGGGGCGGCCTATGGCAGTCCTAAGGCGTCACATAAACGTAACTCGATGATCCGTCTACCCGCCCCATCCATGTCGCCGTGTGGTGCGGAATATTCCGCCCTTTTACCAGCTGGCTTTACGGAAGAAATCATCTAAACCCGTAAGAAATGACCTGCACTGCAGGCGAACGCGAGACACTGATGCTGTTGAATGAAAAGGTGCCTGACGTGTACGAGATAAACTCTATCATCACCGATTCTTCCTCCACTGCAACAGGTTTGGCGGGGAGCCACATATGCATCGGGAATGGTATACTCGGCATGATAGTTGAAGCGCAGGTTGCTCACTACCGTTGGGCTCGACATCCAGAGACCATGAGCATCTCATTCAATCTCGAACTCGGAATCGGACAAATTCAGGTTCCACTCAACTTCCGCTCGATAATGAAATTCTACGCGAAGAAAAAAGCTATGAGCACGTGTAACCAATAATAGTTAGGTTAAAACTTCCCGGGGTTAGAAATAATCATAATCGTTTCGACATACACATTTTCCCTCGGCATGGAGCAGTATGATAGACCCACTTACTTCTGATTGGGACCATCAGTCAGTGATAATGAATAAGATCGATCTTCACATGTGAAGCGCCGAGATTCGGTACCGACGAGACCGCACAGCAGAATGGAAACGGAGAGGCAAGAACAGAACAATCTGAACAGGTGAAGAAAACATATCGGGTCCGTTTCAGGAACGTTCCAGGTAGCTATCGACACAGCCACATTTCATTCCAGTCCTCCCGACACAAAACCAAGAGGAGCCGGCGGCAGACATTTTTGGAAATACCGAGCGCACTTTGCGCAGTATCGAGTCTTGCGCCAACCATCCACTAGTGCTCAGGCTTTTTCGAAAATGCGTCGTTGGCACCTCCCAAGCCTATACAGGACAGAATGATACTGAGACATTTCCGCCGGAATGATGTAATCGCAACATTTGGACCAAAGAGTTTGGTCCTGATTTTGTCCAAATCTGTTCGTTACCGTTGACGACGTCTTTTGCGCTGTGCGCGATGACTACACCTCAAGTAAACCGGAATTCGCTGCCACACAGGTCGTTCGGCGTAGACGAGTCGGCTCTCGACGACGAGAATGATACGCCCCAGCGCGACGGGTCGTCTTTGCGCAGAGTTCTTGGTCGAATTTCGTTTGGCAACAGCATACGTCGACCGAGTTTCGCTTCAAGATTGAGGGCAGCGGCAGAATCACCAGCTCCATCCGAGAGGCCACCGGTGCCCACGGTAATGCAGCCTGCTGGGGAAGTGTATCAGACGCCACTGCCAATACTCTCCATGATTGTTCTATCTATCGTGCGTCGTCGTTTGCATTTTTCCTATTCGTTATCTCATCGCGTTCCGTAGACCATGCTAGGAGAATTCTTATCTGCAAACGTGTCGACGCCGTCTTGTTATTCATGGTTAAAGGCTAGTCAGATCCGGTGTCCGGCTCTGTCGATCTAACGAAGGATTTTAGGCTTCGGTGTGCTCACTGATGAGGCTGAAATCGCTTTTTGGACGGGTGTATTAGGTATAATTCGGTCTTTACTAATGATTCTTGCATTGTAGCTCACTAAATGCTTGTAGTATCAACATTTTTCTTGACTCAGTTCCTCACGTCATTGCTTTGGGTACGTGCTATTCACCAGTGGCGCACTCACCTTCTTGTTCACGGTCCTTGTGCTCCTCCTTTCCTCCAGGCTACCGTAGCTGATAAGCACGGGAGAAGAGCGGTCCTAGTGATATCCCTCCTCGGTAGTGCATTGACTTGTGCCATCTTCGGGACTTGCACCTCTTTGCAACAAGCCATATGCGTAAGGTTATTGCAAGGCATCTTTGCCGGAGCCGTCGGCGTTGCTCGAGGATCTATCTCTTTCGTAACCGATGCAAGTAATGAAGGTAGAGCTTACGCTATCCTGGGGTGCGTCTTCCCGAGACGCCGGTTTGCTATGAAATACAATCTCAACTGTTATGTAGATTTTGCTGGGGGTTTGGTGGTGTGGCGGGGGCCATCATCGGAGGAACTTGTCAGTATTCTACATTCTGCTGATAGCTATCTAACGGTACTTGTTAGTCGAAAGCCCAGCCCTGAAATGGCCCGGAACGTTTGACTCCTTCCCTTTATTCGTAAATTATCCATATCTCCTACCGTGTGCAATGGCGGCGGCGATCACCTTTACAGGTCCGTTTATTTTTTCCCTTGGCGTGTGCAGGCACCTCATGACCGTACTCGTTTTCAGGTTCCGTCCTCGCGTGTTTCCTGGGCCCCGATGGCGGGCCTAGGGAAGGGGCTATTCGCCTCATGCCTGAGAAGGTTGATATGCACCCACCAATCCCAGAGGAAGAATCCATACCACCGAGTCCGATCTTCGATGACGAGGATCAACAGCCCACTACACTTACAGGGTCTATCCGGAAAAAACTTTCCCAAAAGCTTTCCGGCTACTTTGCCTCTCGAGTATATGATGCACAAGATAGAAATACCTTGAACGGTAGTTCGTCCGCAGCTCCGCAACCCCCTGTACCTCTGGCTGCGGGACCGAGACTATCAAGAACTGCATCCAGGACAAGCCGCATTAATGGGTCAGCTTATGGGTACGGTAGCTATAGGAACAGGCTGGCAAGCAATGCAACAACGACTGTGAGAGCAAGACATGGCAGCATGGCAAGTACCTTGCGGCGAAGACGAGGAAGTAATTTCGACGGAAATCGAGAATCACAAGCTAGCGAAAGTAATGACCTTAATTTTGCCCAAAGATTACTTATGGCCAACGAGAATGCGGTCACGAACATTGCGGATCTGTGGGTCGCTGCTGCGATGAATGTCGATAACGAAGATCCATTCGAAAGCGACACTGAGATGGGATCTGACGAGGATTCCGGGGAGGAGGCTCTGGACGTGGAAGAAAACGTGGAGCGTGTTCCTGTTGATGACGGTGCTACACCTGCACATGTTATCTCGACGCCGACGCCCCGTAGTCGTCGAGCTTCCAGTAATACGACACCTATTGCGCGTCGATCTTCTAACGCACGCGGGACTATCCGGCCTCTTCGACTTGGTTCCCCTCGCCTTCCTTCCAGTCCTTGGCCTATTCCTGAGCGCCAGGCTTCGTTTTCTCAGCTACTAGAGGGTACACACATATCCCGTCGATTCTCCAACGCGCCTTCCATCTTCGCTCATCCTGGCGTTAAACCCCCGGCTGCTGTTTTGGATGCACAGCAATTACTTTCTTCAGATGCCGAGACTGCTGGGCCTGATTCACTCGCGCCAATCGCGGAATCGAGAAGGGTGTCGCAGATTAACGACCAAGTTGACGTGGAGTCCCTAGCCGAGAAACCAGCTTCATTGTCGTCTCAATTGCCCGTTATGATTATTGTGCAGTACGGGCTGCTAGCGCTTCATTCTACAACGCACGATCAGGTCTTCATGTCGTATCTTGTAACGTGAGTCATCAGATGGGTAAATTAAGGAGTGATGTATGGTAACTTATTGTTCGGACAGCGATTATGACTCTGGAGGCCTGAATCTCAACGCTGGGCACTTTGCACAGCTTAGTTGAGTGTACAGTTCCTCGAGGTCCATTCCAGGCTGACGTATCCCCGACAGTTGCGTTGATGTGTCTCTGCCAGATTGCATACCAGTTTTACCTCTATCCGTACGTTACCGTTGTGTTAGAGTGACCCTCGGACTGATTGTATATTCATATAGCAATATTGGGTGGGTTTCATCATGTCTTGGAGTCAACCAGCCAGGTACTGATCAACCATAGGCCGCCGCGAGGACGGTTCTCCCATCTAGCCATGTTTCAACTTGGTTCCTTGTTCTTCATCCCATCTTATCTTACGGTCGTACTTTATCGTGTACCGTTCGCTAGTGAAGAGAATGACGGCAACTTCATATTGATGACGGGACTTGCCATTAGCACGTAGGTTATAAGTCGAACTTAAGATCTACCGTTTTGGCTAATGAAGTGTTTCTAGTGCTTTACGGTTCTGCGGTTCCACCTTTGCGTACACGGCGGTATCTATCCTGTTGAATTATAGTACGCATCATTCTGTCAACGCCATTTTTAACTGACCGATGAATGTGTTTTAGTGACGCCACCGAGTGCCGTCGGGTACGCCAATGGTATAGCGCAGAGTATAGTCAGTCTTGCCCGGTGTTTAGGCCCTGTCTTGGGCGGATATGTGCGTTTTTTCCCTCTGTTAGTCTACATTCCGTAACAAGATGCTGATATGTCTCTTAGCTCTGGTCTGTAAGTATCGAGGGAAATCCTAATGGGTATCCCCTTGGTTTCATTGTGTGTGCTGGCGCATGCGCATTGGCATTGTTGCATAGTATGCTTATTCGATGAACGCTTCCAACCGTGTAGAAGTTTCTTCTTTCATTAATACTGTATTAACGCGTATAGATCTCAGTTCATGATCGACATGATCCCAGATCATCACCTACATGGTACCATACATATCCACAAGCTTTGGGACTTATGCTAGTAATACTTCTCCACCCGGACTGTTGTTACGACCTAAATTATATTGCTTCTACTTCGATTCTTTCCCTTCTGGCTAATTGTAGATGTCTCGTTGTGTTATGATCATTCCGTCGCTACGTGATCGTCGCTCCAGTGAATTGTCTCAAAGCCCAAGCGTAACGCCATTATGGCTCACTGCAGGGGTATAAAATTATTAATTCCTTTCCTTCTGCAGCACTGATCCCTGACCAATAATTTGGTCAATATGCTATCTACAAAATACATAAAAAATATATAGTACTACAACCCATATCATCGTTTTAAGCTGCCGCCTTGATAATGTCCGCGGCCTGCAAAGAGATTTCATTGAGCTTTCAAGGATCATGAATCTGTAGGTTAGCACTGACCTTCTCCGCCATAGCGTAGATAGTCGTGTGAGGGTGAGAGGCAATGTGGACAGGAATGATCGAGGCGTCGGCCTAGGGAATAGCGCGAAGCGGCCATGAGATTTGTAAATCGAGGCTACGAATTGCTATGCTTACCACCCGCAAGTTCTTAGTACCGTAGACCTTCACGTTAGCATCCACGACGCCTCCATCCTCTTTAGGGAGCATTGAGGCGGTTCCAATAGGATGGTAGACAGTCATGCCGGTGCTCCGCACGTAGTCCTGGAGCTGCTCATCGGACTTTATGTCCTTCCCGGGAGCAATCTCGCCTTTGACAACTGTGCTGAGAACGTCCGATTTGATAAGTTTACGAGCGAACTTGAGACCCTCGGCGAGGATCTGAACGTCGATATCCTCCTCGAACATGTGAGGGTCAATCTCCGGTGGCGCGTAAGGGTCCGAAGAGTTGATGTGTACTGTGCCACGAGAGAACGGGTGCGCAGCGGCAAGCAACCAGGAAACATAGTGTTTTCCCGGCTCGGGCATTGTAGTCCCAGTTGGCATATATCCATTGAATGTTGCAAATCTGGAGTTCATAGCACATGTCGTCAAAAAGATGGTAAAAAAACCATGTGGAAAGTAAACGTACTCCAAGTCAGGGATATTGTCACGTTTGAGCCACTCTGCTTGTGCCTTGAAAGTCGGGTTAGAAGAATCGTTGGCGATCTTATCCGCTTTTGTTGTGATCTCCTCCACGGATTCCTCAGACATGTAAGTCTGAGCTGAGATGAATGAGTAAAGACCGGGTCCGTTAGAAGTCAATCGGCCCTGTTTCTTCTCTTGACTAAAAAATTCGCCATTATGACGGAGCTTTTACAGACGAACGAAAATTTACTCACTATAGTTGGAATTCTAACGCAGCTTGCTGTGGGTCCATCATCATATCCATCGATTCATATTTGGGATCAATCTCGGCAATGAAAGCGGAGGTATAATGGTCCTGGCGAAAGGTCAGACCATGCAATGCCCGTACGAGGATGACGCAAACCTGATAGTTGTTTCCGACGCCGGGGAGGTCGAGTACAACGGGAATGTTATGTACTTCTAAGATCTTTTTATCACCGATGCCCGACAGTTCTAGTAACTGCGGTGTCTTCATGGTACCTGATCGAATCTTGAGTACGAGAATGAAGGAAAGCGTCACCTATGCGTACCTAGTGTCAGGATGACTTCCTTGTTGGCGGACACGGTGAGCAACTCCCCGCCCTTAGAGTACTCGATACCAGTAGCGATGATCTCGCCCGAAGATTCATCGGTCTTCAAAAGAATGCGTGTCGCTTCTGCGCCAGTGATCAATGTTAAGTTACTCCTATGTTTGTTCGGGCCGTAATATTCCTGTGGCGTTCCGTCAATACCGAAACGCGATCAGTGACCAAGCAAATCTTACAGAAGCCGCCGAACTACGGACACAATGCTCTGGGTGGACAGATAGTTGCATTGGGTAAACACCACCACTGTAACCATCGTACTAAAGAAAAAATTTGAAATACTTAGTCGTGGGGTCGAAAGGTACGATAACAACAAAAACTCACGTATTCGGTGTTAAGGGGGACCCCGACAGAAGCAAATCCGTCGATGAGAGGCTTGAGAATATTACTGGACCACCTAGAGAGTGTCCTGTGAATAGGTCCACTTGAACCGTGCATTTCAGGGTTGAACTTGATCCCAGTCTCGGCTGATTGTTTCTCTGTGATTGTGAAAGTCTCGGACTGGCGGATGACAACGTTAACGGATGTAATGCAGCCGGAACGACAGCATACCTTCTTGAAATAGGGAATCAGGTTTTTCCAATTCCATCCAGTCGCGCCCAACGTTTCAAACGCTGGGTTTAGCGTCCTTAGTATACGATTGTGATCATGGCACTCCAAGCTCACCATCGTATTCAGCAATATTACCCCTGAAATTTCGTTCAGCTCAATAGCACTCTACGAAAAAGTCGGAGAGACTTACTTTCCGAGCGCGACGATGTTTGTCTGATGACAAGGCATCAGTCTAGGCCAATCTGCAATTTACATTGACAATTAACTCACAGTACCACATCCACCGACGACCTTTCCCCTGGAGCGATGCGTCAGACCCCCAAAATTAATTATCAGAATCATATAACTTACCTAGGGAGCCAGAGACTACGCCCTTTCGCGCCAGGCTGGGGTGTAGTGTACATCTTCCAGTCCATGTCAGAAGGACCTCTCAGATGCATAGCCGCCATTCCTTCAAGAAGACGCGTCAGAAGCTGCACGCTGTCGGGAGGAGGAAGAACGGTACCAGGAATGAGAACATCAGGACGACTTGACTGATCCTCTCCAGCTTCGATGACGCCGACAGAGACGTTGGAATCCTCGGCTAAGCGAGTGGCAATAACCAGGCCGGCGGTACCGCCGCCCACGACGACGTAGTCAAAGGACACTGGGGCGGACATGGATAAATCCGTTAGGTGGCAGGTATAGACTTGGTTGGCGTAAAGGCCAAGTTGGAACCAATAGAATCATCTACGGAGACGTTATATGGGTTCTAGGAAGACACTACGATAAACATTTCATAACACATGGAGTACAAGGGGATATATGAACGAACCTGTGGAACATCATCCATATGCACCCAGGGACATCACCGGCATTGGGAATTCAGGCTGATGTCAGGACTGAGTTTTGAGGGACTTTGCGGGATTCCCTTAGTTTCTCCTGTAGGTTCTTCGAATTCTGAACAAACACGTGTTTCCGCTCACGATTGTGGTAACAACTGGCAGGACTTCTCAGGACATCTGCATTTGACTCGTAAGCTTGAATCGGACAAATGGTTCTTTAGGTGGCCCGGTCTGCCATTTGACGTCGTGTAATTCATGATGATGGCGATGATGATACTGGTCGCAAGATCTGTTCGCGGAGTCCCATCCTGGGAACCATTTCGCTTAATCTTTTTTTTTGAGTGGGCCAACGAGAGCATGGATAAATATATAAGACTCGAGCGGAGCGCTTAAAATTGGGACGTACCGAAGATCTGGGAGGCATAATGAAACCGCCTGTTGTGGTTTAGAGCTTTTCGTAGCCACTCAGAAGTAAGTAATTATTGGCCGCCCTGCGAAAGAGACATCCCCTCTAAGTATAAGGCGGACAGGGCTGGCTTCCCCTGGACGTCTGGAAGACACTCGGCCGCGCAAATTGTCAACAGGGAAATGGTTCTTTATGGTAGGAGCAACCCAAGAGTACGGTGACGGGAAGGGGCCACCACAGACTAGTAGCGACATCAAGAACGAGAGCAAGAACGAAACGAGAGGCTACATCATGCGACATCTGAATGGTTCTTTCACGGCATGAATGAGTTTCCGTTCTCGCCGCGACAACATATTAGCTGGGAAGTCTATCTCCCATGATCCTATCTTCACTGGCACTAAGTCAGCAGAAGGCGTGGAGACAAGTTCCGTTATTTCAGCATTGGCATCAGAAGACTCTTCGCAGCCGAATCACAGTCACAGACACGTTATGGTTGATGGAGGCAAATCTAGGCAAATTTGAGGGGACGCACCACTCAGTCGGGGCTTTTGGTCAACACCCCACAACAACCGCCAAAACATTTCCAATACAATCGGCAATTTCCCTGTCCTTCGCCGAAGTGCTGCGACAACGCAAAAAACGAAGTTTCATGCTCTCAAGAGGCGTATCGACGGACCCCCTTTATGGGATGGCGCGATTACAGCAGCGCAGACGTCCCGGCGATAAGAAATTCTGACGAATTATGACCCTAGGCAACAAAGTAGGGCATCACAGAATATAGAATCATGACCACTCATGCCCTCAGGGTCCGTAAACAAGGTACCCCATTTGGGGCTGTCAACTTCGGATTTCCATTTGCAGGGCGTCTTAAGTATCGGTGTTAACGACATATTCCTGATGTTACCTGTCGTTTAATCAGCGGGCCCATCTTATTCCCAACTTATAGGTCTACCACCACCTTGACCTCTCTCTGTGTCCACCATGGCCGATACCGCCATACCAGTTATCATAGGTCTCCCCCAGCCCTTTGGGGTGTTCTTGATTGGTATGTCCTTTTACTCGCGCTGAAACGCGTCGCTGGCTAATATCTTTGTTAGCCATCTGGATATCACTGGTATTGTTCGGAATCATCGTGGTCCAGGTATGTGTCTCTGACATTGGGACACGAGTAGGTATTGACGGCCTTTACAGACATGGAACTACTTCAGTTCGTTTCCCGAGTGAGTGTCGGACGACTTCTCTTGCCGTCGCAGTCAGGAATCCTGACATTCTGGGGGTACAGCGATCCTCTCTGGCAGCGCGTCTACGTCGGATCCATCTTTACGGTTGATTTCCTGTGCTCGTTCTTTATCCTTTGGTGGTAAATGGTTTTCCTCTTTGCGGTGGTTATCTGCTCAGTTCCTGTGCAGGATGTATGACCTGCTGATCAACGACTGGGGCAACATTGAACCATACAATCTTATCCACTGGGGTACGTGCCTTCTCCCTCGTCTTCTCTCTATGTTCTCATACGATGTTCAAATCTATTTCAATAGCTCTCATAACAGGTAGGTAACCCGTGACGGGACTTCAGAAAATTTTTTCATTCAGTTCTGAATGCGTGTCATTGCCTCCAGATCCTCTATTCGAGGTAAGCGCGGATATCAGTTTGACATTGTCGGAACAGTGACTAACATGTTGGTTCTAGGGCCTCATTGGACCCATGGTACAGGCGTACTACGCATGGAGAATTCATGTGATATCTGGGACATGGTGGTTGAGTGGGCTCGTCATGTTATGCTCCCTCATGGCAGTCGGTACGTTCAAAACGTCGCTAGCAGTTTTTTGAGTTTAATTTGACATCTTAGGCGGTGGACTTGCTGGTACTAACGCTGCGGCCACGTTGAAGACCTTCCAAAACCTTGCCGAAGCGAAGGTTGTTGTCATATTCTGGCTCCTGCCGCCGGCCGTCGCAGATATCATCATCGCCTTCTCACTCACGTACTATCTGCGCCAACACAAAGGAAGATTCGAGGCGAGTGACAAGGTCTTGGATAGGATCATTCGCAGTATGTCCATTCTATGCTTCCTCCCTTCGTGTGGTTAAGTTCGTATTTCTTCGTGTTACAGTGACCGTCCAAAATGGTAAGAAGCTCGCTCATTTGTCGGAGAAATCTTTGTGGCGCCTAACAACTGTGAATCGGCAGGTCTCTTGACAGCTGTTATTGCCGTTATCGACATCATTATGTACTTCACAGTTGTAAGTTCGCATTTGATATATTTTCTTCCTCTTCGGTTCCTGATAATCGCCTGCTTATTTTATAGACCACTCCTTACCACATTGGCAAGTATCTTTACGAACTTTCATCTCTTCGCGTCCTAACATTCTCATTAGCCTTCACATTCATTTTGCCTAAACTCTACGCCAACACGGTACTCTCGTCATTGAACTCCCGTACTTCGATTCGGCGCGACCTCAGCAACCGATCCGATGGTCATGGCCTGTCTTCGGGTGGCGTCTCTGCAGTAAGTCTCTGACAACCTCTGTTCCTGTCTGCTCGTAATTGATTTATATCTTTCCCTTAGCTACATCGCACTCAAGCATCCGGAGTAAGTATTATATTCACTGTACAGAACGCATGTTCCTGACGCTGGGCTTAGGTCATTGTTACGGTCGAGACTCATGAAATGCAAGATACTGTGAAGCGCAACGTGGAATGGGACCACACATCTGCAGATACCAAGGTCTGAAAGGACTTATCACCTTTTCGGAATGCCAGGATACCAATGTCACGGTGCATCTCGTTAAAAAAAGAATGTTGTACTTCACTTTAGACTCTGGAAGGTGGTCCTGTGGGTGGGCTGGGCTGGATAAAGGGAATGCCCAATTTGTAGACTTCCCTGATTTCGGCCCTTGTTGATTTATCACTAGTTCCTGAACATTTTCTCTTCACATATATATGTGTACGCAAAATGACTTGTCTTGTATAAACTCCTTGCTATCTTGTTGCTCCATGTACACGCTACGGTCGTTATTGTATTTATGGTGGTTGATTCCAATACCATACATCATTTGGAAGCGCTGGCGTTCAATTCGTATCGAAACCATCATGGGCCTGGCGCGCAGCAATTTTCCTGGTCCAAGGTAATTAGGTACGGACAATCGTTCATCCCTCCGGGATCGGATCCATTGGAAGGTTCTTGTACTCCATCGAGGTCAGCGTTTATTGGGCAACGCGCCTAGATACCTTATTTCAGCGGTACCTTTGGTATCTTCACAACCATGATACTAGGCGTTGTTCCTGTGGTGGTAGGCATTACATGGTGATTTTACCTGCGACGTACGTCCTAATGTTCCGCAAGGCCATCCGGCCAGCAAGTGAACTTCAAGAACTTCATAATTTCGGAGAACACCTTTTGATTTCAAACGTCTAATCGAATTCCTTCTTGTCCCTAGGCGATATAACGTAACTTGTATTGGGGTGAGAAAAGATGGAAACATCCGTAACGCGTTAGAACTCGTATTTCGAGTCCAACCATCACTCGTGATGTTCAGCCACATGGGCGGCCTTGCTATCGTGGTACTTCGTGTAGTTATTTGCCCACGTATAGATCCCGTAACCTAATTTACCGACATCAGCTAAAAGAGAAGAACGTGAAAAGAGAGCGACGAACCCAAAGCAAAAGGAACAATCCAATATGGAACCTCAGCAGCTACGCGCCTGTAACCCTGGAATAAATATTCGCGGGCCCAATTTGGACCGGCCTTTGCTTGGAAGGGAGAGAGGGCTGGTGGGAGAGTCGAAAATATCCAGAAAGAAATAGATAAAACAACGAGCAAAAAAGGAGTGAGCGTCTGCTCAAACAAATTCCGGCCAAAGGTAACGCACTGTATTGGTATACACCCTTCATCCTCGTGCCGCCGTGCTTGTCACCCCACCACGAACTCTGTCCAAGGAAAAGTATGAATTGAGATCATTCTCATTGGTCAAGGTATTGCTCACCCATGCACGCTGGGCTGCGAAGGATATTCTCTGGTCAGCATTCCCTGCAAACAATCCAGCATCGTATACACTCACGCCCAGGCATTTCTCCATAACGAATGAGTGTCGGTCTCATGGTAGGCAATGTTCAAGAGTAAATGTGCTGGTCGTGCCCAGCGTTGGCGCCGTTCCGTCCCGGTTAGCTTTCGATCCAAATACAGTCAAACAATCGCTCTCAAACGTGGCGCAACGTCATTTCATGGTATTTCCCATACCTCTTCCACCACACCCTTGTAAGTCTCGTTGCTATCGTTATCGACAAATATTGAGTATCTCTGCAGCACAAAATGATTACCCACCAGACCTTGTATACGCTGGCGAATGCTCTGGGGATGTTGGCAATGGCGACGGTCATCGGTTATCACTTCGTCGCAGTCAACTCGAAATATCTCTCCAAGGATGCCCAGAGCAAACCATGATTGGCCCGGCGAGTACGTTTATATTAGGTGGGTATTCTTCTATGTCGTCTGCACCCAGCTAATTCATGCCGTTAGCTGAGTTGTATGTGTTACTGCCCGAGGGCATGAATATAAATATCAATACCCTGAGGCCATCCCTTCTTCGAAAACCGCAGTCAAATGAGATGTATTCCACTATATACACAGCAACGGGGAACAAACGCCTCGTAGACTGTGAGTTATCCAGTGTTCAGCAATAAGGCTCTTCGTACCAAATGGACGATAAAAGGCGTTTACCCCATATTCCGGACGCGTTCGTAGAAGTCTACGCCACGACCTTCGGCATATCCCTGGCTTTATTCTATGCTCTGCTCCCAGGCCTAGCAACTGATAATCAAATAATGCTTCTTTGCTGCTTCGTATTGACATTTTGGTCCTAAGGTTTGGACAGCTAGCACCCTATAGGACGGCTCCGAGTCTCCACATCAGTGTTTGGCTGTTTTTCGCACTACTGTATCAAGCCCGCACGTATGTCGCCTCCCAAGTCGCTTCCACGCTTCTTATACGTCCTAACCACATGTTTTTGAACATATAGCGAACATTCAGACATCTCTCAATCATTACGCTCCCACCGTTCTGCCAGCCAGAAGAGAAGAGGCTCGCAACGAAACTCGCTTCAGCAGTCGCCACATCACGAAGAACAGCATCTTTCATTTCTGGTCTACCTGTTTTTGGTCACTTGACACACATCTTTCCTGGCAACTGAAAATAAGTACCTTATTTACGAAAGGTTACCCGCTAGTGGTTTCCAAATATATTACATCCTGTATCACTCCGCACCTGGGTATTAATGTAAGAAGCGAAGGTTCAAAATCAAGACAGGAACCCTGCTTCTGCACCTATCGTCCTCCGTCTACTGGCTGGGCATTTTCGAAGTTTTCGTGTGACCTATCATCATAAGACCTGAGAGAACTTATCTCATTTCTCTTCTCCCCCATTCTCCCTTCAAAAGCTCGAGCGAAATACTCGCCTCATCCCTTAGCATTCCTGATGCCATCCTCACACAATCTATATCTGTGCGTCATGATATTCTTGAGTATGGCCATCGCGGGATGGGCTTCCCCGCTAGCTGTCAGGGAGCTGAGCAAGGTACGTGCACTTGATTATTTCAGCACGAAACAAAACTAAAGAGTTCAACCCCATTTTGCAGGAGTTGCTCCTTTCTCCTCCACCTCTGGTCCATCGTATCGTTGACCCCGAACTCCCCTCAAAATCGCTTCTCTCGCTGTGGGACCTCCGTCCTGATACAGCCCGGCTATTCCATCATCCTGCCTCGGCTCACCAATCCCAGCCACAAATCAGTCACACCAACTGCGCAAAAGATATCTTGGCACCCCAGTATCGCGACGGGCGGTGTTGTGATGATGTTGGTTGTGTCGTTACTACTGGACCCAGGGATGTACATCTGCGGTGTAAATCAGTTGACTTGAGCAGGTTTGGAAAGAGTGGAAACGAGCAGTTCTGCATTAGGGAAGGCTATATATGATTCGAAGGACCGGCAACAAACGAGCGATAAAATTCTTACGCTCATTTTATACAGCACGATACGTTCAACGGACCACCCGTAGGAGACTGCTTTGGTGGTTCGTCTATGACTGGTTACTGTTTCTCCAGGTTTACGATTGTATTATAATGCAATGTACATACGCGCATTTAGACAACCATCCATATAGAGACCAAGCCCTTTGATAAGAAGTTCGCACGAAGTCGCCACTGGCAAAACATTTTACCCTATCTAGGATCTAGACCCGCCGCCTCCCGCCGTTAAGGCGCGTCGGTCCTTCCTTTATTGCACTGGCCAAGCGGCACGTTCTCGTGTCCAGGCTTAGGGTCCTTCACATGACGCTCCCTTCCCGCATCTCGTGCCATGGTCATAGACTGTCTCACTGCTTCGGGGCCATTCCATTGAGTTCTACTTACTCCGCCTGGCCAGGTGACATCACCTAGGCCTCACGTATATAACCCATTCCTTCCCACCATTCCCACTCACTGGATAACACTCACAGCGATGTTCCCTACAAGAATTCCTCGAGCAGCAGCTACTGGCTTTGGTGGAACCAATATGCCAAGGTTTATGATGAACCAGCCCAAGAACAACAGCGTGGTATGCTCGTGCTCTGCTCGGGTTCTCGGTCTCTTTCGTTGACAACGCTGCAGATTATGGGCGTCGCAGGCTTGATGGGTCTCACAGGCTTGCTATACTGGTGGGGCTACCATGACATGGATCTTCGGCATCCAGTAACGGCAGAAGCCGGTATGTCTGGTGTCCTGATGTTCAACGCGGCGATGTTGGACTGACTGGCGTTTTGATGTAGTCGAATCACCAACTTCGAAGACTTAGAGCACTTTTGCTTTACAACCTACTCCCCACTCCCAAAGTACTTATTTAACCACGGCGGATCGTGTACGAGACGAGAGACAAAAGAGAAATTGTATAACATACAGAACAGGATGTAACAATAGCAATACTAACTTAGCATTCCCATCCCCATTCATTATACTTCTATCATCTTGGCATCGTTTAGCTCTTTGGCTTTCGATTGATCGATAAGGTAGCAGAGCGTTGACACATTCTCTTCGCATCTGGATAACAAATAAACAAACAATTCTATGAAACCGGGAGACACTCACAACTTAGATATGGCCTGCTCGCACTCGCCGAGCTGCTTTTGAACGACTCTAAAGACGCTCGCGTACTCTCCAGACCGATCCCTAAGGTGTCGGCCATGCGCCATCAATAGGGTATTCGCCCAGAGCAGATCAAATTCCAAATGAGGGCTCCGCTCAAGATGCTCTGCCACAAACCGCAACAGAGCCGGAACATACATGACTGGCACCTGTCGGGCAACAAGGCGTATATCTCCGCGTGGGATACTCTCATAGACGCGCTGAATGAGAGGCTTCTCATTCAATCGGAACGCCATAATCAGCGCCTTGAGGAACTCTCGCTTGGTTAAAACATCGAGAACCGTCTGAGGTGTCAAGTCCATGGAAAGATCGAATGGGTCGAAGAGCACCGTGTCGTCTAACGAATAGATAAGGAGACCCTCTGTTGACGCAGCTGCCCAAGTTCGACCTGCAGGGGAAAACCTCACACACTTGGTTCGAGCCTCTTGTCGATACCGGCGTTTTGACATATCCCCACTGCGGGTTACTCCAGGAAGGCTAGTGTCCATCCGGTCTTCAAGGTCACTTTGGTTTCCTCGGTCATCAATTAGATCGACGTTGATCCCGGCCTCGTTAACCCGCCTGCTGTCCAGGAATTCCTCCGTTCCATCTAGCGATAGGTTTTGGGATATCTGAAACTTCTTGACCATGACCCCTTCGCCCTCCCTCACGTCATATAGCACGACATACTTGCTGTTCCCGCCAGCAAGGATGCATCGACCGTCCGCGGTATATGCGAGACTGTTGAAAGACTTGCCAGAGGTACTGTTAGCGGCCGACATACGATCATCCGCTTTTCGTCCCCCAGATATATCTTTCCGCCCTTCGATAGCATTCGTCTGCTTTCCTTCCTGAACATCGAAAAGGGTGATCTGCCCATCAAGAGTCGAAACCGCAACTTCCTTGCCATCGGGCCGGAAAGCCACAGCGAGAACGTCCGACGATAGAGACCACGGTTCTACGGCGCGAGACCTCCCAAACACGTTCCAAACTCGCACTGAGCGATCCCATGAACCACTGACGAGCTGGTTCTCCCCCGAGGGGGAAAAATCAAGCGAACTGACCGGTCCCTCATGGCCAGTAAGAATGTCCAAAAGCTTTCCTGTCTGGACGGACCATAGGAATACTTCGAACGAGTCGGTCGAACCAGCTGCTACAACTTCTCCCGAAGGATCGACGGCAAGAGAAGAGAACTGAACAGGGGATGGGGATGTAAAGGTACGGAAATTTCGGTACCGGATGAGATCGAAGGCACGAACAGTTCCGTCAAACGACGCGGAAAAGAGAACGTTGCCCTGTTTTGCGAAGGAGACGGCAGAAATGGGAGCAGTGTGCTCCGTGAAGGTGACAAAGCAGAAGCCGGAATGTGTCGACCATACTTTGACTTTGCCATCATCGCCGCCTGTGGCTATTGTTTGGCCATCGGGGGCGTAAGAGAGGGTGTTCATGTCGAAATAGTGACCCTGTTGCTTCAGGACGTATGATTCGGACTGCCACTCCCATACCAGGAGTTGTCCAAGCTTCTTGGCACCAAAGGCAAGCCATTCGCCTGAGGCATTAATAGCTACGGAGGAGATCTTCTCCTGTGATATACTCAAAGTGTGTATGTTGGAAAACGCAGGCATTTCCCATAGGCCGAATACACCGGTAGAGAAGCCAACAACAAGAAGATTAGAAGGCGCATGGAAGGTTGTACACACGACTTTGGTCCCTGGCTGATTGAAATAGTGTCTTTCGAAGATTCCCCAGCGGGTGTTGATAATAGAATTTGAATTGGCAGGGAACCCGGAGCCTTTCGAGGTCGAGGCGATAGGTTGCTCTTCGTCGGAGTCAGACTCCTCCGGTGATTTAGCCTTCCAAGTGAAGATTGCACCATCACGGCTAATTGTATATATCTGAATGGAACAGTCAGCACTTATACTGTCGTTGATAAGTAGGGAAGACATGCCGTGTGTCCATCAGAAGAAAAGTAAGCAACCGAAACAGCGTCTCTGTGTCCAGCAAACGTTTTGGGTCGGAAACCTTCCACAGGGTCCAGCGTGTAGAGTCGGGCGGTCATATCCCGCGAAGTCGAGATGAAGCATCTGTACGATAACACCATTTAGTCTCTCGCGATAATTACGGTGCAGGTTCTAGACGTACTTAGAATCCGAAGACCACTGAATACTCAAGACGTCGTCATGATGCCCCGTATACGTTCGGTGGAGGGTAAAAGGCGCAAACTCCCTAGCGAGATGATTCGGTGTCCGCCATACTTGGATATGTGCACCGTGTGTGACGGCAATGAACCTATTTACTCGTCAGCTGGTTGCTCTTCTCTACCCATTCCAAAACGAGCTCACTTTCCGTCCGGCGAAAACTTGATATCCTTGACAGCCTTATGGAAGTTGATATGATGAAGAACGACTCCCTTTCGAAAGTTCACGAGCTGCGCGCGACCGTCTAAAATCGTCAGTTCAGACCGGACCATTCAAACTGGGAAGAAATAGACACACCATCGTCCACGGATATCAGAACGTTCCCATCGGGACTTAGGGATATCGCAGCAATATTTTTACGGGTTTCAAATGGTAGCGTGAAAGACTTGTTGCTAAGAAAGAGTCAGTGACGTTCAAGGACCCTTCAAAGCACGCACTTTACTAGGTCGAATACGGAGACTCGGTTGCCCACTGGACTCAACAGGGAGTTGCCATCTGCGGTAAATAGAACATTGCCTTGCCGGTAAACAGTCCCGCAGATGTTAGAGAACTAGAAGGCGAGTAAGTACTGAAGAGTACAAATATGATGGAACCGACCTTGTAGTTGGCCTTCATCCTTAATTTTTGCACAGCCACACATTTTTTCAAGCAGGATTGGCCGCTCGGGCCGCTCTTCCGCAGCTTTGCTCGAACCGTTACGCTACATTGGACTTTCAACCACGCGCGCGCGAGCATAAATACATCGTACAGTATAGCCTATTTCTGTCTCAAAACCCGTTGAATAGAATTAATACATCCTAAAAAACTTCACGTCTAATCATCCACAATAGGAATGAACTTCAAAATGAAGATGAATCCGACGCCCGTTTGTCTAGGAAAGAGGACGGAAAACCGAAAGAATTGAGCGGTATGATCGAGCGTCGATGAACCGACACCATTGGCTGCTTCATTTTTAGAACCGCTTGCCAGCGCGACTACTATACCACTACTAGTGATTTTCGAAAATACTTGAAACCTTTCTATCTATAATTATTTACAATATAAACGAACTTTGGGTAAAGGTAAATCTTGAGTGGTACCATGATTAATGACCTCCTTCCGAATTCTTTCAGATCAATAAGCAGACTCCATCAAATTAAACAGTATGAATGAAAGGTTGATCATTTGATACAGTCGCGAAGTGAGGATGCAAGTGGCGAGAGTTTTCAGTCTACCAAAATCCAGTCAATATAAAAACACGACAGAAGGGTGTGCACGCATACCTCATTGCTCGATGGCTGTCTTTTGCTAACCTCGGTATCCAGCGTGTGCTTAAAGCCTACAAGATAAATCCCATCAGTCTCTTTTTCAAGTGAAAGCTGCCTAACGATGGACTCACAAATCGGACCTAGGGTCGTAGAATCCGAATTGCCATTTATCCTGCTCGACGATGGGTCGCTACGATTCATAACCTTAAGCAGCATAACAGTTATCAGAAGTGTCAAGCTGTAAATACGTCCGAGTATGGCAAAGAGGAGACGGAATACTATTTCATAATAGTTAACAACCGAGGATAAGTATTAAATTTGAAGCGCGCGCACCATTCCAAACAATGAAAATCGAGGCGGACATGAAAGTTGTGAAAATGGCCATCGCGAAACCGCAAGTCAGCGCTTGTATCGTGGCACGTCGTAATAAGCTCAAGACATTATCAATAACTGAAGGAACCTGATTTATAGAGAGTGGAACGCTCACCTTCTTGTAGATGTATGAGGCGTCTGTATGCGCAAACACGTCCAAGCCAGAGAACCTGCAATTGTAAGGTCCGTAGCTGTACATATAGTAGACCTTATATTAAAGTGTCAGCTATGGCACGGATGAGGAGCTCATAGTCTCACAGTATTATAGGTACGGTTAATACAAGTTCTTTCGGGTGGAGGGAAGTATAGATAATAGCCAGCAAAGTACAAATTACCTACAGGCATTATTAACAAAGCATCCATTGCATAGACTAAGGGATAACTCACATTTGCTGTAATGAGAAATACAATCCATCCCGTGATCCACTTATTCCTGGAGCTAAATCACTTCTGAGAACGAGATGGAAGAGGCCTGTAGGAGACCTACATCGTCCAATATCGATGACAGAAAAAGACGTGCGTGATCAAGGCGGAGGTATACGTGAGCAAGATTGCAGTCTCGGCTGCCAATGTAAACACGGTGAGTGACGGACCTAGAGATTGATCAAGTAACGGGACTGTGAACGCGAAGTTAATACAAAGACAAACCATGATTAATAACCAGATACTAGGAAGCTACATTAACAAGAGATTTATCGAAAATCCAGACTGAGACGACGCACCATATAAGTGCCAGCCAGATTCGCGATCGAACAGACCCCATCGATGAATAAAGATGCCAGAATCCAGCAGCGCAACCACCTTGTCGTCGCAAAGTGATACAAGTAGTAAATACTCAAGGCCACCTGGGACGTGTATAATATTGTGTTCAACCACGAAGTCACCAGAAACATTCTGAACATTCCTTCTAAGCGATCCTGGTTCGAGCATAGCAGAGGTCTGAGCGACACACCCTAAAGACAAATCAGAGTGCAACGGTTTCAACGTCATAGCCGGATTTGAATGCAGTAGAAGAGAAGGCTTGCAAAACTTTTCGGGTTCCATACGGAAGAACGACTTTATACCTCAGAAATGTAATTCCGTCAAGCATTCAATAGCGAACGCTAAACTGAAAATCCCTGACGGCGTTCCCAAGAAGACGGGGTACTTGGGTCAGTAATGAATGCTAACGTCGCGGAGATCACAAATAACATTACATCCGCACCTTCAGATGTAATAACGTACTTATACAACCTGACGAAAGAAAATTTGATCACGGGCCGACGTGAGGTACAAGAATCGCCCTTGTCACATTCAGGTTCAATCTCACGGTCGGCTCAAGATGTTAACTCCTCGTTACCGTCATACAAAGCTAGTGTCGCATTTGTTGGCCGCCTATACCAATCGATAGAACAACCCAGTCGAAAGAGAACCACTAGAAGACATTCAAACGTAAGGACGAGTGTACCAGGCGCAGACAGAAATTATCGCAAGCGACGTGAAAATTAAGGGTCGCTGTACCCCGCGCGAGTAGTGTAGTGAGGGTCCGTGATTAGGGTGCGGTTCAAGTGCTGGGGGTAGTAAACAATGACGGGGATCGGATATTCGGGACGAGTTTCCGTAGTTTTAGCCCCTAAAGTTTGTCTGAAGCTCAGTGATGTAGCTGTATAAGTCACGCACAAGAGAAAACGAGAATATTTCAAGACCGATAACTAGTATTTCTCTATGCAACATTGCAAAGGAGCTACTCAAAACACCTGTACACTAATTAAATAAAAGAAGCTTGGAGGGAGCGACATCAATCCTACATAAATTGAAGGAGATGCCAGAGATATCAAAGGAAGTTATTATACGTTCGTGTAAGTCTGGATACTAGCGGCAATTTAATATAAAATCAAACGGTGTGTGCGAAAGGTTGGTCATTAGCTAAATTTCTCAAGGGAAGATGCGCCGAGAAGCTAGTTTCACTCTACCAAATCCAGGTGAATGAATTCAGTCAGTAGAAGCAAACAGAAGAGTCATGCCCATACCGGTAACTGAGCGTTGCCTGTATCGTTATTTAACGTGTTCTTAAAGACTGATAGCAGCCGTCTCTATAAGTCTCACATGAAAATTGCACATCCATAGACTCACGGAACGAATCCAGAACGGCGGGCGAGCCGGAACCATCTCCATCTACTCCCGGCGTGGGTGTATCACAACGATGCATAATCTGAAGCAGCATAAGAGTTAACAGAACTGTCAAGCTGTAAATGCGTCCGAGTGTAGCATAGAGGGTGTAGAATGCTATTCCACGTGAATAATAGGTGAGAATAAGCTGCCAAGCTCACGCACCGTCCCAGACAGTGAAGAGAAAAACGGTCATGAGAATTGTGGGAATGGCCGTCGTGAATCCGCAAGTTAATGCTTGGATCATGACACGCCGTAATAGGCTAAAGCCATTATCAACTAACCGAAGAATTCCAATTTCGGGGAGTGAATCACTCACGTTCTTGTATACAAGAAAGATGACTCAATGTGTGAACATGTCCAGATCAGACACCCTGCAATTGTCGTATCCGTTACTGCGCATATTACGGTACTTGCAACGCAATGTTAGCACGGTAATCGACCAAGAAATATGTAACTTCACGTCGTCACAGGTATGGCTAAGATAAATTTTGTTGAAAGGATGGTTATATAGACGGCAGATATCAGACTGGCGAGCATCTACACTCACTATTTGTAAGTATATATGGTACAGGCAAAAGGAAGGCTCACATTTGCTGTAATCAGGCATATAATCCATCCCGTCATCCATCTATTCCTGGCGCTAGACCCATCTGAGTATGAAACGCAAGAGACTAAACAGAACCTACATCGTCCAATGTCGGTAACAGAAGAAGGCTTGTGCAATCGAGGCTGAGGTATATGTAAGCAAGACTGTGGTCGGAATAGTCCATGAAAATGTGCGGCGTCCTGGAAAACGATTAAGCGAATTGTGCATCGGTGAGTTTACGAATACCGTAAAAGGTACTACAAGGACAAACCATGGTTAATAACCAGATACTAGGAAACTGAATCAGCATGAGAAACATCGAGACGCAGAAGACGCACCATATAAGCACCAGCCATATCAGTGATCGAACAAGCTCCGTCGAGGGTCAAAGATGCCAGGATCCAGTAGCGGAGCCATTTTGACGTCCGAGTAAAATGATGTAAATAATAGATACTCAAAGCGACCTGGGACGTGTACAACACGGTGTTTAACCACGAAACCGCCAGAATTGTGCTATACTCTTCTAAATCATCTTGTTCGCATACAAAGGACGGAGAGACTTACCTCGAAGACCCACCAAAATGTAATGTCATGGCCATAGTGCGCAGGCTGGGGAAAAGAAAGCTTCTAATAAATTTCGAGTTCCAGATGGAACAACAATTTTATACATTGGAGACAGTGTCGCCAAAATCCTTGACGGCGTTGTCAGGAAGACCATACTAAGAAAGGACAGCCCAGGCACTTGAATAAATGTTTTAAAGTCGCGGTGATTACATACCCAACGCATCCGACGTTACACCTGAACTCGAGTTGCGCGACCCCACCGCACTGCGAACGTCAGGTTCAAGTTCCAGGGCAAGTGTCAACATTCGCCGTATAACATCAGACATATATTGGTTTTAGAACAGGTCTCTGCGGAGAACTAGAAGACCTTCAAAGGTGAGGGTAAGTGATTCATCGTCACGGTACGAGGCCTGGAAGTCTGGGGTAACTGTGCAAGAGTATCGGGCTTTTGAGATAGTCGGTGGTTTGAGCGTTCGATGAAACCGGCCATCGGCCATTCGGACCGGGAGCCTTGACACAGATATTCGCTAAATCATGCTGTATACGAGGGGGCACATGTCCAGGTCTAAATAAACGTTAGCGTTAATCAAAGTTGCATATTGATTGAATATATTCCTGGATTTGATAATGTACCGCAAGTGAATGTGGCATGCCGAATGTCGACCCTGAGAATGCTTGGCAGGCTTCACTGGTATCGTATTGAACAGTGAAAATAGAACATGGTCGTTCTATGGACGATGCCGTCGGACAGCTCTCTACAGATATTTAGTCAGCACGGTGCAACGTCAGGATATATCCGCGTACTCTAGAGCTGATGGAGCGCCCAATAAATCCACATGGGTAGGTACCCAGCGAGTACTTAAAATATGCAAGGTAAGGTTGAATTAGATCCGCGAGCAGGAGGGAAAGTCTACGTTGACAGATGAGAGTCTATGCGGCTGATTATGAGCAGTTATGGTTATCTTCGTTCCTAATAGCTTTGAACTATGTCAGATAAGACAAAGACTCGGGCTGCAAATGCGTACGAACCCAAAATCGGTATAGAAAGCTGGGTCACGATGCTCATATCAGCAAATGACTGCTCTTCTAGACTCTTCGACTCCCAGAGCTCCTGAAAGTCCTCAGCGAGGGTCATGGCATCGATTGGGCGTTGCCCTGGCATTTGCCGGGCTCAGCTGCTTCTCAGATATCTCCTCCGCTTTCATCCAACTCTTCAATTGTCTCGTACATAGTTTTCGCACCAAACATTATAAGGGGCCCGTTTTCGAGGCTTGGGCGGCCTGTCCACCTTCACTACATGAAGCCAACGCAAGACTAGCCGAACATGAGCTATTGGCACCGCAACACGAGAGCAATGAGCGAACAAACATTTCTGTCCCACCCATTTTCCTAAGAAGGTGGCACGAGTTGCGCTTGACCTTGATGGAATCTGCGTATTTACTAGATCTGTGAGGATCAAGGTGAGCCACAGCATACAGAACCCCGGATGTACGATTTTGTATTGAGGTGTGATTTATATCCAGTGTCCCCCAACTGGCAGGGGACCCGACAAGAGACAGTCACCTAAATGATAACTTCAGTTTATTGGTGACTCAAAATGTATGTGACATAGACATACGACAACAAGACCAGTTCCTCCTTTCCGAGTAAGAACGGCGAAATGCTCGAACAGGAGGACCCGAGGGAAAACGGCTATAATGAATCAATGACTTACACGACGAAAAAGGTTTATCGCAGCTTGGAAACGAAGTCCACTTGATTTCCGAAGGAATTACTATTCTCGAGCGCTTCCATGATCACATAGGTAAAGGAAGAGAAGTTGCTTCGTTCGTATCATATCGCCGAGTTTGAATACCTGCGGCTTGAGGTCCCCGGCTGTGTGCCTGAGGAATGCAGGAACGACACAGTGAATAAGAGTGAATAGGAGGAATTGTTCAGGAGGGAGGTGAATTCCCAGATAACGTCATATGCCATGGGGGAACTAGAAGAACGCATTCATTGCCGGTGCGTGTAGGGCAGTAGTCCTAAGAACTCACTGATGACGAAGACCAGCTAGCAAATGGTTAAGCCCACAAAAAATACAAACAATTGATGTTGCACCTTTCGATGATTAAGCTAACGATGATAGAAACATGTCAGTCCGCATCAACTAAGATCGCGCGCCCTGCGTTCCTGGCCAAGTTCGAGGTCTGAGCGGCAGATGGCATTTGATTCCACCACAACATCGTATACAATGGTCGAAAGATAGGTCCACGCCCGTTCAAATCACAAAACAGCCATCCTAACGACGACTCATCACCACGTCCAGTGCGGTGCTGTGCGCGCAATGGTGATGGTCATGATTACCATCTTCTGTAATCCACCCTTGAAACTCCAACAAGTCTGCCCGCTTAAAACACCGAAATGATTGTCTAGATTAAAAGATTCGGAAGGTCTGCTAATGAACGTGTACACTTAACTATTAAGATATCTGTAAAGAAAACAGTCCCAGGACACCATATAACAAGAACAACCCTACGAGAAGAATTTAAAGCCTACATCGTTTTATGAATCGGAGCAATGCTTGTACATCCTCACGTAGTCGCTACGGGAACATTGCCAGTAAGCATAAACACGAAAATAATAGCAAAAGAGCACATACATAGCCATTCCCCTATCATCGAGGTTCTCGGGCCACGTCGGGTACCACAACTCCTTCGCTCTCGCGAAATCTCGCATAGCAGCTTGTCACAGCGCCATCAGCAAAGAGGACATATATTATAAACCGAATCTGGTACTCACTCGCAGCACCATTCAACCAAGGCTTATTGCCCTGCCCATCCGGGAACCAACCTCCAGTCGACCCAACTGCGACGTTCATGATCAGATAAAAATCTTGATCAAATGGTGCCGCCAGGTACGTCCCATTGGCCCAGGGGTTCTCCAATGGCACCTGCTGCCCGTCAGATGTGATCGTACCCGGGAAATCACCAAGGTCCCAGAAAGATTTCTTGAACTTGAACGACAGCAGCGTATGAGCCCGCGTGTCAACATAGATCCGGATAAATTCATCCGTCCACTCAAGCACATATGTATGCATCTTCGAGCTGAACGATTCTCGACGGAATGTCCACCAAGAGAAGGATTTATCCACGGAATTCAACGCTGGGGTTGGGCCCCAATTCAGAGAACCCTGAACGTAGTTCGATCCGCGGGCAGTATACCGTATTCCGTTCCCTCTCGCTTCGACCATGTCTACAAGATAGGTGAGCTCTGATTTCCTTGAATGCGGATAAAAGCTAGGCTAACCTATCTCACCGCTCCGTGGCCAATCACCATACACGTTGTCTTTCGGAAGCAACCAAATTGCAGGCCACATCCAGTCTCCAGAAGGCATTTTCGCCCGGACTTCGATTCGACCATATTTGAGACTTCCCCCGCGTCCCCCTCGTGCACTGAGGAGCGTGCTCACACGTGCACTCTGGACTGGGTTGATAACAGCGCCGACTGAGGAGTTCGAGGTGGCGCTGCAAGAACGGTAATAGCCTGAATAATCGAAAGTCTGGATTTCCCCCCAATAAGTTTGACAAAATCGAAATGAAGGCTGAGCTTACCCTAGAGCCTGCAGTTGTTCCATCACCTGTAATAAGGTACCCGTCGTTTGGTTGTGTCACATTGAACGTGCAGTCCGTGAGGTTGTAGATGTATCCGTTGAATACATTGTCTTCGCCTATGACGTCCTCAGTGAGTGTCGGTACGAGATAGAGCATTCCATCTTTGATGTAGGAATTGTTCGACGAAGAGGTCGTCATTTCGAACTGTCCATTACTATGAAAAGATGAACAACAGAAAAGACTTAGAAATAAACGAACGTACCCGGATCCACTTGCATCAACCTCTCTCATAAAGTATCCATTAGCTCCAAAGACATCGTCTTCGGTTCCGTCAAACTGTTCCTCCATTACGAGGCACAAGTCCTGGCGGTCGAGCATTACGTTCTTGTAGGTGTAATAGCATTGTATTGCGCCTGGAGTTGCGGATTCGCAACGGAAGCGGTGCACTTTATGCGGGAAAAACAGAACCTTGGAGCCTTGTTCTACCATGCCGGAAAAGGCATCCGACTATATGCGTTCCGCTCTCCATGGCAGATGCATATATCCGTAGGAGAACAATATTTCACTGCAAGACTGTCACGCGTACAGACCAGACGTTCTCTCCTTTACAAGTTCTAGAACGTAATGAGAAGCCGGGTGTCATGGTCGGACAAACGGCACTGTTGCTTCTCATGCAGTTTCGAACCAGTAAGAAACGTTCTTGGTCCGAGAGCGTCCCAGTCTTGCAGTGCACCAAGGTCCAGTTCTTCGCCGAATGCACCCAACCAGCGAAGCCATTTCGTCAGTTTAATTTTATGAAGCTAATGAACGTGCTCACCAAGTGCTACTCCGACGACAATCATTACATATACTATCCAGTAAGAAATTCTGGCGCGAAAGTTAGGATTTTGCACCCATGGCTTGGGTACTTCGAGTTCACGGAGAGTTGCAGGATCAGTGGAATTGGATAGTGAGATTGGCAGGAGGTTTGAGCGCATCCGCGGCGCCACTGGCCGCCTCTGCGTCAAGGAGGGTTGGACATAACTTCTGCTATCCTCGAAAGGATTCACCACAATGGATGGTGCTACGGAGGATGAGGATGCCATGGGGTGGTAGAGAGATGAGAGCAGGGCTACTTCTTTAGAAGTCCCTCGCGGCCTCATTACTCCTCCTCATCAACATCAACTGATCATCGGAAATAGAACAGACAGGTCACTTGAAGGCGATCAGTCCCTTGCATGTGGACATAATGGAAAGTGTACCTAGGCGGCACGGCGATGTCAGGGCGGTAGCTTTTGTGCAGAAGGAACTCGACAGCCTTTCCAGCAGTATCTCCGGGCACGATGAACGTTCTTAGCACCGAGATAGCATATCTGAATTCCTTTCCGGCAGTCGAGGAGGCCCAGGGGATGAGAACCGTATTGAAATACCAGATAATGACGGTGGTATCCTGTTTGCGATCCGTCAACAGTCGCTGTTGAGTCGTCCGTAGAGACCCTGATCCTGGTCCTGCTGAATTTTCCTGTCTATTGTCGTCGATACGGTGGGAGTAGAGAGGCTGGGCAGAGCTGGTACATAGTCGAGGATGCCCTAGGATATTCGGCCAGGTACATGGTGGTTGAAGGCCAAGTTGCCGGCGGCCAGACATTTCTTCCTCTTACCGCCACCATGACATGACACCACACAGCTTGCTCGATGGACTCGCCGCCTTTCACCGACATTTTTTGCGACATTCGCTGACATCGGAGAATAAAGATAGCTAAGGTTCATGGATGGGCCTCGTACGGGGATCATGGACGCCCGGCACGTTCAGCATCAGGTCCAGGAGTGAATTCGTGCGTTCCTTGCAATTTGTGAAGCTGCTGATAATTGCACTACCTGACTCGGAACTATTCTAGGCCTGTGAGCTGGGAGAAGCCGGCAAATCCATATGTTGACGAACACAAATGAAGATCGCCCTGGGGTATCCTTGGCGAATCTTTGAGCTCGAAGGATACACTACAAAGTACTGCTTGGATGTACTAGCTAGATGGTCGCGAGTCGGCTGTGTCCTCGGATTTGGGTCCGCCAATCCAAAGCCCCGACCAGAACGCGAATGAGGCACGATACGGCCTCGCTTTATTACCGTGTGTAGTATGTTTTGTATACTTGCTTTCCTGATGTTGATGGACAGATCTTCACGGCGATTGGCGGCCCTTCCCCTCTCACATGTTCCTGAATCGAAGGGCATTAGATTCAATATAAGCACACCGCCTGGCGCCTCGTGAGGGTCGCGAGACTCAAGTTCCCCGTTAACGAACATGTCCACCACGGCCAGCCTTCAAGCTAGTATTCCTAGCTCTGGTTTCACCATATACAATAGCGATTACGACGCATTTGACGCTCTTTTGCATAATATCTGTAAGTCACTTCAGTCTCCAAATAAATGTGATAGCTGACCATTTCGCAGATGAGAACACACTTCCTAATAATTGGTTTCTTCCTCCATCTGCTTCTCAAACTACTGGTGTCTGTCCTTCGAGTAAATTCTTCGACGGTATCGCATGATTCATTTGGCATTGTTCCGACGAGCAACTTCCGTGTCTTCCCCTACGAGAATGCTGCTCTCGTCCCCTTTGAGCAAAGTGTGCGGAAACTGAATCCTGCGGTGGCCGTGAAAATCAAGACTGCAAGTGTTCATGTCGTGATATCGTCTACGTCAGTACTGTTTCAAGTGGTTCTTAGACGTCTCTAATCTTCTAATCACAGACCTCTTAACGACACTGCGATTCAAATTGATCACGGTACCCGTATCCAAATTCTCGAAAGTATGGATATGCTTCCTATGGCCGAGAAGGATCAATGCGGAGCATTCATCGTAAGCCATTCTAATTTGACGCGAGCATATTCGTTATTTGAATGGCTTTTTAGCGTAACGATGACTCTGTAGTCCTCTGGGCCTATGCGGTGGACTCCATTGTCCCTTTGTGCAAGGAATTCGAGGAGAAACTGATTAAATACATTTGGAGAACAAGAGGCTCACCGAAGAGGGACACTAATACTCCTCCCTTGCTCGAATCGCACAGTGAAAACCAGTCGATGTCATCGTCGGCCAATCTTCGACCAATAGCATCGTCAGTTGTGGAAGAGACCGTGTCCGAGAAGGAAACATCCCCTCAACCGCCACCACCGCGGAAGAAGAGTAGATGGTGGTCCTGGAAGCTTGACTCGTTGTCTCCTCCCTACCAATCAAAGCGGTGACATCGAGAAAGCGGGTGGCAGGCGTCGTGAACACAAGCGGAAGAATGTTCTTCTCGGTCCATTTTACGCAGGTTGTGGTGCTGCCATGGCTCTTTGTACGTGTTTTATATCTTCATAATGCCCCCATGACAAAAAACTGACCTTCGAACAGATTTCGTGGGTGCTGGTATCTCCATTCTCCTGGAAGAATATGCTCTAGATGGTGATATGACTCGGTTCGCTCTTGCTATTACTTTGCCTGTTATCTTCTGTGTATCTTTGGTGAGCACTTCCCTGCATTTACATGACCTTCCCTCACGTCATCGACCCAGTTCTTCTGTCTTCAACTTATCGGAAACGTCAGTCTTATCATCGGTCCTGTAGCCCAGTATCATGAAAATTCTGCCTTTTACTCTGCTGTTCGTCCTGAGCCTAATCCCGAGATCGACAACAACTTGCCGCACATAACGATTCAATGTCCAGTTTATAAAGAAAGTTTGGAATTGACGATGTGAGTCATCATACCTTGATTCCATCATCAAATTGAGTAATTATTGTGATAGCGCCCCATCTGTATTTTCTATCAAGAAGGCGATGCAAACGTACGCAAGACAGGGTGGCACTTCCGCGATTTTCATCTGCGACGATGGTCTTCAGCTCATCCCTGAAAAGGACCGTCAAGAGCGAATCGACTTCTATGCGAACCACAATATCGGATGGGTTGCAAGACCTCCTCATAGCTCCAAAGAAGGCGGGTTCAAGAGGGCTGGAAAGTTCAAGAAAGCCAGCAAGTAAGCAAGCCAGATCTCGGTTATAAAGTGACGTTACTGACGTGGTGCCCGACCAGTATGAACTATGGCCTTGCGCTTTCGATCAAGCTGGAAAAGCACCTAGCCGATCTTATCGCCCAAGGAGAGGACCAGAATGACCAGCCGTGGATGTCGCTCGAAGATCGGGCGATGAATATGGCTATCGAGGAGATGTATGAGGAGAGTGGTAGGAAGTGGAAGCCTTGGGCGAGCAACGGACAGAGCTTGAGGGTCGGCGAGATCATATTGATTATCGATGCGGATACTGTGGTCCCCGAAGATTGCTTTAGAGATGCTGCTCGTGAAATGGGGGAGAGTGAGGATGTCGCTATCATCCAACATGAATCAGGTATGAAGACATGAATAGCCTCATTCATATATGCTTGACGCTGATGTTGCCACACACGTAGACGTTATGCAAGTGGCGCATCACTATTTCGAAAACGGGATCACGCACTTCACGAGACGGATCAACAAGTGTATCTCCTACGGGTGCGCCAATGGCGAAGTGGCTCCGTTCGTGGGACATAACGCGTTCTTGCGGTGGTCGGCGGTTCAAGATGCTTCGTTTGTTGACGCGGCAGATGGGAAGCGCAAGCAATGGTCGGAAGCAAACGTTTCGGAGGACTTCGACTTAGCATTGAGGCTGTTGCTTCGGGGGTATACACTGCGTTGGGCCACGTATTCCAATGGTGGGTTCAAAGAAGGTGTCAGTTTGACAGTCGTGGACGAGTTGGCTCGTTGGTAAGTTGTTTCGTCAGTTTGGTGCTGCATTACTTACTCGTGTTGGTCTGATAGGCAGAAATATGCATATGGTGAGCTGATTTAGGAGGCCTCGGAACGAATGAACAGAAGGCTGATAGTATCTTTGTAGGATGCGACGAGATTATATTCAATCCTATAGTGAGATGGTGGCGGCAAGGTCCTATCAGCGCTCAGCTGAGAGGGTTCATGTGCTCCAAGGCCCCGATACATTACAAAATCGGAATGTCCTCGTACATGTTTTCGTACTGTAAGCTTTCGCAACCACTAAGCTTCGCATGCTTTCTAATCATATTCCTCAGATGGGATTGCAGCAGCCACGGTCGGGTCTATCGTCAACTATCTCCTCCTAGGCCTGGCACCTGAGCTGGACAAGTTCTATTTGCACAGCTTCGAGATCCTACTCGCCTGTGTGGTCGTGTTTCCTGCCCTGGGCAACGTGGGCTTCACACTTCTGGAGTATCGACTTGGGCACCGACAGCTGTTCGCTGCCTTGATCGAGAACTTGAGATGGGTACCCTTCTTGTGAGTGACAGAGAGATATCGTAATGTGAAAGTCTGAGACTGATTGGCTCTGCAAAGCTTATTCTTTTTTGGCGGCTTGAGCATTCACCTGTCGACCGCTCTCCTCGCACATATGTTCTCGTATGACATGTACGTATGGTCCGATTCTTCTCCCTTGCGGGCCAACTAAACGGCTCGTTAGGACATGGGGCTCTACCGGTAAAGAGGTGGAGAAATCGACGTTCTGGATTGAAGGTACGATGTTCCTATGATTTTCCGGCTGTCGTACCGGCACTAACCCCTCCCCGTATAGTGCCTCGCATCCTGAAAGGCTTCCGGCTGTCGTTTGTCATTTGCTTCGCCCTCATCATAATGATGATCGTGTTTGCAAGCAATGCTGTTCCTTACGAATGGCAGATCTGGGGGTACCAGTTTGCGTTAATTATCCCACTGTCGCTTGTCGTGGGATGTCATATTCTGTTACCGGTGCGTTTATATTTCTGTGTTCTCTGATGTGCCTCTCGCTTATCATTCCGGTTGCAGATTGTATTAAACCCGTGGTTGATGAAGTTTTCGTACTAAGCGAGACGTGGACACTAGTTTAGATGGGCGTTTTTATTTAGGTACATACTTACTGCTAGGAACAGGATTATCTGCGGACTTTAGGTCGTGTAGCAGGGAAATTAATTAAATCAGTCAGAATAGACGGGTAGTATTAAGGAAGCTGTGTGTTGTCGGGAGCGAATGTTTTGATCTCGAGCGGTAGCAGATGATTATAGTGCGACTTTAGTTCAACTCGTACGACCCGGAAGTTAAATTGGTGTTCTATTTCAGCCACTGCAGGGTAGACTGAACTGAGTCGGAAACATGCTAGACAAAGAGAACGAAGGACCCGCTCTCCTGGAACTTGGCGATCCTAACCTCCAGCCAGGGCCGAGTTCGAATTCGAACTAACATCCTTCTGTCACCGGTAAATTAAAAATTAATGTTCTTGGAATACACACGTACTCAAGGTACGTACGGTACCTGATCCGAGTTCGAAGCCAAGGACGGGTCCAAAACAACAGCTCGGGTATCAAGAAACTTGGCAATTCTCGGGCAGGCATATAAACACTTGGGTCGAATGCGAGCTCGGAGGCCTATTCCGAATGAGGAAGTAGGAAACTTTTGCTATCCTGGCTTTTGAGCAAGGAGTCGAGGGAGCGGGACGAAAACAACCCAGACCGAAAAAACGGTCTTCGATATGCCATACCGGACTGTTACCTCTTTATTTTCGTATACGTACTGCCGCATGGACACGTTACATGTCAGTACAAGCGCCAAGTACCCATAACCACGCTCCGGGAGGTTGGAGTCTCTCATTTCAAGGTAAAAACGTTGACTAAAGTCGACAGCGCGGCCCACCCACATCTTGTCCGACGGTAAAAGGCAAGCCGAATCATGATTATAACTCTGGGTGGCAGTCCATGACATCTTCGGTGACGTCCTTTAACTCATCTGCGAGGAAGTGGAATTACTCTGCGGACTTTGAACAGGCGAGAGTGAAAAAGAATAATTAGTGCTAAGCGGAAGCTGTTCGTGGGGCTGCTCTTTGGTTCTGGAAGAAGGTGCGGCGGCGGCAGTTATGAAGTACCAAACCCCGTCGACTATGGACGTTACTCAATGAGCACACGCCCGACTCGCGTACAAGTCTCTTGTGCATTCGAAAAGGAACGAAAAAGAAAGAAAAAACATTGATAGAATCACATTATTAGCCCATCACATCTTTTTCCCAGCATCGCCTTCCTGGAACTTAGCGATCTTTTCATAACTCTTGACATAATCTGGAGACTTCGTATAGGCGTGTCCACTGCCATCGCTTTTAGGATTCTGTGGCGTGGGCTGGCCACTGGCGCGATACGAGCCGGCTTGGGGGTGGTCCGTCGTGACATGGTGTGCGTCATGCTCGCGTGCAGGAAGAGCAGGTGGGGAACTGTCACGGGCAGTGGCAGTGGCGCGTAAAGGGTACCCGCCGTGGTTCTCCTTGGAACGAGCTATAGTTTCCTCGTCTAGAATATGGAAGCATTAATTTCCTTTGAAATAAATCGACAATAAATGTTTGAAACGCACATAGGGCAAGTCGTCCTTGCTCGATTCGTTTACGGTCCCTCCTGTCGAGGTATAGATAGAATGATGTATATCCCAAAATGAGAGCCCCCATGGCGATAATCGCTTTCTACAAGGGCGTCAGCTTAGGCGTTTCGTTCTGTAACGAGTACGTACCCGCCCAGTGTGGGGATTGAGGTTGCTGCCTGGAAAGTGCGAGGATTGTGACATGGTGAGCGAGGGAAAGGAAGTTGGCATTTCGTTCCCACATACAAAGCTTATAAATGGCGAGCTAACTGAGACATGCAGGCAATGACGAAATCGCTCTCGCGGTGAGACACTGGGCGGGATCATGACGCATGCTTGGTCGTGGTGAATTCTGCAGCTTGCAGGAACTTATCTGTTCCACAGTGGTCCCGGGAACCCAGGGTCACCACCGTGGGCCACGACGAACACTCAAGACTTTTTGCAGCACGTCCCCCTCGTGACATGGGCACGCGATGCCCTCATCCGACGCTTCTGGATGCGAAAGGAGATTCGATACCTTTGTTGCGCTAAGACACAGGAACAACCTTGGCCTTGGAAAAAAAAAAACAGAATTTAATCATTGGGTAGCTCGTATCTATCCCGCTGGTGTACCATTCTCTCGTCCTTTTTCTATCGCTGCAAACATAATGAGACACAACCCGACCCAAAATACAGCAATACTCACATTCCCTATAACATTGCAGCTCCATTTTCTTCCTCCTCGCCATCGACTGCTTGCCCAGTATGAACGCGCCGAGAGCCAAAGCGGAAACGCTCGCAAAACCTATCATCTGCATATCGACCGTTACAAGCCAAGCCAAGGCTAGACAAGACAACGGCAACGTACAACATTTCTTGGAGATCTTTTCGGCGGGCTGTCCTTGAAGGTACGGCCAAACTCTGGGAACTTGTACAAGGTCATTACTAGGATCTGGACATGGGCGGTTGCTTTGCGTCACGCTTGTGACCAGCAAACCCTTTTCGGCATTCGGACCGAGGAACATTTTGCTCCGCAATCACGAAATCACAAGTCGAACTTGGACATGTCAAGTGCTGCTACTATAAAAACTGTCGTTCGCGATCTGAGCGTTCCATCAGCTTCTAACGGAGCTTAGCCAAATACCGAGAAGCCATTTAACCGCCCTATTGCACTTTTTTCGCCTGGCGTCGTAAACCCGGAGCTGGATCTTGGGACACCTTCCAAATGTCGAATGGACTCGCCTAATACTGCTCGCCAAATCTCATCTCTGACACAACGTCGCCTGTTTGATATCTGATGTTCTCTGGAAAATCCCAGCGATTCTTGTGGGGAAAATGATGGGATGTACGCCACCCCACACACAGACGATAGTTTGGCTCCGATAAAGTTATAACCTTGTGTGCACGTTTTTTGATCATGGAAGGAGACGACGTCCCCCACCACAGCGACATCTACAAATATTCGTCCTGGCGTTTACCATTCAAGTGTTTATTCGATATCTGTTTTTCATACCCCCTCGACGTTGTAGTAACCTTGGCGACCCTTGTGTTGAAAAGGGGGGAGCGTACCACATGATCCGTCCCTAAGCAGCGAGCTGGCTCACCACCGTCGGTGGTGCCGACACAAGAAATTGATTGTTATGCAAACGTGTGTATCACCTCCCGGCATCAAACCTTGACATTTCGCTTAGTCGTGGCCCTTGCAAGGCTTTTGTTCCCTTTGTTGTGATTCTTTCATTTGCGGTGTGTTCGCAGCAATTTTCCATTCAATACGTAGCTGAAAGAGTGGGGCGGGCGTTTTTGCTTTTTTACATCACCCCTGATTCAGACAGTCGGTGCGAGGCGCCTAATAAGAAAATTTGTCTGGCCTCCTGATGTAAAGGATCCATCATAACTTCAAGGCAGTACTCCAAGAGGCGTCAAAAATTCCGGTCAAAGCTTCCACGTTGGCGTAGCAGGAACAGTCGGAACCGCAGCTACAACTTTGTGTTCTTCTTACCCAGTTCGTACCGTCCAGCCGAGTATTGGTCCGCCGATAATCGGGGCTTACACATCGTCCTCGAGAAATGCAGGCGATCCCTCCCGACCTTTGTTGTTTGGATTCGCCGTCGGTACGAGCAAGTGCCGAGGAGATGTCTAATAATCACGATCACTTCAGCTTATTCTATCGATCGGGCTGATTCCGCGGCACGGTATCCTTGAGGCTGACATTACACCGTCCCGCCGCCTCGTGTTTTGTTGTTGTCTGGGGAACCATTATCTCGGTTCTGCTTTGCTTGATACTGTTTCAGACGTGCCATGGTGGGCGCATGTAGGGGCAAGCGCTGGCAACGGTGCAATGGAGGATGCTGCAACGGTCCCCATTACCAGCTAGCAATTGCGAAAAAAAAACGAGGCATCATCAAATCCCGAGTGAAATGCACAACAAAGGCTGTTCACCCCTTTGTTTTATAATTACACATCTCAAGGTAATTATGACTCGGCGGTGTGTCACCTTGCTTGTTCTGTGAAAAGAATGATACATCCCGTGGCGAGGCTACCTGCAAAAGTATTCATTAATGAAGATGTCGAAGCAGAGATGAGTACGGTTATCTGATGCACCCGAAAAGCGAGGGTAGCGCCAAGAATGGCAAGGGTGTCATGTGAATTGAGTCGCGAAGGAACAATTGAGTCAGAATCGGACCAATTGATTCGACCCAGTTTGCTCGCCGGCTCGATTCGCCGCGATGTTATAAAAGAATATAAAAGGCCCCTCCCTTCCAACTATCCGCCAATCTTCCCCTCCTTGCAATGGCCAGCATTCATCCTCCCACGACTATCGACGAGTTTACTCGCATCTGGACTGCCAACGTCCACTGGCGGCTGTATGAGCAGTGTGGCGTCTGGGATCCACAGACAAGGGGCGTCCAGGTCTGGGTGTGCATACGCGAACGTGAGTCATCATGGGCGTTTTCTTTCGTGATTTCCTTACTTATTGCTTGCCTATGTGTAGACCACTCGACGCAGGGAACAGAGCCGCCCAACACATCCTTCTGGCAATACCTCGGTCGGGGCTAGCTCCCTTGCTTTGCATCATTATTTATTCCACCACCATCCTCCCTCTGTATCTTATCAACGCGCTTTCATGCACTGTGTGCCAATATCCATGACGGCGGACCTCCCCATCATCCATCGCATCATTACCCGCACCCGGCGCCGCGAGGTGATGAGCTACAGCTAGCTGCTGTTATTCTTTGGGCATGGGTGTGAGGAGGATTTGTTTGGTCTCTTGCAACTGCTATCATCTACTATACCTGGGTGTTGTACTATTCATTCGTCTTTCGGAACACTGCTCTTCGTCGCATATATACAGTAGAACTCTTTTTGAATACATACTAGTTATTTTCTTGTGCTATAAGTTATACTATTTCCCTTCTTTAGCCAGATGAAATTCTTTTGGGTGATGATGTCATCGTCGTGTCATAGTCTTCAGTCAGTAATTCCGCTGCCTTCGCACTTCATACATAAATATGACTTGCTCCACGATTAGCTGTTTGAACTTGGGAAAGCAATCGGTGAGAATTGTTGATCAAGATCGAGGCACCCTCAAACCGCCGAGCACGATATGATTATCAGATACCCTTGACGTGCCAAGTGGCCTTACTATGTGTTCTTGTTCCGACGGTCCATTCAGCTAGCGATCCAGCCCACTGGACCATCATCAATGGGCGCCATACGATACCTTTGGCCGATGTTTCCCCTGCATCATCACTAGAAGAGACTTGGTGTGCTGTACTGGCTGGCCATGTGCATCAAAGTTAAACTTCCAACTTCGGAACGCGTTCAAAGACGCGTCCTATCACATGATTACCACATAGCCACGTTTCAACTTTAAAAATTAAAATTAAAACCCCGAAGGAATCTTTGTCCCGGGAAACGTCTTCTACCGGATTCAGGGTATAAGTCTACACGCCTCCTACCTAACACGATTTTCAGGCAACAATCCACCTGTCTACTTGGTGGCTTCTTCTCTTCCGGGGTACCGGTAGGGCTCGGAGTCGGGTTCGAATTGTATTGAAAAACTCGGGAATTCTAATTCATGACCGAATTCCGGGCCAATATGAAGTTTGTTCGCGGCTTCACACGGCGATAGATGAACAGTTGAACATTCATCGATCCGAAGTCCCCGAGTCATCTGCCCACACTGCGCGTCGAGGAACAGACATTTCGAGGGTCCCGGTGGTCGTGTCTCTGCGGGCCCAGCGTCATCGATGACGGACGGGCGTATAATGAACGCCGCAAAGCCCACTTCCTAGACTGATTCGAGCACGTTGAGAATCCGAATCGGAAAAAAGGCTACCAAGTATGCACATCGAAGCAATAAAGTCCAGCTCGGCTAAAAAAAATTCAATGTTCTCGGTGTGGATCTAGAATATGTGATACGATGGAACTCGAAGCTTGGGGCTGGCTGTTCGATTCGCCAGAAAGATTTCGCCTTCAATGGATGCGAAAAGATGCGTACACCGCCGATACTACAAAGCTGTGCCGCCGGGGAGCCGCGGCATCTGCGGGACGATGTCCACGTGTACGCAAACCCACATCTCCGCTACGCCGCGTCGAGTAGCAGGACGGAGCCCAACATTTGTATTTTATCTCTTCATCCTCATGGGAACGAAAAAACTTTTGGCTTTTAAGCTTCTTTGAATGATTGAGAAACGCGGCCATTCGGCCCATCGAGACATACTTAAACAGTTCTTCCGTCCCAGAAGAGAAAAGACGTTCTTCTCCTTACTACTGGATGGCAATGGATTTGAGTGTTTCTTCGGGGTGAGTGGGCCTTTCCAGCTCTGGAATTTTCTTTTTTGACCGTAAAAAAATATAGGGCCTTGCTGGCGGCTTCTTGGTTGAACATGGTGTTGTATACGTCCCAACTCGCTTTGAGTATCTATTGTTTAAGCCATTTTTCAACGGCGATGCGGCTGTACTATTGGATCTGGACATCCTTGTTTCTCGATGGGGCTTGTTCGATTATCGTGATGGCTAACGTTTATACTGTGCGTTGACTACGCATTAGCGATTATTTTCTGACGCCGCATTCATAGTATTTGATTATCAATGACGGTCAGCTCTACACTTGAAGCTTGATCTCGTGCGGACGCTTGACTGTGATACTCAGGTTCAATTTACCCGATATCGATATGGATGCTCCCTACGATTATCCTGCTCACATATACATCAGCCTCAATCGCGCAGGCGTTCTTTTGCTATCGATATTGGACGGTGTGGGTACCTCCGAGTTCGCTTTGATTCACTTCTTCTTAAGTATTTGTAGCGCAAGAAATAGATGGATCACAGGATGGATTATCATCCTTATCACTGCACATGTAAGCTCCGGGTCCTCGATCTCCTGATAACGATGTCTGATAGGCAAGTAGATGCTCTGCTCCCTCGCCTCATGCCTGGTTTTCATCACCCACCCCACGCACATCTCGACTGCAATCCCACTTACGATGTGATCTTTTCTTTATTCCACCTCGGGTCACTATAACTGATGAGGGACTAGCGCGAGCTCCGCTGTATGTGCGATAACAGACTTGACAATCGCAGGGTCTCTGGCGTGGACACTATCCCGCATACAATCACCCTGTCCGATTACGAGAAAGCGAGTCTTTCAATTTCGGGAACTGTTCATCTAACGATGATCGATTCCAGTCTCCTGCGCCGCGTCATGATCCACGCCTTGACTTGTGGGTTCACGACAGCCTTTTCCACGACACTGATGTCTATCTTGATGTTCACCGCCTGGAATGGTGAGTAGTCGTCCGTTTTCATAGATCCCGAGCTGACATCAGAAGCTTTCTATACCATCTTCGCCATACTCGGGCGCATCTACAGCCTGACGATTTTGTTCAATCTTATTTTACTCAAGGCCTCGAGTCACAATGAGGAAAGCGATGACGGTTCGGAACCCCAGACAATTCTTAGCCCGATATGTGAGTTCTTTTGTCACGGCTCGCTGCCAAGTTGAGGCCTTGATGAATCAAAAACGCTGCAGACTTTAAGCATAATGCGGATACGATTTCCATTGAGCGGTGGTCATTCAGCTCTGAGGTATGTAGCATCTCTGAATTGGTGTGAATACCGACCGACCGGATGTTCGTAGAGTGAGACCGTTCGACATCCAACGTATCCTCACTCCAGACATCCAACAAACGACCAATGTTCTATTCATACTATATAATACTATACCAGCTTATCGACAAGACACGACCCGGATAATCTTTAGATCATAGCACTCTCATTACAGCATCCATCAGTCCTTCACTGTAAATTACCAAGTTCAAGATTTATTCAGCGCCGACTTTCGTTTACTATTAGAGACGGACATATCTATGTCCCGTCGGCTCGTCGTACTGCGAACAGATCTCCTGCAGGTTCAACACCTCGCGGGAACCGGTCCGAAGAAACGACAGGCGGCTTTTTTGACAGCTCCTCCTACCGAACGGACATGTCTGCTCCATTGCCTTGGAACGACCGTGGTCGCCGCCCATACCCACGTTGCAGCAATGTACAGAGTTCTATGCCGTGATGAGTAGCCACAGATTAACATTGAAATTTAACCTTCAGGAAACACAGGTGTATCATGGCATCTAACATGTCGGGTGTAATGCTATTCCTGATCACCGAGACCTGGACTGAATGCCGGGAATTTCCTTCTTCGTTCTTTTCACGATCTTCTTGAGATAGCCGTCAAGGTTTTGGAGTTTTCCATGAGGGTCGCCACTTGCAGGGGCACGCTGTCCTGCGCATTTGTCTCCGAGATATAGAAATCGTTCTCTCCGTTCGAGAGCCTCCCTACTCTTCCCGCGATGTCCTGGAATTTATTACATGGTGCTGTGTCTTTAGGGTGAGTCTCTCTCGTCTTCATGTTCAACTTTGGATCGCCTAGGATGGAAGCATAGAACACTGCTGGCGACTTCGTGGTTGAACGTAATATTGTACACGTCCCAGGTCGCTTTGAGTATCTACTATTTGCATCACTTTACGGCGTTGAGGTGGTTGCGCTACTGGATCTTGGCATCCTTAGTCCTCGACGGAGCTTGTTCGATCGTCGTTATGGCTAGCATCTACATGGTTCGTCACCAGGGTTTTTGATGATTCTCCTGCTGATACAGCTTCATAGTATCTGGTTATCAACCCTTGTTTGTTCTTGTCCGTAATTCTTGTTTGCGACTCATCACTGGAAGGGTATCTAGGCCCATTACAACCCACGTTTACATGGACCGTCCCGACAATTGAGTTACTCACGTACAATTCTGCATCAATTGCGCAGGCCTTTTTTTGTTACCGACATTGGACGATGTGGGTTTATTCTTGATTTCTCGCGGTCTATTCTCAGATGTGCTCAGCGCAAGGAACAAGTGGATCACAGGATGTATAATTATCCTTATCACAGCATATGTGAGCCCTCCCGCATTGTCATACCCTGCACTTGCAAACAACGGGCATGTGTTATTAGATGGTTTGAAATCTGATATCGACGGTCCATGTTATCATCTACCCGAAGCAACTCGTTTCAGCCGTACCTCTGATAATGTACGCTTATGCACTAGCTAGCTCACTGCACAGGCTGCTGCGTTTTCGATGGCCCAAAATGGAACCCAAAAGGCTTCGTTTGCGGCTTCGGATTTTAGACCCTCGTTTTGAGTGCCTTAAAACGAAAAGGTATGTAATTCTGCCGTCCCACAGGGGGAATGCTTTTCATATTGATTTACCTCTTCAGGACTCGAGGAAGGGATTTGCTAAAGTGCTAAACGAAGCCTTTTAGGATTCTGTTTTAAACCCGAACGCACTTGCCTCTGCTGTGAGTATTATTGTTTCGGCGCCGTGGCTGACAATCGGACCAGCTCAGCCATATGCGCGGTAACGGACATGATGATTGCCTGTTCTCTGGCTTGGAAGTGTTCGCGCCTAGAGTCGCCGTATATATCTACAAGGAAGTAAGTGCTTAAACCCCGACAAAGACGGTTTCTTTCAGTTGTTGATAATGGATATAGCGTATTACGACGCGTCATGATACATGCCTTAACTTGCGGCTTCACAACGGCCATCTCCACGACACTCATGACATCTTTCTTTTCATTGTCTGGAATGGTGCGTGGACTAGGGCTTTGCGACTTCGCCTCCATCATTAACCTGTCACGGTATAGCATGCTATTCCCTTTTTTCTATACTCGGACGCATTTATAGCCTAACAGTTTTGTCAACTCTTATTCTTCTCAAGGTTATGCATCGTAGTGACCCATCTACGGGAAGGAAGGATAGTGATACTAGTGGTTCCAGCGAGCCTCCTGCGGCCCTGGACCCGATCTGTAGGTCTTTCGTTATACTATTCTTAGGAGATACTGATGGAATTGACTATTGTAGGCTTTAAGCACACGCTGGGTACCCAGACGACAGGCAACACGCAGTTATCGGTATGTTTACACATCACTTGTCGTATTTTTACTGACTGTATTTCTCCCGGACCTCGGTAGAGTGAAACTAACGGCTACTATCCGACGCTTCCTCAATTAAGGGCGAATAATCAACCTCAGGTTTTCATTCACACTGTTTGATCTGATATCGGTTTGGTGTCGGTTCATCGAAAACATTGATCACACCGCTCGGTATCCATTTTAACTCTGTGGTCATTCATATTGTAGATTATTAGAGGTAAAAATTTTCAAGAAGACGTTAATTTTATTCAGCATCTATAGCTGGACAATGAATACTTGTGGTTTCAACGGAAGCGCGATTCGACTCGCCGGTCAATACCAAAAAATGTGGCTGTGCAAATAAATTGGACAATGTAAGTGAGCTCCTAACTGTTCCATGACCCTGGACTTTTTAACACTTACCTGTCTTCTAGTTTTGTAACATCTGCGGATCCGTTTATCGGAAAAGGTGACTTTACCTCGAACAACCCGGGTTTATAGTAAGGTGTCGTAAACTACCAGGCCATCAGTTATGCAAGCCGCGATTGAAGTCCCGTCCTCCTGTATGCAGTCGGCTGACAGTCTGACCATGTGCCATGACCACTTAAACCCGCCGTGAGATAGGTCACAACCAGGTACACTACATGCGGCGCAGCGGGCAGTGGCAGTGTTTTGTGATCACGGAATCTCTTTCTCCAATTAACTATAGGTTCTTCCTGGGAACGTTGACAATGCCCCGAGTTTTTAGGGTTCGATGCACACTGCTTGACCGGAGGTGTACCTCCGAGACATAAAACCGTTCGTCCGTCTAGAACTCAAGAAGTATTACGAGCGTTCTCTTCCCCAGCACTATGACCTTAAAGTTGTTTCATTTTGGCGTGTCTTCAGGGTGCGTCCCTTAGGTCTTCGCTCGGATTGAGATCACTAAGAATGAATGTTAAGAGTCCTTCTGGTGACTTCGTGGCTGAACACCTTGTTGTACGCATCGCAAGTCGCTTTGAGTATAGATTACTTGCGTTGCTTCGCGATGACAAGGCGGTTGCGGTATTGGATCTTGGGATCTTTAGCCATCGACGGAGCTTGTTCGATCGTGGCTATGGCCAACACTTACGGAGTACGTCCTCCTCTTGTGCCCTTATGTCTCGTGCTAATGTGGGTTCCAGTCTTTGGTGAATAACTCTGGTTAGTCCTTATAATAAATTTTCGCCCACAAACTCATCACTCGGTCAATATCGGGTATCCAGGTTCATACGAAGTGTCTACATGGACCATGCCGATTTTAGTCTTACTCACGTACGCCTCCGCCTCAATTGCACAGGCCTTTTTCTGTTATCGGTATTGGACGATGTAGATTTCTCTCAGATCTCTTGCATTTCATTCTCAGATTTGCTTAGCTCCAGGAATAAGTGGATCACAGGATGCATCATGTTTATCATTACAGTAAATGTGAGTCTTTCCCTTAGCCTACACAACTTATGTTTTGCAAACAGTGACTGTAGATGCTGTTCTGTCTGTCATTACTCGTCTATATTGTCCTCCATCCGAAGGAGCTGGAGTTAGACTAGCCGTTGGCGATGTGAGATTATGCTCTCTTAGTCTAGTGTTACCTTGGGTTGACACAGATACAAGCTCCGTGATATGTGCAGCAACAGACATGATGATCGCAGGCTCTCTGGCTTGGACATGTTTGCGCATAGAATCACCATATGCAACTACAAGAAAGTGAGTATTTAAATCCCAATGAATCTAATTTGTTTCACTCGTTGATAATGAATATAGCGTACTACGTCGTGTTATGATACAAGCCTTGGCTTGCGGTTTCACCACGGCCATTTCCACAACACTCATGACCATCTTTCTTCCCACTGTCTGGAATGGTGTGTGGGCTTTGCGACTTATTTTTCATCATTAAATGTCATGGAATAGCATGTTATTCTATCCTTGCTACTCTCGGACGCATCTACAGCCTCAGTGTTCTGTTAAATCTTATTTGGCTCAGAGTTATGCAGCGTAACGACCCATGCACTATGTAGATAGATGGAAATAGTGGTTCCAGTGAACCTGCGGTTCTGGAATCGATTTGTGAGTCTGTCGTTGTGCGGTTTTCAGGAGGGACTGATGGAATTGATTATTGTAGCCTTTAAGAACACGTTAAACACCGAGACGGGCAACACACAGTCATCGGTATGGGTACAACCTTTTTGTTCATGATTAGACCTTTACCTCGATTTCGTTAGAGTGAAAGAAGTGACCCGACGCATATTCAAATGAGGATCTCGGCGAATGATCAACCTTTCCTTCACACCGTTTGACTTGACATCGGCCCACCGGTCCTGAAGGAAGGCATCAAAGGACACCGATTATTCACAACATGCATATGATGTACAGTGTTAGCACTTGTATTCGCTCAGGGTCGTATCCTACGCCGTGTAGAATCCTTGAGAATAATACCGGTTCTGCGGTCCGATTATCCGGTTACCGTCTTCGCGCCTTCGGTCCTTCGAAGTCGCCCTTATTGCACCACTCATGTAGGGTACAACAACACCAGATTTTCACAGCGTGATGGATCATTATTCTTATTATGGTGCATATACGTTTTCTCGTTGTCGATTTCCAATGGGAACCTAGATGCTTTGCTCCCTGATTTCATGCCTCAAGGACAGAAGTTGTGTTCAACCTTCCTTGACATAGAGGTCGCCATTGGCGCCACGGATGCGTTCAAACCTGCTGCAAATCTCACTATCCAAATCCACTGATCTTGCTACGCTCCATGAACTCGAAGTACCCAGGCGATAGTTGCAAAATCCCAACTTTCGTCAATTTCTTACTGGATGGTATATGTAATGATCTTTGTCGGAGTAGTACTTGGTGAGCATATTCATTAGCTTCATAAAATTAAACTGATGAAATGGCTTCGCCGATTGGTTCATTCGGCGAAGAACTGGACCTTGGCATAGTGCAAGACTGGGACGCTTTCGGACTAAGATCGTTGTTCTTAGTAGTTCGAAACTAAATGAGAAGCAGCAGCCATGTTTGTCCAACCATGGCACCCGGCTTCTCGTTACGTTCTAGAACTTGTAAAGGAAAGACACGTCTGGTTTGTCCGCGCGACAGTCTTGCAGTGAAATCTTGTTATACTACAGGTATATGCATCTGCCATGGAATGCAGAACGCATATAGTCGGATCCCTTTCCCGGCATGGTAGAACAAGATTTCAAGGTCCCGTTTTTCCTGCGTTAAGTGTACCGCTTCCGTTGAAAATCCGCAACTCCAGGTGCAATACAATTGCTATTTCACCTACAAGAACGTAATGGTTCTGAACCATGGCATAATCTACCTTGACGGCGTCCTCACAGATCTGGTAAATAAACGGTGAACTCTATAAACGTTAAGCATGACTCATATCACCCTCTTAGGAATACGTGGGGATCTTCGTCTAGGATTATGTTGATTTTTAACAATGGAAGTCAATCTATACCTCCAAACTATCAGAACGTCGCCAGTCTCGACCTCGGTGTTTCCCTGTCGTATTTGCCGGTATCCATCCGACGAATCCTACATTGATGAGAATATCGTCGGTAACCAGTATCTGAAGCATCCTCCTCCTTGCGATTATGATATGGCGAAGTTCTAGACGACCAGGACGGACATATATGACATACAACGTGTCTATCTTAGTTAGATACTGCATCTACTAGGATCCTATTCAGAGGCTAAGATCTGATACAGGAAATTTTCAGGTTCTGATATGCGGTTGGTACTAGCATCGAATACAAGATTCGAAGTTCCTTCAAACGTTCAACTCCGCTTGCCCCAAAATGTACTTCAGGTCTTCTACCGCACCGTCCGTCTCGATCTGGATGAGCTTCGCCTGAGTTGGATATTCAAGTCGCGTAGTATGTTCAACGAGAGCATATCTACGATCTCCCTCTTGAAGCCTTCGTTACGATCAACGGCATTCCCCCCACTTCTTCTGCCCTGCTTGGACAACCTTACGACGTGAAAGATTCATTTACTGATGGAATGTGGGGGCGGTCCTTCAACGATATCTATGGAGATGCATTCTCGCGTGAACCTCTCTTTGATGCCCGGGTACCCTCCGGTTGAATCTTCGACTAGCAGTCAGCTCTAGGTCCTAAGGGGATTCTAGGTCTGCATCACTATCGTATCGTGGCAACCACTATGGAGCAATAGCCGTAGGAGAAATGGAAGACTACATATATATTACGCTCGGATGCAGCGCCTTCCGCCGAAAGTACTCTTTCGGATTGACTATTGTTACAGTTTCAGGCTTCGTATCTCGCTTGAATAGGGACCCATTATACGACCACCAGTTGATATTATATAAGTACTACTATACTTGTTCTCGTGAACTTATGCTCATTGTACTGAGCAGTGAGCGAATTTCCACAAAAGTGATAGAATGTAAAGGTCGTACTGAATTATTTCAAGTTCCTTCCACGGACGTGCATATTACCACACGGCAACCATACCTGCCAAAAAGCGAAAATAATCATGACCATGCTGGCGAGTCGACAGAACGATCCTCTGATCTAGGTCTTTTCGCGATGGTCCCAACGGCGATTTTATGCAAGTACTGGCGAATCGAGCGAAGGGGAAATAATATGTGTAGCATTAATCTCGTGTGCCATGGAGGGATGCGTGAGTGGCTGGTTGACATGGTCACGGTTTGCCTTTTCATCATTTGTCGACTAAGTATGGCAAGTGTTGATCATCTTCACAGCACCGTGCTCACAGATACGAAGGAAACGGGCCACCCAAGCCTCGAAGGTCCCTTATAATGTTTGATGTGAAAGATATGCCCCTCAAAACATCAAGGAAGAGCTGAATAGGACGCTGGAAGCTGAGCGGTGAAAACCTATTCAGATTGATTTACGAACCTCTTCAGACTGCACCCTGTCGCAAAAAGCATCAATGCTAAGGTCCCTAAACAATACTTCAATAGAATAATGGTATAAATGCAATACCACTCGCATACTGTTCATCTTAACATAACTAGGACCCGGAATGAAAGGCGGAATAGCAGGACTAGTACAGGTAAGGGTATAGAAAACTGAATCGCTGTCGTACCATAGTCATTAAGAAACATGTATCGTTTATCCGGACACGGCGTGAAATAGATATGAAAGGCACACTCACTCCTCCCTCACCAAGTCAGGCGGCGGGCCAGTAATATCCACCTTGCCCTTTTCGTTCATCTTAGCGTCAACCAGGCTCACGATAACCCCATGTTCCAAACATTCCTTCGCCTCAGACTTGGACAACTCCCCAACAGGACCATGAGCTAAAGGAAGCCACACGATCCTCTGAGGCCTCGAAGCTGCAGGATGTGCGAAGCCATAGCTGTCCTCCTCCTTCTGCCGCTCCTTCATGTTCTTTGCCGCCATAAAGTCGTATTCCTTCGCGACGCCACCTCCACTATCATGTGAGCCTTCGCTATCTCCATCTGAACTCGAAGAAGCAATCTTCTCTTTCTCGGGCGGCTTCGTCGACTCGGACTTGTCCTGTTGAGGACCGTTAGGCGCTAGACGCGTCTCGGACCCGGTGCGATTAGACGAGTCTTCCTCTTCTTCCGCATCGACCTGCGCAGCTTCCATCTTTTCCACCAAGCTGAGCGGAAGAGCGTGGATTAACGGGTCATAAGAGTTGTTGATGATCAGATGGAAGAAGACCTGCATTAAACTATGAGTCCAAGCTGCAAATGACTAACACAAACACTCACAGTGAGTATAATCAATACAACCATCAGAGCACCTTCTGCTACCGCGCTGGCTTTACCATTCTCGTCCCGGGCGAGGAAAAAGAGGGCGCACAAACAGACCTGCGAGGGTATTTCGTTTGAATCACTTGCGGGAGAAGAGAAGCCAACATACCTCTTCGACGTACAAACCGACAAAGATGTGTTGCATTGCCTTCGGGAAGAACAAACCACCGGTATCATCGGGCTGCTGGAACTGCCACAAGAAGAGATACTTGTACAGTTGATAGAACAAGAAGAAAGTTGCACAAGCTAGACCATTAATAATGGGTGAAATGATGGAATATCCGAGAGCTAGAGCAAAGATTAGTAGTGCAATATAGGCGTTGCTGTCTGTACTCACTAATCGTAGTCAACAACGTGATACCGGGGAAAAGAGTGCCCCAGGCCACATTACGAGCACCGTACTTGATCCCCCAGATGCTCCGCGGCGTACTTCCGAGAAGGTAAAGCTTCACGTAATAGATAGCCAGTGGGACGATCTGCAAAAATCCGGATGCTGTTCCAGAGAGACCTTGCAGGATCACATACCTGTGAAAGAATGTCAGAATGGTTCAGCTGTGACCAGAAATTCAACTTACGTCAAGAAGAAAGTGGAAGATGTCGGCAAGTTTTGAGCGAGCAAGGTGGGAATAGATGTCGGGTTGTTGATAAGACCGTCCAGAGATGCAATGATACCGGCAGATATAGTAACGATAAGGAATGAATGCTATTGTGGCGTTGGTAACCTGTCCGCGCGCCACGACAATAAAGTGACTCACGATGACTTGGAAGATGAAATAACGCGTCATAAGACTGAGTTCCAGGCCTGTCTTTTTTGGAATGCCTTCGAAACGTGCCAGCAGACGAAGAACAATGGGGAGGAGCATCATGAGAACTGCGAGAGCGACGGGGGGAAGGATACCCTAGCAACCAGAACGCTGAACAGTCATGCCGCGTACAAGGAGAAAATCTCTCACCGAAATGATACCCAGGACCGGGCCAGGTAATGTACATATCCACGCAAGCCAGCTAGCCGTGCTACATAGCGTATACACATTGGAGACGATACCAACGAAAGCCACAGGGAACGCCCAAAAGATAATGAGAGCCGCAGTAATTGAATAGCTGATCACTAGCCGAACCTAGAGCGTCGATTTAGTCGTAATAGATCTCGCAGCGGTGAAGCGAAAACGTACCTTCATTTCGTATGGGTTCATTCCGAGGTTAGCCCAGATAACGTCGTCAGGTGCAACTTCGGTATAGCGACCACTCATTCGATAAGGTTCATGGTGGAGAAGGACTTGTATTCCCAAATGTGCTGCGATCTGTCGGTTGAACGTGATGAATGCACTATTGAGTGGAGGATACGTGGTGCCGGAGGGGTCGTCGAGTTTTGCCCTGCCTTCGTCGAGTAGCTGAGTACACTTCTGAATCTCCTCTCTGGCCCAGTCAATGGAGTCCACCTTCTTCCCCCAGAGACCAAGGAATCCAAGCCTGTGTGTAGGGCGTTTGTTTTGGGGAACAGCCACGGCAGTCTCTTCCGAAGAAGCTTTGTCCAATTTGCTAGCGATGGAGAGCAGTTTGTTCTCAGCCGACTCGAGCTTGTTACAGGCATCGAGGCGACGATCGTAGATGTCGGGAAGCTCCTTGAGATTTCGGTTTATGAAGATACGTTTAACACCGCCAGGAAGTTCGCCGAATAACTTCATTAGCCCCTCCTGCGACAGGTACTTGGCGGGTATGCCGGTGACGAGGATAGTATTCGCCTGGACAGATTTGGAATGGACAGGATCAATGAGGAACTGTTGTCGCTTAAGGATGAAATTGCGCATTTCATTCTTGATATTGTAAAGCACCCAGCCTGCGAGAAGATAAATACGACGAGTAGACTGGATTAACGCGTAACGCACCTGTGAACAACCAGGCAAGGATTATATGCGCAGCATACCGATCCTGTTTATCAGTAGCCACATTCCCGAAAACGAGTATATCCAACTTCTCGTTATTTCCCACTCGAGTTTTCACGCTCGTGACAGGTAGCAGGATGGCCCAGGAAAGGAACCAAATTGGCAAGAAAATCTTGACCATCATGCGGAGGAAGCGAACGAAGAGATAAGCGTCCATGCCGTTCGCTTTGATAATATCATTGTAGTCCGCCTTGAAGACTGCAATTGGCCAATAGAAAATGTTTTTTGAAAGAGGTCGAATCCTCTTGGATGGGGCTGGAACATAGGTGCGGGGTTCGTAAATAGCCTTGAAGTAGGGTCGTAGTAAGGTGAATGCAGCGATCTCGATACCGAAGACGGCGGCGTTGAATACGAGCGCAGTGATGAACGTCTTCGTCGACGCCGACGGCGCGGTGGAGATGTCGTCGCTCATGGTGGTGGGAGGGAGAGGAAGCAAAACGATCGAATGGTTTTGTATTTGTTTGTCTATATATAGTCAGTCCCACTCCAATCTATGTGTCATGTCTCGGCTGCACTTCTATGACGCGTTTTCAAACGGTTAGACTTCTTATTTTGAGTCTCCAATGCAGGGGAAACGAGAAAAGAACTGAAAAGTTGGAAGAAAGGCGCATTTAGGGGGGATCCAGAACGAGGAATTTTGGTTTCAAAAAAAAAAACAAGCTTGTGGACTTTTAGCATGCCTCATGTCAAGTACCGCCAGCAGACAGTAGGGCTCTCTCGGTGCTATTCCGCAGCATTTGCGATTATCTCCCCGACTGTCCTGTCAATCGGAATTAATCGAACCTGCAACAAAACTTCCAAAAAACGGATAGTTAGGAGGCTCCCTGCAGCTCGACGCGGGGACGGAAGGGGACTGGAAGGGGATTCCTCTGGATAATTAAAAGACTCGGGTGGCCGTCGATAAGGTGGGCTTCGTGCGGCAGAACACCGGACACAAACAGGCTCCGTCCATGCACAAATGCGAAAAATCCGTCGAATCGTGGGAAGGGGCTAGGAACAGCACCTGTCGCGCCCAATGCCATCGGCCTAAAGTCTATCCTCCTCCACATTGTGACTGTCAAAGCCTCTCCTGGAAACTTTTACGGAAAAAAGGAAAATCCTGACGCGCTTCACAGAGCTCGGGATTCGATAATAAAGACGGCTGGCCAGGCTATCGGATTCGAAACCTAGAAGACGCGAACACATGACCAGAAGGAACCCGCGATCGATGATGATGCATCAAGATCATAGCCCGCGCGGAGCGACATCGCCGCAGTTCATACAATCCTGCTTTGAGATTGACACATTCTATGGACCTTGAAGACTTAAAGCTCAAGATTTAGTACCAGTGTAGTGCAGTGTAGAAATCTGTAACATCAAACCTTTCGCTCAAATCCCTAGTGGGTCCAAATTCGAGCGCTAGGTTGAACTTCAATTACGAAGATAATCCAATTGGTCGAAGGAGAGAATGAAAACGACACCTGGTTGGAGGCGTGTTTTATTGGATTCGGACCAGACAGCTTGAGGATAATCAACTACGTAGGGACTAGTTCGAGTATTCATAGTAAGAAAGGGGTCATTGTTCGGAGAGAGTCAAGTCCTGTTAACTTGGGGAGGTTTTGTGTAGGCAAGTGCTATCATTGACGCTGCTGATGACTAACATGTTATACACCATGTTCAGTACGCATACATCTTGTTTACAAACTGGAACTCACCTCTGGAGCACGGATTCAGGACATTGAGGGAGCGAGACTGATAGTGGTGATAATGAATGCCATCAGGACATGGTGAAAGGCAGTAAGGTGCTCTAGTCCTGGTGTAGTAAAGGCAGGCTCTACGCAAGCTGCAGATTCCGACCCCGAGGTAACGTTCCATGTTCAAGCAGTTGCCTTCAATGCTGCTGGAAGACGACCACTTTGTACGCATAGATGGCAATATATACTGACAGTCACTACCGGTGTTCTGGTCCCCATCTTCTTTCAGCAACCAGTCTTTGCTGTCTTGCGAATGAATGGCTGGTTATTTTGCCGCATACATTCGTTCCTTGGCGCATATAATTACCAGATATGCTTTCCCGTGGTATAGAGCTTGTCTATGATGCAGTTTGTATACCTATTTGAGAATGTACTCCCAGCAACGCATTCAGTGATTCTGCTCGTCGTTTCCATAGCAAAAATTTAGACGCCGACTAGGAGGACCAAGGTTTGGAATCTCCTCGAAGCAAGTTGCAGCACAACCAACTGGCCGACCCACTTGAGCGCTTGAGAACGAATGACTGGGAAAATCTGACACGTACCGGTGGAAGTAGAATAATATCACAAGCCTGAGACGAAGTCAGAGTTGCTGACCAAGACGCTCAAATAAGAAGGTAGCGAACTCACCTGACGTCAATAGTCCCAATTTGGGTGTTGGGATTTGCAGGGTGCCACTCCCACCCTCTCCTTCGACCAGGAACTGCGCATAGGATGCCTGGTCTTCGTGTCCTCGCAGGCCCTTCCCTAGAGGCTCTGGAGCCTATTTCGCCCTTGGTGAACACGAATCAAACGTTCAAGATTTCCTCAGACATCTTCGACGGCGAGATTCTTGTGAACATCAAAGGTTTTACGAATTCGCACACAGGCGACGTTCGGGAAAGCGAGTACTTCTCCCGCAAGGATCGTCAAGGTATTACTTGGAGTGTACAGGTTCAGGGTAAGCTGTATTTACTAGTCATCAGGCGGTTGGCTGACCGTCATGATGTCTAGGCAGGTTCTTGAAACCATACTCTGCCAATGACATTTTGTTTGGGAACACCTTTGATAGGCCACTCAACCTCCCTTGGGGATCTGGTGCTGCATTGAAATTTATGGCGTAAGAGATCTTTGTGGAATATAGCGTTCTTGCCACTAAATATACCTTCCGTTGCAGATACGTCGACCCTGTCCTTGAACACGACCTTACTTCCCAATCGAAACCATGGGCATTGTCACCGCTCATTTCTACGATGCCCCATTTTGCTCACTCGCGGTTGGACCGTGACCTGCAGGACATAGACTCAGGCATCCCGCCATTCCCTACCGAATATACTTCTATTTCAGACGATACCTCAAATCTTTATCTTGCCTCAGTCTCAAGCTCTCCTTGCTCTTCTACATCGTCTTTATCTTCCTCTTCTTCTTCCGCATCTTCCAAATCCAGTTCTAAATCAAAGATAGCAATACGACGCAAGCAACGAGCGAATCAGAATTTGGCTACCCTCCAGACAGCTTCACAGCGCCAAGCATTCTTCTCCTCAGAGGAGAACAGACGCATGATTGTATTTTCCGACCAGGTGCGATCGCACCATTCTTCCCGCTGAACAGCATTTCTAATTGATCCCAAAGGACGTGATTACAGCAGATTTTTGCTATGGATTCCTCGAATTCAATCCGTCACTCGCACTGCGGCTTCCCGGTGGTATTTCCTTCGATCTGATGCGATACTGGGACGGACAGCCTGTTAGGTTTGTATGCTGTGAACGTAACCCAGATCGAGACGCCGAAGGAGATCCCTGGGGAAGAATTTTTTGGTGTATTGTGATTGAACAGGCTGATTGAGTGCACCTAGTTGGCATGGAGCTTTAGTCGTATATTATTAAATAGCATAAAGATGCTGATATTGCGAGGGATTTCGGGAGAGGTCAACGTGAATACTTCCTGAAATTGATTACTGACTAAAGCTGTACATACCACCGCACATCAGTTTAGAGTTTTTATAGAACCTTGGGAACGAAAATCTGTTAACGAGTAGCTAGCTGCGCAACCTGTGAAAAACATTGGGAAAATGAGAATCCAAGGCCTGGTCTGGACATAGGGTACCTCAATTTTCATGCGACCCGACGTCATGCATGAGAAAACCTGTGACTCGAAGGAATAAGATCAGAATGCACGGCATGGAACCGTTTGCCACTGGCCGGAGAACTTTGATCGAGGGAAAGATCATTGATCTGTGGGAGCTTTCCCTCCTTAAAGTCACGGCTTACCGACAATAGAAAGGAGGGAAAGCGGGAGATACGTAAGGGTGAAACACTGAATGGTCAACTCTACATCTATTAAATGCGAAAGCAGATGTGCTCAATCAGTCTGTATATGTGCACCAGACTAAGAGTATATAAAGTAACACGAGAGCTGTAAGGTCACCGCTGATCCCATCGAGAGTCCAGGTGTTAAAAGAATGACTTGGTGGAGACAAGCGTGTAGTAAAAGAGGGCGTGATACAGACTGTGATGAGAAGCAAAAAAAATAGTACAAAGAGAGGTGCACTCTCTGAATGATAAGATATCGACAGTAAATACGAGCGATATATAAACGGCACGACGAAAGAGTGGAAGTCATAGTGCAACACGCGTAGAACACAATAAAAAGGTGATAAATAAAGACAACCAACAACCCGTAAGAAGGAAGGAAAGAACGAGGAAAGCAGTCTAAAGCAGCGTGTACAAAGTCCAGACAGTTAATGCCGATATTATCAAAACACCCGTCGCACCCGCCCGTAATATCAGCGCACCAGATGCGACAGCCGCAACCGTCCGCGCATAATCAGATCCACAGTTACCCGTCGCCAGCTCCTGAGCCGCAGGATAAGTCGTTCTCAATTCATCAAGCAAGCTCGAGGTCGATGAATTGTCTAGCCCATCAGCGTAGACAGTCATCAGACTCTTCGTGCAAGCCGAGCATGATGGTGTGGACGAGTTAGGCACACTGATTCCCAACGGCAACTCATAGAAATAAAGATCTGAAGGGTCCGAGTTGTGGACCGCATTGACGTAACAATATGTGTCGGTGGTAGGATCCGTGAGGCAGGCAGCGGTGTACATGGTAGAGTACGCCTGCAGGGATGCAAGTGTATCGACAGCATTAGAATTATTGTCTTCAATATCGGCTTGGCACTGTGTTTTCAACGTGGACGCAAACCACGCCATATTGGTAACACATTGAGAATAGCTGAGTGTTGGGTTACAGGTCCCCCAGATCACCGTATTGAGCTCCGTAAGACTTTCCTGTACCTGCTCGAATGATGAGGGTTATCCTCAACGGAAAAGGGACGAGAAACGGACCTTTATGAACGATGATGATGTCTGCAACAGAACCGAGAACGGTCTACATGAGCGAAACGCGGCAGTGTTGGTCATGTTCGTGAAAAATTGGTAGCAGGTCATGCTTGAGAAGTTCTGGCTAACGTCGGAATCGAAGGACTGGGGGAAGGGAGTTGGGAGTTCGGGATCAGTAGGGACTGTGGGTAGCGCTTGTTGACTCGCAGGAATCGTTGTCGTTGCAGCCGTGGATGTGGCGGATGTGGCAGATGCTGCAGCTGTCGAAGAAAAGACAATCGTAGCAGTCGATCCACTGATTATAGATGTTTCCACCACTGTTTGCTCAGCATCCTGTGGGTGCCTTTTATGTCGTCGCCAGTCTGTACCCTTTGTGGACAAGGTATGCCAATCGAGCGGTAGGGACTCGGAAAATATATCGAACGCAACTGGATGTGTGATGTAGCGCGTTGATGCCGTGATGAACATAAGCGCCAGCGGAATGAAGAGCACAGTCCATTTTGCTCTGCGTCCAGTACTGCGTTTGCTCTCCACCAACATGGTATTTTCCCTCGCCGACACCTGAACGCTCTCGCCCGCAGGAGATGGCAGAGGCGATGGCGGAGGGGTGAACATCGAAAGATGGACTTGGCTTGTAGTTGGGCTAATAAGTGAAACGAGTGTAGTATGAAGGAATGTTGGGATCGCAGTGAGAGGCGTCACAGATGGGTAGATTGTGTCGTTTTCCCTCGAATTCTATTCATCATCATCTACTCAGGCACAAGCAAAGAGATGGATATTGAGGCGATACGCACCTGGCAGCGACAGACAGACAGAAAGCACCAGCCGTATGTGGGTCGTTATAAGAATTCGTGTCGTCGCGGCCGATGAAGGTCAGAGGGGAAAAACCCTGGCTGCGACACAAGGATCCGTCATGAGAAAGTTCTATGCCGGGATGATCGAGCCTCGTGGCATCGCAGGCACGCTTGCCAAAAGATCACCAAACAATTTTCCTTCTTACCACCTGCTCACTTCCATCTTTGTGAGTCCTATCACCTCCCAAGCACCTCGTGCTCGTCCCAGTGAGCGGGAGAAAAGCATGCTATCCCGTTTCACTGAGAAAATATCACAACAAAAAAGATCGGTGGTAGACGTTTCTGATACTCACAACTTGATTTCATCGGGCGGATGACCCTCTCAATTCAATTATAGATCATCTTGCCGAAGGCACCCCAGAACTGTACAGGCTTGTACGGGCGCGGTCTTTTTTTCGCAAAGGCATATTCATGCATTTATCCGAGGATATTAATATTTAATTGGGGTGCAAATAATTTAACGTTGCTTGCGAATTTCAGCCTTCGGGTCCATTGTCACTCTTTCGAAAACGTGACGTTCCTTCACGTACGCGGCGGCGCGGCGCAGTTCTCACGACCAACGGGCCCAAGTGTTCCTAGGACTCGCCATTTCCAGGTTGCGCCTTACCCTGAGTTAATGCATACAACAAGCAATTGCAACTTGGGGTTCAGGACGAGTAGTTATGAGCTGTGATGACGGGGTTGCCGGGCGGCAACCAGCTTTCTATTCGCTATGGCGGTCGACATAATTGCTATGTCCCCCACAATGTAATCCCGAACAAGGCCAAATTGCGGTAAAATGGCCATTTTAGTGGGTCCACAGTTAACTCCCTTCATCGAATTGTCCGGGGTTGCCGCGCTGTGATTACGGAGTAAGTCGGTCTGAACATGGATCGGGGCCTTCTATATACCCGAGCATCAGAACTTAAGTCTCAGGTCCGAGGGAGAAAAGGAACGCCCGGTAAACTGAGAAGAAAGCAGCCCTTACTCAGTGAGATGCCTATCATACTAGCCCCAAAACCACAGTACAGACAGTCCACATTTTAGAGAGCATACGATAGCATTCCATTGACGGAACAAGAATGTGGCATAATTAACCTTACAATCCGAGTGGCCAGAGTGCGCTCTAGATAAAATGAAGGATCAGCATGGTAATGAGTGAGCGGTACCGGTGCGGCGGGCAGTGTCAAATGAAAATTTCAAATACTGCGCTCGATGTGAAATATTAATCATTGACATAAATTGAATGGATAGAGTTCTCTTACATAGCCTGGGCTGACGCTTAGTTGAGGCGAGACGAAGGGGTCGGAGGACAAGGTCCGCCACGTTGCAGCCTCGCGTACGCGTTGTGTGCTGCTGTATGTACCTATTGTCACGACCACGTGATGTTCCTACCGAAGAACGGGAATTTCCTGGTTCCACATGCTCTGAGTGATGCTGCTCCTGCAATCTTTCCTTACTCAGAATAATGCCTTTCAAGTTGGCATACGAGTTCTACTATGCGTTACAACGGATGTAGCAACTGTTAAATGTGGCAGGTCGAAGCTAGGACGAAGCACCACTTTTGACTCGGACTCACTGGCTTCGCGGCAGGTATTGAGACACATTTCATTTAACACAGAATACGTCGGCTCGTGGACATTGACAGGACTTGCTCTGAGGTTTTATTCTTCCGCCTCAGAGCGCGGCGGACAACTCTAAATTGATATGACATTTTATCCCTTCTTGGAACAGGAATCCCCACCTTCCCTCTCGGTTTGCATTGCTCAGGACCGAACAATAAAAAATTTTCGTCGCCGTGGGCTTTTGCTATTTAACGATTCAAAACGCACCGACATGCTGGCAATGACCTGGGCCTGAAATTTCTTCACTCAAGTCCTGAGGCTCATCTAGGTCTTCGATTTCTGTCTCGACCACAATACGGACATCCCAGCACTTTGGTTTGGCGACTAGTAGTCCGCCTTTCTATCGGCCACAGACGCATGGTTTCCTTCACTTTCGGGAAACGGACGAACAAGGTCTTAGAGTCCGAGTCTGCATTATCATTTGAGTCGACGAGGATAGTCGTCTCCAGCCCTAGTGGCGATTATAATTTTGGTCCTTAACAGAAATTCTGAGCTATTGAAGGCATAATTTTTCTTTCAATCAGATGAGTCGTCGGTTATTCTTCGAGGGGAGCCAATGCCCGAAGCTTGGCCAGTCGGTACCTTGATTGTGCTCTTCAGCATGAACTATATCGGACGTACTGTGGATGTCCCAGCTAATCCGCTTAGAATCGAACTGATTCGCTGTTGGTCTTTCCGCCGAAAACAAACTCTTTTCCTTAGAGGTCAGGAACAAAGTTTCTACGGTATGGAGTCGGCGGTATCGTGTACAAAGAGCGCTCCCGACGGGGGAACGTTGTCCGAACCCCAGGCGATAATTTTGCGGCCCCGGGTTGGCGAAGGGATCGATCTGGATTTTGTATTACAAGAATCTTCAGGTGGAAAAGACGGCGACTGGACACTAACTGCTGCAAGGTGCTTTATAAGCAAATTCGTCCTCTAGGTTGTTCCTTCGCAACTGCGCTCTTCGGTATCGACTTTCTCGACATTGGTCCTGTACGCTCTGACGCTCAAAAACACTTCCATTAGAAAACGCCGATCACCCGTTAACATAGAAATCTAGGTGCAGGCATTGGTACGAGGGTAAGGCTATAAGCCCGAGTCGTCTTCCCTTCCTCATGTACCGCGAGGATACCACTCCGGCACCACGGGCGCGTTTCACTTGCAAAGGACGTCTCCCACCCTCCTCGAAGTTTTGAAAATGGAAGACTGTCCGTTTTATAGAATGGAGACTGGATTATCATGAAGCTATTACGCTCCTAATCGCAGCCGACAAGGATAGCCGCCTCCAGTCCGACGCAGTTCACGCTGCCCAGGCCATTTCCGGACAATTGGGGTCGTAACATGGGGACACTTCGCTTCGCGCAATGCACACGCAAAAATCTACATGATACGTATAGAAATTGACGCCGAATTATTATAAAAATACATATATCGATACACAAGGAAGAGATACAATGTACAACCTAAAAGTCCAGATAATCCTTCCCTCCCCAAGTGCCACCAGCACCACTTCCAGCGCCGTAGGGATCATCGGGAACACCACCGACGCCAGGTCCGGCACCTTCTACATCCTTGAACGAGAATTCCCGTTTAAATTTGGCCTCTAGAGAAGACATGGTACCGATGAGCTTCGTACACGCTTGCTCGACAGCAGCTTGCGGCGTCACGGTTCCATCCGTTTGAACCTTGAGGATGAAATACGGATGAAGTGGATGAGGTACTTTGTAACCGGCAAACAGAACTTGGGGCATTGCTAACAGTTGTCTGTTGATAGGGCAGTGAGCAGATACACGGATGAAAATGGAAGGGGTAACGCACGCTCGAACCAGATTTGCCAAGGTGTGGTCTTGTTTCACTACCTTGATAGTGGCAGCATTGGGAATCTTGGTATCTTCGGTGATGATTACACTAGTGCGCCGGTGGGGAATGCAAGTCACCCAGAGAGAAAAGGTAGCCTACGGCTGTTCGCCATCTTCGAGGACGAAGAGTTCTTGTCGTTCGGGTGCGTTCATGGTCGAGAATCCTGGGAACAAGTCGTTAGCCAGAGGTCGGAGTTTCGGGGATAACAAGAAAGAATCATAAAGCCATGCATGTCGTTTACATTCAGAGTATCGCCATCGTACAGATACTCGGACGCAGTTTAATGAACTGTTCTAATCCTACGAAGGATCAAGAAGATGGAAACTCACGATGATGTTAGACGGGGTAATGGGAAGCCTGCAATATGGACCATAAAACATCAGTTTCAGCTGCAACAATATCAGAGAAAGAAGAGAATCATATATCCATGAATGGTTCTTGTATCGCCATGGTGGTAGTCACCACTCGGGGGATTGACAGATTATAGAATGGTATAATCTTGTTGTGAGGAGTCTGGAAGGATAACTCACCAAGCGCAGAACTGAGGGGAGAGCTGGAGAGAAGGAGAAATGTCAGAAATGTTCACGAACAAGGGAGAGAATTCAGCGAAAAAGGTTGTGATCATTGCTTATCACCGACAATAAATAATTGGCTCAAGGCCAGCCATCATCGAAGCAGAAAATGAACAGAGAACATAACTCCACCAAGGAAGAGGATAAGTGCAAGCTGTCGTTGACAAGAAAAAATTTGAACGCGTTGGCCTGTATTTGTCTCTATTGTGATTGTGGCTGAAATTTCCCAGGCCCTGAACGGATGACGGAAAGTTTGCGTCGGCCAACTGAAATCCTCAAACCTCCCTCAAGGTCAGTGTTCATGCCCTTGCTGCCCATATTTTCGTCGTCGCCAGTACTGGATAGTCTATCATCTATGAATCTGTCGTTTGAGATAGCAAAAACGGAGTTTTCATGATGGATGGGACGGATTCCGACCAGATGACGATGGGACTGTATTTGAAGACGGAACGCTGATTCTGGTTTTTACTTAGAAAACAATGCCGACACACTTGTCGAAGACTCGCAAGCACCGTGGACACGTTTCGGCCGGTCATGGACGTGTAGGAAAGCACCGCAAGCATCCCGGAGGTCGTGGTTTGGCTGGTGGTGCTCACCACCACAGGTGCGTTTCTTGTATTGGAATTTTGAACAGCGTCTGAAGATTTTCTAGGACTAACTTTGATAAATACCATCCTGGTTACTTCGGTAAGGTTGGTATGCGCCACTACCACCTTACACGCAATCAGTTCTGGCGACCAATCATCAACGTCGACAAACTGTGGAGTTTGGTACCTGCTGAGGAGAAGAAAGGTCTGACAGAGAACTCGGAGGTGGTTCCCGTTATTGACACTCTGCGACATGGATACGGCAAGGTTTTGGGCAACGGACAGTCAGTCGAATCCATTGCTATTTTTTTGTCGTCTGTTAACAACTGTTCTTCTCCAGACTGCCCAAGGTGCCATTCATCGTAAAAGCCCGCTTTGTGTCGGCAATCGCAGAGTATGTATACTTGTAACGTTTTTATTGCGCTAGGCTAATCACCATTGCTTTGTAGGCGAAAAATCAAGGAGGCTGGCGGCGTCGTTTCATTGATAGCATGAGTTCCAGAGCCTCTGTACTCTTCATTTCTGCCATTCTATGTCCTATATCCATGACATGAATTAAGTCCATGCATTCGATGAATATCTGTTCCAGACAAGCCCAGCCAACAGTCATGGAATTGTTCAAACTTCGATCGAAGTCCTCCTTCACCCTGAATCAATATATTTTGCAAGCAAACTGATTCTACCTGGCTCCGTTCCTCAGTGTCGCCTTCGCAGGGTATCAAAAAAATATACTTGAAACTGATACCAACTTGGCGAGAAAACGCGAGTAATGCAAGACTAGGGAATTGTGGCGCGAGAAAATACGAAAATAGTCTCGAGATAAAAATAAACATGATTATGTACGTTATATGTTGGTCCGGAAAAGGAAGTGGATACAGCAATCTCGCTTACCTTGTTCTTTCCCGTCGTTGTCACCATCCTTCATCGTCTTACTCCGTTCCATGAGTATTTCTACTTGGTGTACGCCGGGTCCCTACTGTGGCCATGAATTTACTGCTGACCCAGTTATCTCCTACAGATCACAGTCAATTCTCTGCTTGGAACCGTGCGAGACAGGAAACGACGCCGCGAGCGACCATGGCTGCCACTACTCCCACCACCCCCGTCAACGCGACTATGATCAACCTGGCGCCTCATAACCCGACCCCGACGCCAACTGTGACCACAGAGAAGGGAAAGAAACACCCAGACTCGTTGTTTGGCCCTAATATCGGCATTGTTAGCAGTGGACCTGCTTGGACGACAAACAAGGAGAAGAAGGTTCTCGCTGATGAGCTCACGCCGGACGTGGTTCGTGGGTGGATAGAGAAGAGCAAAGTGGTCAGTCTATCCTAAAGACCGTTCGCGATCCTATTGACTGGTTGTCAGGCGAGCGAACCCACGACCACCTTGCAAGCCCTGGTTAATCTGAAGCGTCCTACTCTGCGCTTATCTCCACTAACATCGGGCGAAGATTCGGTACCAGACAATCTCCATCATGGGCTGGAATTCGAGTTCGATTGCGATGCCCCCAAATGCGGAATCTATGTCCATGTCCTACTCGATGCCAATCATCCCGACGCCCCTGCAGCCACTTCTCCTAACGGTCTATCTAAGCTACTCGTCTTCGAAACTGTCGTCGAAGGAGGGTTTGGCAAGGTCCTCAAACTAGAGGAAGGTGCTACACTTGAACTCGGCAGGTTTGTCCACCGCGAAGATGCCACTGAAACACCCGGTGCCAGCCCCTCAATTCTGCCTGCAGCAACGGGTACCACGCCTGATGAAGCAGAACAATCATCCGACGCCGTTCCTACTACCACAGCCCTTGCTCCTCCATCAGAGACTACTAACACCAGTACCCGGCAATCCCGGCTTCGTTTCTCCCACTTCCATTTCCGTAAACGTACCCATAATCACAGTGTCTCAGGTCCCGCTTTAGCCGTCCTTGATGCCGAGCCTTCAACAAGTCACGATGGGGACGCCAATGGAGCGAAGGAGGAAAAGAAGGAAGATGTGGATGATGGCGTCAAGGTGATCATCCGGCTCGCTGCTCTCGACGAGCAGGGAACGGAGCTGGCCTCGCCCAACGAACAATTGACCTATCTTCACGTCGTTCGTTTCGGAGCTAAGCCGTCTGGAGAGGAGGAGGAGGATAATAGACCCTGGGTCGTTAAAGTCGTCAAGCGGGAAGCCACGGTAAATACGGTTCCCCTTTCTCCGCAGCATAGTACTTATCTCGCTTTAGATCGGTCCGCATACGTTCCATCTACATGAAATATACGGCTTGTCGTCTTCTTCCACTGCCACTCATGCACCCACTGCACCCCTTCCTGACTCGCACACTTACCCCCCAGAGTCTACGACTACGCCGCCGCCGCAACCTGTTGCAGAAGACGAGCCGTCTTCGGAGTGTCTCCTCTGCCTATCCTCTCCACGAGAGGTCATCCTTCTGCCGTGTCGCCATCTGGTAGCATGCAAAGATTGCGCCCTTAACATGGTTGAGTTTGGTGCCGGTGGGACGATCACCCAAGCTGAAGAACCGGCCCCGGCTGCTGCTGCTACCGAGGAAGGCGCAACTACCACAGAGGGTACTGCAGCTGCAGATGGCACCACCACCCCTGCACCCGCCCCGACGCCTACAGTCATAGTGAACCCAAGGCGCAAGCGTAAGGCGAAGGGATGGTTCTGCCCTGTTTGTCGACAACGTGAGTCAATTTGTGATGTTATCTGTGGATCTCAGGCACTGATACTTCTACACAGCATATACATCTCTGCTGCGCATTACAAACACTCCTCCCGAGCCACAACCCGCTGCTAAGGAACAAATCGCAGACGAGGACGAGGATGTTGCAGAGTCCCCGGCGACGGCTAGCGCTTCTACACCCCGCCCAAGCGGCGGATTGCTATCTGGAGCTTTTAGGCCTGCATTCTTGAGGAGCTTTTCGAGAAACCCGACTGGGGATGTGGAGAGTCAGACTCAAATGACGCGGGTTGGTGCGTAGTTGTTGAGCTGTGCTTTTGGAATGACCCTTCCCTTTCTTCCCTGGATATTGTACGATTTGGCATCTATGCGTGATTGATTATGTGTACGACTACTATCTGTAAAACTGTACATGCGTTACGGCCTTCTACTTTCTAATATAGTACACCTCCTTATTTCTTTCTCACGTAATTAAGCTCTACTTCGGTTCTCGCGCACAAGAAATCTGGTGAGTGTATATTGTCTTCTGATGCAACAAATGCTAATACGATGATTCCTCGGGCAGGTCGATAAAATTTCTCTCAAATCTTTTCATTCCATAATAGGCCTCGTGTGTAGAGTTATTATCGTGTGTGTTCTGATTTCCCCCGTACACCTCAGCCTGTCATCCTCATGGTCCGCTACCAGGATGAACTAAGCGACTTGTCAAACGGGGCGCGGTTTCTAACGTTATTCGTCCCATGGCCAGATACATGCAGGCGTTTCTTATACACAGGTAACGACACTCATGTCGGATGAACCCCGAATTCTACCCAGGATGCTATTAAAGTCAATGGTATTCGCCGCTCTGCATGTAAAGTCTCGGAAGAATGCTCGGTGTCGATAGCGGTAGGAAGACCGCTCCGGATATTGTCGATTCGATCAGAATTCGAGTCCAATATGAGGTTTGTCTAAGTGATACGATAACCTCCTCTGGATTTGGTCTTGGGACTCAGAGGACTCTCGTCTGGTAACTGCATTGAATCGTTATCTGCTAGTAAATCATTCTACCCTTGGTAAGTATTGCTTTGAGCGTTCAGGCTCGCCCGAGTTTAGGGAAACCGTCCCACGTGTTGTCGGTACCGGCTCTTCCAGACTTTCCTTCGCCCACCATCGTATAACCTCACCCTATTACCAAGTGCAAAGGACATCCATTTCTCCCGCAGAATCGAACATGCAAAGGGGTTCACCCGGCTACTCTTCTCGGCTAGCGGAACGTTATCTTCCTGAGAACGTACCGCATTCCTTAATTGGCCTTTTGCCAGTGCCCGTCTTTGCATCATGCCACTAACGCATGTCTAGAATATGCTTTTCTGACAATGCCTGCAGATCGGGCCGACAAATGTAGGGCATAAACTCAACGGCTATCCGTATTTCCAATTCGTCTCGCTATTTATCTGACTCTGAGAGCTTAAAAGGCGAATTCAACTTGCAGTCGATTCCCCGGGGAATTGAACGATTCCATCGCGTCCTAAATCGACGATGCTTTCTGCGGGGCAGCTTATATGGGTCTCCTTCCGACCTCTGTTACGACTGTCAGTCAGAGTCATGATCGCTCGTTCCCAGCCGAATCTCTACTGACTCTTTGACCGTTTCAGGGTCATGAACGTACTTGGAGGCTTCATTATCGCAAAAGCAGACATCTTCCCAGCGGTCGCTGCAAGAGGCGCTGGACAAGTCGCGTTGGTAAGTAACACGAGTGTTTGTAGGATACATGTGTATTAACTATGCGCAACGCAGAATATTACAATGCCATGCCTCATGTTTTCAAAAATGGTCCCAGCTTTCTCCTCAAGCAATATCAGCGTTTTAGGTGTGCTCAGTCGCGACTAGGTTTCACCACCCGTCTCCCGCCTGCGAAACTCACTCCGGATTCTCCGATACTTAACTTTCCCCCATTCCAGGACCGCTGTTTGTAATTGGCGCTATCTACCAGTTTATAGGTATTGGCCTGGCTTGGCTGATAAAGCAGTTCTTCTGGGTTCCACATCGCTTCCGCTATGGCATGCTTGCTGCTGGTGGATGGGGGAATTACGGTGACATTCGTAAGGCCATCATACTTTCTGGAATCTATGTTTTTCTGATGTATTTTAGCGACCGCTGTTATTATGAGCATCACTGGAGCTGCACCTTTCAACGGCGTGGAAGACCAAGACCTCGCCGTAGCCTACATCTCGGCGTTAATCCTGTATTACATGGTGAGCGAGACTTCTTACGAAAAATACACCATCTGACGATCTCTCCAGTTCACGTTCTTTCCGTTGGGTGGGAACAGGCTAATCGCATTGGATTTCAAAGGACCCGAAGTCGAGTCCGAAGAAGTTCAAGAAAGTATCCGTACACGACGAAAATTCATTCTCCACGGTTTTCCCAAAGCTCTGAAGGAGAAAGTGCTACATCGCGGAGCTCATCCTAAGGATGATTGTGAAAATCAGGTCGAGAGCACGGAAATGGTACGGAACGAAAAGGCGACCAGTGAACTCGTCGACCCTCAACTTCGCCCCGGACGGAATGTTTCATTCCACGAAGACGCGACGATCGTGGCTTCATCGGGAGCTGTTCAGCCCGTATGTCGTAAAATGGAGCCATGTTGTTCATCGCCGACAGTCACGATGGACGCGGAAGATAAAGAGGATTCCCCCTCCTCTCCCCCGTCTCCAATTAACCTCGAATCTTCATCCTATATCGCGTCGATGGAAGACTATTCTGCTTACCGTGCGTACAGCTGTTGAGTCTCTTTGCATGCCGGCATCTCTAGCTATCATTATATCCTTCGTCATCGCACTCATCACCCCCGTCAAAGCACTTTTTGTTCAGGTCGACGGTTATTATATGCCCTCGGCACCTGATGGTGAACCACCTTTAGCGTTCATCATTGATTTTGCAGAGTTCATGGGTGCAGCTTCTGTTCCTCTCGGTTTGATATGTTTGGGTTCAGCGCTGGCGCGGTTGAACGTTCCCCGAAGTCAGTGGTCGAATATGCCATTAGGAGCTATTCTCTCTCTAGCGGTTGGACGCATGGTTATTATGCCGGTGTTGGGCGTGTTGATCTGCAAAGGATTGATACACGTTGATTTTATCTCAAAAGACGACAAGGTGCTGCAATTTGTGTGCATGTGCGTTTGAACTTTTTAATTTCTGGTCTTTGTCTAATTATTCCCATAGCTTCTTCTCCTGCCTTCCGACAGCGACGACCCAAGTTTTCGTGACCCAGGTGTACAGCGGAACAGGGAGTGCAGATCACTTGCCTGCGTTTCTTATACCGCAATATCTCCTCATGTTTCTATCAATGACGGCTCTTTCTGCTTTTACCCTCCAATTACTATTTTGATATTTCTCTGTCGTTTTGTTGTAGAGATTACGCGTCGGTTTTTCTCAGGGATTTTCTCGAATGATGACGATAAAGGCAGCGGCGGATCGCGAAAATTCAATTGACTAGCGATTCGAACCCCAGCATTGACTAATGAACTCGTCCTCAACCATCTACTGGCATAATGGCATCCAACGTGCCGCTGGAAAGGCTCTTCACCAATGACCGCGAATCAAGGGTGCTCTCGTTGTTTCTAGCACTGCTGTGCATCTTTTTCATTTCCAGAATAGTACGATTTCGGCACAGCCTGCAGGTTTTGTCATCGCATTTTCTCTATGATACACCGGGGCCTGACCTGAGATTACCAGGCAGCCAACTATATTCCAGGATTTCGACCTATATTTTAGCCTTTGGCGCTTCCAGGAGCCTTTTTCCGAACGTCGTGGTGGAACAAGGGCGTCGACTTCCATTGGGTGAGGCGCTTTGATTGTGAGTTTCCATGCGGTGTAGCAGGCTGGAAATTAACACACGTGTAGTGTATAAGACTAGCGAGAACGTATCGATCGTTCCATGGCTGACCGGTGAACCCAGTGTCTACACATCCAATCTGGATGTAGCACGACAAGTCGTTTCGGGCGGTCACAAAACAGATTTTCACAAAGGAAAGCTTGGGACCAAGTCTTTGCTGCAAGTCAAATAGACCTTCACGTCGATAACTATTCATATTCATATCAAACAGAATTTGGGGAATGAACTTGTTCACAGCCGATGGAGATGTGTGGCGCAAGCATCGACGTGTCATGGGGCCGGCATTTAATAACAAGTAACACGTCCACTTACGCCTCTTGGACATTTTCATAGCTTTTCTAAAGGTACGAACTAGTGTGGAATCAAACACGGATGGCTTATTATGAGATGCTGGCTGCTGATCAGTGGACTACGAACAGACAAGTAGCCATTCCGGCCGCACAGAAAATAACATTCAAGGTAGCACTTAACAGTGATTATATGGTTAGTATGCTTATGCAACTTCACTAGCTTGCCCTGTCCGTCATTGGCGTCTGTGGCTTCAGCTTTCCATTGACCTGGAACGAGCATGAAATATCTGAGGATGGCAGCATGTCCATTCAACAAGCCCTTCGAATCGTAGCAGATACTGCCTCTCTCTCTTTCGCTCCGAGATGGGTCAAGAACCTTCCGTTCAAGTAGTACGTTTCCCTTTCTGACAAATACCCACTTCTGACGGCTGTTTCTCGCTTAAGTTTCCGGGATTCAAAAACAGCGCAAGAGCAGTTGGCCAAATTCCTTAAAGAGCAGATCATAAAGCGGCGTGCGGCGATCCTTCACGGCGGGATCGGCCTCCAAGACGACTCTAAATCGAACACAGTTTTCGATTTACTCATCAAGGCAAGGAAAACGAAGGAGGGAAATACTCAATGAACAATGAAGAACTGGTAAGCTGATCATTTTGTCTTGTCTTTGGCATCCAAGTTTTTTCTTTGATTTTCAATGACGTCAGATCGGAAACGCCTTCACCATGTTGTTTGCTGGGCATGGTATGCACATCTAAAGCCCTGGATACGTCTAACTGGAGAGACCGCAGAGACCACCGCAAAGTCCCTAGCTGCAACTATGGGACTTCTGGCCGTTCACGATGAAATACAGGAAGAGGTTTATCAACAAATCGTGTCTGTTCTGTCTGGCCAAGACCCTGTGAGAATTGTGTTTTCTGTATAATGCCAGCCTTTCTCACATTTTTCTTTTGTAGAAATTTGAGGACTACACGAAACTGGAGAAAGTTTTGGCCGTCTTCTATGAAGATATTCGAATGTTCCGTGAGTCAGTTCCTTGAAAATATCCTACGTCATGACTTTCGTTATAGCTGCGGGACATGTTTTGATTCGTGAGGCTGCGAAAGACACCGTTATCGACGTGCCTAAACCCGTTGGCCAAGAATGTACAATTCCTATCCCGATACCAAAGGGGTTTCAGGTGAGTTTTAGTACTCCTTGAATCGGAGTTCACTCTTGAACTGGTTTTGTCCAAAGATTGTGGTTGATATGGTTGGCGTCCGTAAGCTACTAACTATTCCGCGCCGATAAGAACATAAGTCACTTAGTTACACCTCTGTAGTCCTCGGTACTTTGAAGAACCTGAAAAGTACAAGCCATCGAGGTGATATGTAACGAATCGGACTCATTTACTGCCTTTAGCACCGGTATGCTTAATAACAGACTCATTTTTCTCCTAACAAATACAATATAGGTCCTCGAGCTTGTATCGGGAGGAGGTTCGCTACGACTGGAGCTGTGTGTTTCTTGACTCTCCTCCTTCGAGACTGGATGGTCAAACCCCTGCTCAGGGAAGGAGGCGTGGGCAAGTAGAGTATTGGATGCTTCGATTGTCATAACTCTAGGCGTCCAGGATGTACCCCTGACTTTCTCCCGAAGACGCGACGTGGGGTCTTGATATGTCTTTATCGACTATCTGCTACTGCTATACCATAATACTATGACAAGGTGCATCCGAGCTCCACGTGCCTTTTAGTATTGCTGTCTCCCATCGCATATATTTTTTCTTCACTCATGATCATACTATTTCCAGCATCCCATAGAAATATCGCGCAGTTGGCTTTTCTTCTTATTTGCGCGGTATTACATTACTTAAAATCTTCCGACAGGTTGAATTTCTGGAGAAAAAATCTCCTCCCCCCCCTCTCTCGCGCATACTTACCCTTGCGATGATATCCTACATAGTGATACGACTGACCTTGACTGAAGTAGACTGCCATGAAAGTTCCCAGCAGATCGGGGAAGTATGCTGAATTAAATAAGTTCGCATGCCGTCACCACCTATTCTGGCGATTCCAGGAACCTATGTTTGGGAATTGATTCCGAGTCTCCCTAATTTCTCAGGGTCAACTGGCCGTTTAGATCGTAACCATCATGGGGACCGACTCAGTGTTATTTCCTCTCGGGGGGCAATCGAAATGGATCCCAATTCTCTGGACCATGTTATGTGTCGTCGTCATTTCCAGAGTGCTGCGATTTTGCCGTAAACTACAGGTTATTTCATTCCTACAGAAGATAGCGTCCCCTTCATTGTTTCTCAGGCTGCAAATAATCTCCCAGGTTATAGACCGATGTTTTTTCCCTTGGGACCTCCGGGAGCCTTCTTCTATTCGACGCGGTGGCACAATGGTGCTGACATGCACTGGGCAAGGCGTTTCCAGAGTAAATCCTTTGTTTGCGAGCTCCCCTGAAGCGGATCACTAACCTTTGCGTAGTGTACAAGAACGGCGAGAACGTGTCGGTTGTCCCCTGGTTGGGAGGTCGTTCTGCAATTTATACCTCCAATTTGGATGTGACACGCCAGGTTGCGTCGGGGAGTCACAAGTCGGATTTCATCAAGCCTTCGTCCGCTAGCAGAATTCTGCTGTGAGTCCCATGGGAATTGTCTTGCTTATTCAATTAAACTCGTCTAGTGGATGGGGGATGAATTTGGTTGCAGCTGATGGGGAAATATGGCGCCGACATCGACGAATCATGGGTCCTGCATTCAACAACGATTTGTATGTTGTATATTCGCGTCTGTCGATTTACTTATCCTCTTTCAAGGTACAAGCTAGTGTGGAATAAAACGCAGAAAATCTACTACGAAATGTTGGTTGTCGATCAATGGGCTAACAAGCATGAAGTTTCAGTGCCAGCGGTACAGAAGATTACGTTCAAGGTGCGCCGCCATGCTGTTATGCATACTTCTATTGATACAATCTTTCCTCAGCTCGCTTTATTTGTGATCGCTACATGTGGCTTTGGCATCTCATTTGATTGGGAGGAGCCTTTGAAATCCGAAAACCGTGCCATGTCCGTACAGAAAGCATTTAGGATAATATCGGATACCGGGTCATTTGCGGTCTTTGCTCCCAAGTGGGTCAAAAGTCTGCCATTCCAATAGTATGTCTTTTCTCCAGTGATGGACGTTGTGGCTACTAACATGGTGTTTCAGTATTCGCGATTCTAATACGGCACATGAGCAGCTGGGTAAGTTCATGAGGGACGAGGTGGTAAGACGGCGCGCGCAAATCGCCAACGGAGAGATTGATGTTGAAGGGGATAATTTGGAAACACGCACGATTTTCAATCTGCTTATGAAGGCTGGCGAAGACGAGGATGGCAAGTACTCGCTCGATGATGAAGAAGTGGTGCGTTCCAAATGGTTGCTCTCGTAACTGTGGCCAAGTTTTGCTTTCAGGTTGGCAATGTCTTCGTCATGCTATTTGCTGGACACGGTATGTATACCCAACCATGGAGATAGATTATTGAATCCACCGCAGAAACCACTGCACATTCACTGGCGGCCACCTTGGGATTTTTGGCTGTTTATGACGACATCCAAGATGAAGTCTTTGAGCAGATCAAGTCCGTTTTATCTGATCACACAGACCCTGTAAGGATGCCACTTTTAGTATCGACTACGTCTTACCTTGAGGTTCGTAGACATTTGAGGACTATTCGAAACTTGACAGAGTCCTGGCGGTCTTCTAATATTTTAATAGGGTCTTTTCTTAAGTTTCGACGGTCTCAGCCTCAGGTACAACTCGAGTGTATACTTACCGGGTTTCTACAAAATAATGAGAATCGATCGAACTTTTTTTCGGCTGCCCAGTATAGTAATTCCCTATCTTGGATTCCACCAAATGCACAAGCACTGTGAATTATACCTTCCTGACGTACCACTGGGCTATATTCCTTCGAATTATCCATCAAAGTCTCTGATATCACCACTCGGGCCTTTGGTTTGTGATCCTCATGAATTCGCTAATCTGGTCTGTCAAATCCCAAATCAGTGGTATTTTCTTCACCACTGCAGGCTCCATTGCATGACTTGATGACATCAAAACATTGTATACTGCTTCGGGAATCAATTCTAAACCGTTTATTCTATCATTACCGTTGCTCTTGGTGTCGAGTCGCTGTTGAAACAAAATCGGTACCTATGAATTACTATATTGGGCAGCTGAAAAAAAGTTCGATCGATTCTCATTATTTTGTAGAAACCCGGTAAGTGGCTGAATATTAGTACATTTGAATCTCGTCGAATTTGTCACTGTACTATATGCATTGTACATTACGCCCACACCAATACTTAAGCAACACACTTGTGCAGGCATCACTTGAGCAGATTGCGCTCAAGTAACGATTGTTCAAGCGCGATGATTACTCAAGTGCCACACTTCAGCTGAAAACTTAAGGGCTTCACTTGAATGGCCAAACTTGAGCCGCCGTTTGGCTATACTAGAGCTGGTGATATCTCAGACTCAGTGCAAACGACGCCACAAAACGAACCTTATGGCTTCCCAATACCCGTGATGTCCTGTACTCCCTGGGTCTTTGATAAACCACGGCGATGCGATCATAATTTTTAGAAGGGAGTTCGATACTGCTGCCACTGAATTTCGCTCCAACCAGGCAAACCCAAATCGCAATGAAAGTTGTCAAGGTTGTCGTTGCGAGAGAACAGTAGCTGCCAGGAACCAAGCAAGTCGTGGAGCAGCAGCGGAGAATGAAGGATGTAGGCCTCATGTCGGTAGAGGAAAGAGAGGGGATGGTCCTAGACAATAGCACATCAAAAGTGGCTGAACAATCACAAGCCGCACTGCATTGCCACGCGCTACAGGGGTTGTGCTATGACGTCGTCTCAGGTGCCGCGGTGTTATTAATATTAGCCCGTAGATCGAATTGAACGAGTAGATACCAAAATATAACTTGATTTCCTTGTGAAATATATTGCACTACCCTTCGAGGGCCAGTACACACACTCTTTGTTGTGCAAACCAAATATATACGCAGTTACTCACGCCACTGGTAAGCACCTACCTCTCGCGGAATTCACTTCCGCTACCACCACTTTTCTAATAACGAAATACGGTTAAGGGTACACGGCAAGACAAAGGCAGAGGAAGAAAGTGCATTGATAATTGATGATGGAGAGAGCGATGATGATCAGGAGAACCGTGTATAGCATTCTCAATTGTTTTTGGGTTTTTTTGGTACCGAGTGGCTTTTGTAGACTGGAGTGGCACAATATAAAAGGATTGGGCCGATCATTGCATTGTCTCCATCTCTTTCCCTTCTCCCATCACTGTGCTTCTTGCTTCTTCAGCGTTTTGCCCTTCTCTAGTAAAGGCGTGAGCAGGATTCTATAATGTGAGTTTAACTCAATTTTCGTAAATGACAGTTGGACAACGATTCAGATTGATGCGTGGGTGGTGGCTCGTGAAGAGATGGACATTAGTGTGGGATATAGTGGAGGATCTCTGTAACTGGCATGACTAGCGCATTCACAAGTGATGCCGGTAGGGTGGCACTGGAATGACGGGGAAGGGGAATGGATAGAGGAGGACTTGAGCGCATGCTCAAGGGAGCAGCACTTGAGTGAATACGCCCAAGCGCGCTGACTTAAGCGTGTTCACTTATGTCGGGGTCACTTATGTCAATGGACTTGAGTGTATACCGTCATGTACTCGTGTCTTCACTTAAGCGGCGGTGTTCATGCAGAAAGACACGTAGTAGATTTTCTATGGTAGCTAGTTTTCGCTGTACTTGAATACTTGAGTGCGAACGACTTAAGCCAATGTACTCGAGTGGCAGACCAGTCGCGACTTCTGATACTTAAGATAAATCGATATTTTTATTGTCTTCTATGAGGCGATTCGGATGATTCGTGAGTGCATCTCTCTAGCTACGGTGTCTTATCCTTACCTACGTACTGTAGCTCCAGGACATATCCTGATCCGAGAAGCTACGAAAGATACAGTCATACAAGTGCCAAGACCAGTAGGTGAGGAGGGGACAATTTCCATGCCAGTACCAAAGGGTTTTCAGGTAGGTTCAATGGCTTTGATGCCTCCACTTGTATTCACTTTTTTCATAGATCATAGTTGATATGGTTGGCATCCGTAAGCGACCTCCCTTCTGTACTGGATCTTCTGCTCACTTTATCTGAAGAGTACAACCCACGATACTTTAACGAGCCCGAAAAGTTCAAGCCTTCCAGATGGCATGGTATTTCTAATGAGTCTGAGGCATTCACCGCTTTCAGCATCGGTATGATTTATCCTTTTCGTCAATAGCTTAACGAAGCTCATGAATTTTTAGGCCCACGGGCATGCCTTGGAGGAAAGTTGCTACCACTGAGGCCGTGTGCTTCTTGACGCACCTTCTCCGAGACTGGGAGGTCAAGCCTATACTCAAGGAAGGCGAGACGAAGCAGGCCTGGCGAGACAGAGTCTTGGATGGTGCGATGATGATAACGTTGGGTGTCAAAGATGTTCCTGTGACATTCGTACGACGACATTGATTGATCGGTATATCAATAGCAACACGTATCGTACTGTTTTGTCCTTCTACCTCGTTGGTGTGTACGGTGCCTCTAAAGAATGCTAGTCCTTCTATTCTCCCTCGTCTTCAAGTATGTCATCTGCCCCGGAGCAATGAGATTGGAGAGTACGGATACAAGCCTTTCCTGAACGCAGAGCAGAGTTGCCACTAAGTACACACCCGAGGCGCCTCGGGATCTTTCAGTGTTGCTTGTATCTCCCCAGCCGTGGAGTCATAGAGCTACGACCAGTTCGCTGTAGGCTTAGCGTTTAACGCAGTGGGTTTGGGGTCCCGTTCATTTGCAGACACTCTGAAGAATGTAGGAACGAAATACTTATTACAGATACACCTATTTGTGATTCACCGAGGTTCAATACTTCAGTAGGAGTTTTCCTCAGTTGTTGTTCCGGCTGCTGTAAATATCAGACCCGGACAAGTCATAACTAGAACTGGTAGCTCCTGATCAAAATTTACCACATTATATAGCCAATCCATTGTTACTCGTACACCAGACATTCAAGAACGTCTTCACCTACGCAAAATTTCCGAAACTAACGCCAGCGAAGCTGTGTGGATCCACAGTCCTCAAGTCTATTCCGAGTTTCCGAAGTTGCTCAAGTTCTGTGTTCGGAATACCAGGAAATTCATCGCCAGCACGGGCAAAAAGTGTGGGGTAATCAAATCTGACAGAACGGAGACGATGACGACGCGAAGTCATCATTGCAGATAAGGAATCCCACGGTACTAGGATCCCGCTCATCCCGCCCCAGATCTCGAGTAGCGGTAGACACATTGTTAGATGTTGTAGATTGGGGAGAAGGTTAGAAGAGGACGTCAGGGCATTATAGAACACGCCTTCTCGATCAATGGGGAATTCCAGGCTCGTAAGAGATTCAAGCATCGGAAGTGTCTCTTGAATGAAGTCCAAAGCGTGTGCGATGGCAGTTCCAGTAGCTAATGAAGTGAGGGAACAGCGGGAGGAGCGGATAAAGTCGTTGAGGGTCGCCGCCGCCGCCACTATACGAGCCTCATCAATGGTTGGAAAAAGACTCCCGACATGACTGTCGAACGTGAGGTCTTCTAAGGAAGGTAGACACAGGTATCGAAGCAGTTTCAGGGATAATACTGAGAGGCGTCGGACTTTGGGGAGGGTAATACGATGAGGAAAGGCGATATCGTCAATGTCCCTTTGTTTGAGATGTAACTCTTCGAGTAGGCTATGAGTGTGGAGATTGTGGATGGCAGTAATGGATGCTGCGAGGTGCGTAATCTGACGAGGAAGTGCGAAAGAGTCAAGCCCGATTAATTCATGCAATTCCACCTTTCGAAGGCTAGGAGCCTCGATGAAAACATCACTGACGTCCCCCGGGGAGAATGCCCCATCATCTCTTGGTATGTGCGGAGTGACGAGTGTTAAAGACTCTAAACATGCTAGCTTCCTACTAGATGACTTCAGCAGCTCCAACAAGTCCAAGGGGAGTTTCAGAGATGCACTCCTCCACCGATGGCGCTCTCCTAGTAACAAGGAAAAAACTTCAATGGCGTCACCAGAGCTGGTATGTTCATCCGATTTAAATTGCATATCAAGAGGAAGCTGGTCAGAAAGTGGAAGGATGGTTTTCAAGAGCGATTGGAAGTTAGACGCAGACGGATTATCTGGTTCCAATCTAGGGTACGTGATTTTGATATGCGACCAGAGTTCTGGGGAAGAAACGACAATATCTCTCCAGGAACCACAAACTTGACTGAGTGTCAGCGGATCCTGCATAAATCCGATGATGGGCCGGCTATTCATTGACCACCTCTCAACAAGATCGCTCGACTGAGTTTCTCGAAATATGGAACGAAGAACCTTGCTTGGAAGGCGGCGGATGGGAGCTAATGTCGATGAGAACTGCGTTGATACCACCTGGATCGCATCACGATAGGTCTCCAGCTCTTCAAAGACCGTGTAAAGTTGATCGATCAGAGTGTCATACACGTGAAGTTGTCCTTCGAGGAGTGCAATGTTTGGGAGAATCCAGTCAGGATCAGTATCGAGAAGAGGTCGTGTTGCACGAAGAATGCCCGACACTAGTGGATCGATGGCATCAGGAGGAAAAACGGGTTTTGGTATGGAACGTGTAAAGGCATCCAAGTGCGATAACGCATCTGCCGCTGAGGCTGGCGTAGCTATTGAAGGTTTGATTTCACGGCTTCAACGCTACATCTTATTTATACCTATTTGCCATTTTACTTTACTTTGACATTTTCGTACCTATCGTATCTTGACTCCGACCACCCACTGTCTCCGTACCTACGACAGAATATACCTGCCTTTCGAGTCAACCACGTCCTCTTTCCGAGTCGCCACCACCTAAACTCCAACAGTAGCATGGGAATCTATGGTTTATATGATGAGTTAAGTAACCTCCCCGTGACGGAGTAATACAATTACTTGTCTCTAGATTCATGTTGAATGTGCAGGAGTAGTTCAAAAGTAAGAATCACTAACCGCGAACTCCGATCGAAGTCGAGTTTACGGTCCGGCAGTGCCGGGTTTCCTTTTTGATCTTTTACTCCGAATGTCAACTTGAAGGGCGGTCGAATATTCAAAAAAACGTACGTTCCACCTTACGCATCGAATAAAAGGAAAAACTCAATCAAGAGAAATTAAGCACCATGAATGCGAGGGAGGCAATATTTCACTCGGATACAACGGCGTTCCATACCAGAGCTCTATTCCCACCCAATGCTCTACGGTATTCTTCGTATAACACGTCCTTTCCCTGATACTGATCGTAACTGGATACTCCCAAATATCGAAGTCCTCCAACACCAAATCTCAGTATACGATGCCTTGCTAGACTGCATAGATGAAGCGAGATCGAAAATGCAACGTCGTCGCGATGCGATTCAAAAGTCTATGGAGGCCTATTCCTCGACACTAGCACCCATCCGGCGTCTTCAAAGTGACGTTTTTCGTGCTGTGTTTCGCGAGGTACAGATTTTGCTATGGTGGCACAGCGAGGAATCAAAATATCCGGAGGATCGCCAGGTGTTGAGTTTTTCACAAGGTCCATAGAAGCTCAACCATATGTGCGGTGCTTGGAGGTACATTGTTTATCCTATCCCCAGCTGTGGTCGCACATAGTCCTTCACTTTCGGTCCACCCAAAGCCATGATTCACCGTTCGGAAGTGCATCCTCTCGATATCGTGTTTGAATCGAATGGTAGCCACGACGAGTATGAGGCCATAGAAACCTTCTCCGTGATCCTCGAGGAGTCATATCGGTGGAGGAGTTTGCTGCTACGGTTCTCTTCGAATTTGTTGGGGCGGCTGAAGGTGATTCGCGCAAAAAAAGATCCCTCGTCTGGAATCTTTGACTGTAAAGGCTCCGTACATGTCAGGATCCATTGGACCTGCCGGAAGATGTTCGAAGTATCTGCATTGATGCCCACGCCTTCAAAATGTGGCTTTACACAACGCCTTATCATTACTTTGGTTAGCTGCAGACTACAGTCCCGGAAATTTCATATTTCCTCTTCATATCGCCTATCTGGCGGCACCTGTGGATAATGTTTCTAACCTTGAATATCTTCCTCCCTCATCGCATCCACCTTCCCGATATCCGGCGCCTTTTTGTATCATCACCGCATATACTTACGCATCTGCACCTACCTTCCCTAGATGATCTCATGATTCGTCATCGCGACGCCCCGAAGCAACGCCTATCTGTGTTGGGTAGTAAGTTACTCCCCATATCTGGTGTACCTCGCTGGTAAGGCTTTTTTCCCAGCACTGTACGACCTTTCACTACTAGTGATCTTTAGCGTGACCATCTCCACTTGCTAGCATGGAACGGAATTATGTTCATGCCTCGTAGTACAACTCGGGGTTTCAAACCGATCTGGCAGCCTTTATGCCGCTAGCAACTGCCTAAGATCCTCGTAAGAGCGGCGACCTTCATAACCGTCCCAGATAGGCACGATAGCTACTCGAGTTATTAAAGAATAGTACTTTAGAGTTACCACACAAAATGTGCACTCGCTCAAACAAGAATATATCGATGCTGTTTAGTAATATGCAGATCGCATAACCGTCTCCATCCTTCTTCATCGGCAATTTCCAACACAGACACTTTCTCAAACCTTTTCCCTGGCAGTCTTCGCCCGATGACCCAAGGACATTCCCAGTTCAAGGTGAACCTGAAGGTGCGAACCAGTGTGTATACGTCTTCAGGTATCGGGTACTTGTGGGTGGCCGTGAAGTTGAACACATGTTCTATCCCCTCCTTGTCTTGAACAGTCAACTCTCCGTATCGATCAACTCCTTCAACAACAGCCAACCCCCGTACCAACCCCGTTACAATGCACTCTACGTCACACCAGTCTTCATCCGTCGTATCATCCCGATCGATGCCCATGCCGACAATGGGGTCATGATCTACAGGCAGAGGCTTCGTCATAACTTGGTCCCACGATGGTCTCCATTTTTTGCCTGAGTTTCCCGGTTCAGGATACCAGAAGAATAACGGTCCCCGATGCCACTCAGCCATCGAATTCACGAGAGCTGTCCATGCCTGCTCGAGAGATTGACCCTCATGGTATACCGGTAGCATCTTGGACCCCAGAAAAAATGCCAGCCCGGCGACTTTGTCCACTGAGGTTGTCGACACCCGATTCTGCATGCCCTTCAGTGCTGCAAACACCAGGTACGACATGCCATCGATAGACTTCAGCTGCTTGTGAAACCTAGTTAGCAGCCCAGTCTCATAGTTTCCACCCTCATCCACTGGTTTGGCATGCAGTGGTCTATCTGGCATGTCCCCGGCAATCACCCTGCTACCGCCAACCTCTTGCAGTGTCCAAGCACGTCTAAACCACGACCGATCACTATCCAAGTCGCCCTCTTTCAAAGTCAAAGGCCGACCCAGCCCACTCAAGTAACACACCACCTTTCTCTGATCATACACTGCTCCGATGGTGGGCACATCCAGCTTCCACTCTTCCGTGCGCATATACTCCCCCCATCCACCCACCTGTCTCAAACAGAGAACATCTAACCACGTATACTCCACTTCCAGATTGAGCATCTCAATACGGATAAGTTTGAGGTTGGTGTCTTTCGGGATGGGAACAGGCCACCCATATCCATTGATGGGTGTCCACACATCGACCCGATCCTTCCCATCTATCCACGCGTGCGATATCGGCCGAGGCCAGTGGTCCCTTTCGTAAACGGGGATGCCCGTACTCCACCATGGCACCACCCGATTACTATACAGATCCCAAACGCGTCGGGGTTGCAGGTGTGGATGCACAATTCGGTTACCACTGTACGCTTCTCGTCGCATCTCCTGGTCCTCCTCTTCTTGTCTGCGAAGTAGGTCTCGGATAGTGCTCCAGTCACGGGTGTACCATATTGGCCGGAGGCGGCCATATGCCATACCAAAGTCATAGTTGTTCGTGATGCAGTCTTCAAGAAGGGGGGAGAGGGATGGGGTGTCCAGGGTGTGAGACGTCCCGAGTGTCATGTTGAGTAGATCCAAGAGGCCCCAAATGCCGAGGGTAGCGCAGGGAGTGTCAGCAAGGCGGGATGATATCACAGGCTTTCTACTGGTGTATGCCCGTTGCTTTGGAACTATGATCGATGATTCTGGTTGACCCGTCTCAGTGAAGGCGGAGATGGTGACCTTGGGAAGAGGGATATGCTGGAAATGCAGCATCAATTTGCACTCTGTTTGTTTGCCGATTGACTTACCCTCGGAGGCCATGGTTCATCGTCATAAAACATCACACCACCAAAAAGCGATTGGTATGGATGGTACTAATGACATCGTCACTGAGTATTCGAAACGAGAGGGATAATGATACATACTATTTCCGATTTTTCAGGCTCGGAAGGGTATGCAGTCGAGCGAGTACTAAAGGAAAAGGCGTTTGCCTTGATGTAGGCACGGTCTCCAGCCACAGCCCCAATTCAACTCCGGGCTGATGCGCGGTCTTTGTGCGAACAACACGGTAGATGTCTCGAACTTACACAGGAGCAGCTTGTTTCGGGAACCGTGGCTTTGAGACTGGGAACAAGTTTATTATGGCAAGGATCAGCGGAACGAGAGTCAAAGGCATGAATTCTGTCAAAGGCGGCACGTATGGGTTCATCAATAGTCGCTGGCACATTCTTGATGCCTATTTGGATATCTAGCGTTTGGTTGTTATGTTTGCGTAGCCCGGCACTCGTCCTGAACAAAGATTTAGTCTCGTGGCAAAACTCTAAAATGATCCAACCAGGATATACTTACCAATGACGCTACAACCAGTGTCCTCCGTCTACGGACGCTCAAAATATTTCCTGTTTCAAGGGAACCCTGACTTCAAATTTGGTTCGGTTTTCGCTGGAGAGATGACCTGAATTGACTCCGAAGAGACTATCGTTACGCCCGAGATTGATGCTGAGGATTGTGCTACGAACAGGTAAAGCGCCCAAAGCACATGAAAAACACGACCGGACAGGCACCGCAGAGATACACACTATCCAGTCTTTTGACCTATCTGCTAGGATGGCCACCTTCCAGTTCCACGCGGCTCCCCTCGAGTTTCATCCTCATATGGACGGGGCTAACCTATCTATACGACGGACTGGAACCACGCTTTACCGGTAAAGACTCCATGCTCGTCCCACACGAATGAGAGGGTTAGCATTTATCAACGGAGAACCAATTCGGATAGTGCAGCCATCAAGTGCGTGCGCGGTGATGGGACGCTGCCGAGGTCAAAATCAGATGAAGGCACCTAAGGATCTGACAAAATCGTACCAGATGTTTAACAAGCTCGGTAATGTCGAATGATAGACTCGGCGGACGCGGTAGTAAAATCCACAACGAAACATCGTATGCATATCTTTCTCTTCTGCGGAGATGCTTGTGCCTAAGAGACATGCTTAGAACGCCGAACCATACTATCTGAGAGAAAACCCAACCGTTGCTGATATATATCGTAGTACGGATATAAACAATTTGCAGGGTCAGCGAGTTTTGTAGATCAGGGTACGTCGCATTTGCGTAATAACCTGTACAATCAGCATCAAAAGCGAAAACCCGCAGACAGTATGTTCATACCATCTTATCTGACCACCACACGTCGCCAGTGCCCACTCCCTCTTTCCTCTTGAGCATGCTAATAACAGAAACACCAGTCTCAAAGTCTCCACTCAAAGTCGCGTATTGTATAGGCGCCGGTTCAGCGTCTCAGAAGAGGACGTTCAGTCTCTTCGTCAGAGCAAAGTCGTCAAGAAAAGAAGAAAGGAAATGTCTCCGAAAGAGGCTGTGATGACTGGATGATTGGATAACACGCCCTGAGAAAATAATGCTGGTATGTTTATTAGCATGGTGACTCTCTATCTAATGGCCGTTCTCACCATTCAATGCCTTAAATTGACCTTTTATGGGAAATGAGATGCACTGGTATCGCCAAAGATTCTCTCAATACTTTGAGGAGCAGAGAGACATACATCAGTACTGACTTTGCCAATAACCCTAGCAGTTCACAAACAGGAAGTTTCGACCCTCATCATCATCCTACACGTTCCACGACGAATTTCGTGCGACCAAACATCTAGGAAGGCGGTAAATGGATCAGGAGTGCAAGTACCCGTGGCGACACTGTGCTCCGAGTAGTTCCTTCAAGATGATGCAAGAGCTTAGAGAATCTTCGCGGCAGAGAAAGAGACATTTTGAGCTTTCGTTTACGGACGAGACGTCTGGTTCCGCATGTATGAGCGTGAAACGAGAGCCGCGGCCTGGACAGTTGCCTTGTTGAAATGGACAATGCTGGACATATGACGGAAGATCCTTTGTCACGTGTAGCAGTACGCGTTGCTAACGTGACCGTCTTACTAATACTCGGGGCCCGCCTCAATTCATTAATCGAACCTGACAGTGACACCCAGTCCCAGATCCCGGCTTGTTGACTTATTACTCACATTATAGTCGCACTGCAATAAATAATACGTGTACATGACAGAGAGACAGAGAGCCCTAGAACCTAGACGTGAGTAAGAACTGGTCTAGGTGCCCTGGCCTAGTGACTGAAGGTTTTTTTTACTGAGTTGTTTTGGATTCAGGGTAACCGGTTTGCCCGCGACGCACTAGAAGGATAAATCGATGGTTTTGCTCAATCGCTGCTCACGTAGCTTTAGAACTGTCCATGAAAGCTCTAATGACGGCACTAGGACCACTTTACCCGGGCGACACCATCTAAAATCAACCCCGGAAGGAGCCTGGAGTTCCGAGTCCGCATCCGCTGTGGCGAGGAACACCCTGGAAGCCTTGGAACCCACTCGACTACCCTTGACGTACATACAGAAATGAATACCTCGATATTCTGAAGGCTAGGCAGGCAAGTTATCAAGCCGATTCTTCGCAGATCACCCAGCGTGTATTTTTTTAGTACCGAGCGATGTTTTGCGGCGAGGTTCATATAGTACCATCCATGCCATAATCAACGATTCATTAAATTTCAGCATGATAAAATCGCATGCAAGTCTCTTCTTTTTCTCTGGGCTTTGCTTCGCCACCACCGACCCCAGAGTCTTTCGGAGCAACCGGGAGCGACAATATGTTGCGATCATCCTCATTTTGTTCGCAGATTATGACGCACGGTATGAAGGTGCCACTTTGCCGACGGCGAGTGTCGAGGTTCTCCGTCATACTACGGAACGAAAATCTCGGTCGGGGGACGGAGGGCTTTACGCGGTGTAGTACGTCGTATCGCTTCATCTCAATTGACGTCAGGTGTACACCTACCTGATGATCGATTAAATTATACGTTCTGTTTGCTCCATACAGTTTCCGAGGGCACCCTTTGCGCCGTAAGTGTGGATCCAGATTTACCATCTACCTTATCTCAAGGAATTGAATTGATTCATTAGGCCAAATCTCATCTGGAGGATATCGTCTAGTCCAGTGGGAATTCCCGGGTCAAGTAAATCAGTACGTAGATTCGTCCTAAACTTTGACCGTGACTCTGATCAAGAGAATAAAGATACCGTGCTGTCGGAGTCAAAACGTTACAATAACCCCTTCCGATCATTTCAATTTCCTCCCCCGCTACAGTCTTGGTCGGAGTCTATCGATGCCTCCAAGATATTTAAATGTCAATTATGTTTTGCGTCCCTCGTTGTTGGTACCCGACCATGACAACTGTCGATTACTTTCCGATCCAGGATCTTCCGACCGAGCTAGAGAGAGAGATTTTCGAGACTGCGGCCCGCATGCGACCCAGTAGTGCCCTCGATCTCGTCCTCGTAGCTCGCAAGGTCCGAACGTGGTAGGTACCGTACCAGTTCACCATCGCTTCAGCGGACTTTGACGCCCTGCTTAGGATACAGCCATTGATCTACGAGATGGTCACGCTGGGGACCGACGACACTTCCCTGTTCCTACGAACGATGGATGAGTTACCAGCGGCATTCTTTCAACAAAATGTTAAAAGATTATGCCTCACTGTATCTGTAGAGCCCGAAGCTGCAGCGCGAATTTTAGCAACTTGTTCGGGCCTTCAAAGCCTAGCCTGCTGGGTCGACTTTAGGGCAGTTCACCCCCGGCTACAATTCTCCCCGCTGATCGCCTCTCAACGTCTCCGACGGCTCTCCATAGAGATCAGGCATTTTCGACAGCTTTGTAGAGACCCACTCTGCCACGGCGCTTTGTTCCGCTCCCTAACCCGCCTAGACCTCATCTACTGGGAACCCGGTGAACTAGCCATCGGGGAATTGGCATTCTTACCAATTTTGACGCACCTTTGCATTATCATCCGCGATCTCCCCGTCACAGAAGCATACCTTCTTTCTGTCATCTCTATGTGCCCATCGCTCAATGTCATGGCGGTTCTTATCGACGAGGGTGCCGATCCGGTACCCACACGGGACTGGAGAATTGTTTGGTTGCCATATCCTGTTATGGTGTTGGACTGGGAAGCACCGTTCCGGGGGCAGGAGGACACATGGTCCAGGGCGGAAGATATCGTAAAAAGCAGAGAACAGGAGCTGGCAAGTTTGCCCAGTCTAGGTGATTTACTTAACTTATTTCTGGCAGCCTCGAGGTGGAAATTAACTTACTTTCCAGACTTGGCACGGAAATGGACCTAAACACATCTGCTCATCACATGGTGACGCCACACGATTGCGAATCCAGAGTTAGAATTTACCTGGTCGCTCAAGCGCTCATCGCCTGTAAGGTCTATCAGAGCGTTTTGCTGTCCTTGACCAATCAAGTCCATTTTATCTGTAGCACGTTGTACGTCTAATCTGTGGCGTGGCACATTCGTTCCCACTGACCCACAAGAGCACGAAGTCGATAGTATTTCTAGACCGACGGGTATCAGTTACCTCGCTAATAGAAAGCACTTCTTGTAAGGGAAGTAAATACCCATTGCCCTTCTTCCATTGCCTATTAGTCGATTCGCGTGGGACGAGTAATTGATACAGGCACAGTTCTAACATTACTACCCACAATAATGGATCGTTTACTTGTCCCGACTTCTAACTTCTAATTCGCATGCGCGTTTTGCATGGACCTTAGGAAGTACACTATGAGAGCGTTAGCATCCCGGCAGCAAGCGCATAAGCCCTTCTGCGTTGACTGTATTCTGCGGTCAGAAGCGGAAGGAAACGTTGCCCGAATAAAGGGAACAAGTAAGCAGGTTCGAAATATATATTTTCAAATTAAAAGGGGCCTGCCGGGCTCCAACTAACGGTACGAGTATTCACTTATGGACTTCCACCGTAATGCAGCCCTACGACCGTCCTCACTTACCCAAGCACTTACCCAAGAATCGCACCAGCTCGGTAATTACCGCTTCGCTCTGCTCTTGCTGAACCCAATGTCCTGCATCCTCGATAAGCACCACATCTCTTTCGTCCATCCTCCCACAGATCTCACTCTTCATTCTCACCAAAGCCCCTGGAGCTTGATAAGCTCCCCAGTCCATTGTACCCGCAATAAACATCGCGGGGACCTCTACGCCTTTTCCAGCGAACTCGGACAAATCTCGAGTCCACTGCGCATCGATGGAGCAGCGGTACCAATTTAAGCCGCCTTGAAACCCTGTACGGGAGTATTCGTGGGCGTAGGTGGATAGCTCGGAGGGTGTGAGCCACGATATGTCAGGCGTGTCTTGCGGCTGATGGACCGCGTCAGGCATGGTTTCATGCTGGAGCATCACGTAGTATCTCGGAAGCTCTTCCATTTCGTCTACTGACGCGAGAGGATGAGGATTGTTGTTGCCTAGCCCGATGCCGTCTGCAGCCTTGGCGTGGAAATACGCACGGAAAAAATGTTCCGGCGGTTGGGTTCGCATTATATGCTTATTAGCATCTCGGGAAGAGAAGTATGCCGTATAGTGTTTTCGAGGAGGGTTCATTAGGGATAGAGTTCTTTCGATTGCATTGGTGGGGAAAAGAGGTGCACCAGGGGCACTAAGACCCGTGAATGGGGCGCTCATGAATACAACGGATTGAAAGATGTCCGGGCGGGTAAGAGCACAAAAACCTGCGACAAGGGATCCAAAGTCATGCCCCACCACTGAAGCGGTTGTATAGCCAAGGGTATGGACTAATGTCACGATGTCTTGGACTAAGTTAGACATCTGAAAAGGCGCTAGGTCGTCGTCGTATTGAATAGGCGACGTGACTGTTTTGCCGTAGCCCCATTGGTCTGGAGCGACAACACGATAGCCCGCCTGCGAGAGGGGATGAATTACTTTGCGCCATGAATAGGCGAGCTCTGGAAAACCGTGGAGAAGGACAACCAGAGGGGCATCGGATGCAGCCTCAACGGCTTCCAGTATGTGGTAATCAGAGTCTCGGAGTCGAACGTTGCGACATTTGACGTTGATGAGAGTCTCGGGGCGATATGAGCAGTAACAATCGGGACCGACCATGACGTGGCTGGAGTAACAACTCTGGCCAGATTATGGGTGCATCACTTCCAGAGTTATTCAGAATTCAGGTCCCCGGGGCCGTGCCGGTTTCCGATATGTCGTAGGCAATCTCCGTTTGACTTTAATGTTCTCCCGAGCAAGTCTAAAAGTAAGAGACGTTTCCAAGAATATTACGGCGACTTGCTCTGTGGCGCGGGTCATCGGGACGCTATCCGTCAAGAGGAACATACACAGTGGCAAGGGTATACGTTAAAGCCGCCGCCTCTGTGACACTCGCAGTATTTGTCGAGTTCCAGTTACCGGGCTCTAACTGTTCTGTAGTCGTCAATCTGTACTTCGGTGGGTGGGCTCCAGTCATGTGAGGCAGGCAGATTGAAGCCGCATGCCTAAATGCCATGTCGAGGCTAAGACGCACGGTCATTTGAAACCTCAAGAGAATTCAAGAAGGCATCCTTCAACTTTGTCGACAGTCGGATATATATCTCGGTGCTTTCCTTCGGAGGTCTTTGACATCCGATGTATAGACATTACTAAAAAGCCACTTTGGATTATTATTTATATAGTAACAGCAAAATGGGCGAACCTTTTCAACAGACAGGCGCACCATGTTATGAGAACTTGGAGCCTAATACCTGGCTGCTATGCGGGTTCATCAACCACAATACAGAGCGCGCACAGCGATGGCTTACAGAGTCGATGAATCGACGCGTTGCTTTCGAGCTAAACAAAGGGCTCCACGGATCAATTCACGTTCAACTTCTTCAGACCGCGAGCAGCATAAAACAGCAGAGTATCCGACCTGGAACCATGCGATAAACGGTGTCGGCGATGAATGCCAGTGCATTGTTCTCTCTTCATTTCTATCAAGAACTTGACAGAAAGGCTAAACTAAGAAGATGAACAAAGCCGTATAGATGAGGTCACGAGTATAAGGAAAAAAGAAGACTTACTACATAACAACATTATTAATTGTTCACTTGACTCTCCGATGATAGACTTTGAGTCTTTGAAGGAATGACAACAGCACCCTCGGAATGAATGTGGATGAGAAATCCAGAACTAGACAACGAAGCCAAGGTGGCCGTCTTGTCCTCTCTTGGAATATTCGCTCTTACGTCGACTAGATGGCAGTGGGAACTGATCTATATTCGCAGAGTAGAAATCTGTTTCAAATCTGTAGAAATTCGGATTCTCGGAAGGGACCATCGTGGCTGTGTCCATAGCGGGAATTGCCGACCGTTGAGCCACGTGGCCAAACAAGGCTGAACCTGGGAAATTATCGAGGTCATTTTTCTTCCAGGTTCAAGTCATGGCTCGTTTCCGTGCATTCTCCAGTGACGACGACTCCAGCAGCGACGATGAACCTACGACAGTCCCAATAATTGAGCCCTCGGCCGTCCATTCCGATGACGACATGGATGATGAGGAAGAAGAAGAAGAAGAGCAAGAGGATGAGGACGAAGATGATGACGATGACGCTGAATCGACGAGCTCTAGCTCTTCGGAGATGCGAGAGGAGGACCTCATTGCGCCACGGCGACGGAAGGAGGCGCTAGTTGAAGATGAGGATGGCGAATACCAAGAAGTCAGAGATGACCGCCCGCCACTACCACCGGCATCGTCAAGATTAGGCTTCGACGCGCAACGGATGCACGTTATGCAAACATCTTTTTTCCGGATGCCAGAAGAAGCAGAAAATATTCGTGCAATGATGCAGGACGTGCCACAGCCGACACTACGCGTACAAAACACCCTGAACAGGAAACATAGCCGTGATTCAGATGGTGACGGGCTAAGGTTCGAGTCTAGAGAGGTTCGTTGTGCCCAATGTTCTGTATTTTGTTTCTGACAGCTATTCAGCGCACCTCTTTTGCGCACAACATAGAACCACCCGCTTATCGTCCATCACGAAAATATGCAAGAGTCGAGAGTTCAGTGTCTGTCTTTGGTGGCCATGAAGACGCATCAGTAGACGCAGGACTAGCATTTGGGCGCTCGTTTCGGGTGGGCTGGGGTCCTGGTGGCACATTGGTTCATCTAGGCAGCCTCACCGCACCGGCTTCTACGGCGTATGTGGCAACTTAGGCCAAGTAACCTGAAAGCTTACACTTTACTTCTTCAGAAAATCTCCTTTGAATTCCTCCATAATACATAAAACTCGAGTTCCCTTGTTTTCCAAACCTGCTTCTCCGCACTCCCTATCTTCCCAAGACCTTACCACCAAGCTCTTGCAGCATCATCTGTCTCATTCACCTATAACCCCAGATGATGCTGGCATACCCTTTGCTGACCCTACATCCCCGAATCTACATTTCGCCTCATTTGCGTCTCTTTTTCCCACGACAGACCATTCCTACGAGGCTACGCTTTTCCGGCTAGGCCAAGCTCTCTTTGATCCCCTAGACCTACGCCTTGGCCCTGATATTACCGTCGATGTCAAAAACTGTGTTTCGGGGCTGGCACGGAAAACTGCGCTAACTACATGGCTGGAGCACACTGTAGCACCTACAGTCGATGCTGCACTACGCGTTCCTGGAACAAGTGCTACCGCACGTGTGTGGACACTCTTGACGGGAAACCAAGTCGAAAAAGCGTGCGAGGCGGCAATGGACGCTGGTTATGTCAAGCTTGCGACCCTCATATCGCAGGCTGGCGGAGAGTTTGACTTCCGCGAGGATGTGAAAGAGCAGATAGAGCTGTGGCGGAACGAGCACGTTGATGTACATATCGACGAATATGTCAAGCGAGTGTATGGTTTGCTCGCCGGGTTAGCAGATACGAAGGATTTGGACTGGAAACGCGTCTTTGGGATGCATCTGTGGTTCAACGAACCGATCGATGCACCCATTGGGGAGCTATTCCGGGCGTTTGAGCGTTCTGTTGCATCTCTGTCAGCGACCAAGGATGGCCGTCCCGATGGGCTATTCTCGATCCTGAGACTATTCGCAGACCCAGCATGTTCATTGACGCGGGTATTGGATCCAGCGTCATTTGGGTCTTCGCGGATCGATTACACGCTGCCCTGGCATTTGTATATCATCTTGTCACGGTGTATGCGTGTGCGAGATTTTTCAGATCGTGGCGATCCCGGTGGTCACCACCGAAATGACGAAGATATGGAGAGCGAGGAGGAGAACCATATAGATGGACACAGTCCTACAGCCGATCTAATGACGAGCATGTATGCGGGTCAGCTCGAGCAGCTGGGGCTTGTACAGGAAGCGGCGTTTGTTTTATTGTACATCGAAGGGTCTGTCGGGTATGTTAACTAGATCAACTGATTTCTCCGTTTTAACCGATTGTTTTTTTAATAGCCGGGAAAAGGCCATCAAAGACCTATTGGCACGGTCCGCTCACTTACTAGATGACTGGATGATCCGTGGCTTGGTGGGGAGTTTGAAACTGCCCATGGCCTGGGTACAGGAAGCGCAGGTAAGCCGCATTTGGCGGCGATCGTGCGGTACTGATGCGTTACATAGGCAATTTACGCCCTCTATCAAAACTCGCCCTTCGAGGCCTTTGAACTATATCTTTCAGCTAGGCTGTACAACCCAGCACACGACATTGCTGTGGCGGAGCTTGCCCCCGAGGCTGTTTTGCGGAAAGACTTGGAGCTTCTCAAGACCATATTTGGGCGGTTCCGGGGCCATGCCGTCGATGGCTGGAGTATTAGGGGAAAGGTATTTCCCCCAAAACTTATCTCTCTCTCTCCGGTTTCTGATCAACTCTGCAGCTATTTGTCGACTATGCAAACGTGCTTACACGATTACCTGAGCTGTATGACGATGAAAACACGAGCGCGGAGAAAATGGAGGAGATCGAGACATTGACGCGTACAGGAGCGAGGCTAGTTGGCCTTCTACCGGATGTGATGGACGGACGGAACAAGGAGGCATTGTCAATAATGCTGGATGCACTGGTGAAGATGGTGGATAGGGAGAAACCAGGTGCACTGACTCAGCTCCACCATATCGATGGGACGACACGGATCCAGCATATACGCGCAACGGGTGTGAAAAGGTTTTTGAAGAGTATACAAGTTAATTAGTTATATATCCTTGGCGTGTATCTGCTTTTGTTTGAGTAAATTGTCGTTATGTTGGCGACCCGTTGCGGTGTCAGCGGGATCCTCGCTCGCCTGGTCCTATGGACGTGCAAGGCTATATTCATGCCTCAACGTTAACTGTTGTTTACGACAGACGTCAAACAGATGTAACTAGTCCTGAGTATCAAAGGCAAATCGACTTGGATTAAGGCTATGATAGAAGGGCGGGATCCAGTCAAGCCTGACCCACTTACCGAAACAATAGATATGTCTGTGCGATCTCCCCAGATGACTGGCGGTTCAATGGGGGCAGTGACCTGGATAGAAAGTATATGACTATCTTGAAGGAACTAATATTGTTTCTAGTTTAGAAGACAAAGCCTTAGTCAGTATCTGAATATGACGTCCACGATGCACTTACAATCATCTTGGAAGAAATTATCTCCATAATCAAATAATAGTTCTTCGCCAGGTTGTAATCTCCGATCTGCATACACACAGGTTCACGTGCATTGCTGCTCGACTGCATAAGAACGTACTGGCATATATCCCAATGCGGTGTTCCCCGTTTACCAGTTTAGCTTTCAAAAGACAATTTCAGGACAAACCATCATTTATACCGAGATGGAATTCCACTTACTCATGGAACGACAATTAGACCGCTTACTATGATTTATATATCGCGATTCGTTTGAAGAGATACGTGCTATCCAATGTGAGTGTCTGGTTTAGCTCGAACATGTAGTTTCGCTTTCGATGTCGAGCAAGATCGCTTCAGGATGTATGAGAAGAAATTTCCGCAAGCACAGGAAAGTGACAGACCATCGAGTATCCACCGATGGCTTCGAAAATGAGTTCCCCGACGTATTCTAGTTTCCTGTCAGCTAGAGTAGAAGGCATCCCTTATCTGAGGACTTGCCGATAACTGAAGTCATCTTTCTCGGCGGGCTCTAAAAGATAGAGACCCAGCCCCCATTGACTCTCCTTGACCTCCACCGCCTAGAACAAGTGATATTGTTAACCGTCGAGACTCACGAAACGAGGAGAAAGAGTGTTACCTTCTGTCTTCCTCGCTGGATGGCCATGTTCTTGCAGATCGTGCAGTCATCCAGATCTAGATGTTGTCAATTTGTGTGAAAACAGTGCGCATCAGACACGGACCTCTGAAGCAGGCTTTCAGTTAGAGCCTACAGGCAGACATAGAAATCAAAAGCGCACCTGGCTCTTCCCTTGTGACACAATTCAGGATCGCATTCTTTGTTCTCCAAGAAGCATGAACAAGGCTTCTTCCGACATTCTCTGGTTGAACAATCACACCCCGTCCGTCGGCGGATGCAGGGCTTTCGATGGCTGGCGCATTGGCAGTTCCGCATGCAATGGGTACTGTTATTGAAACACAGGCAGCCGGAATGGGCGTCACAGGGACCCTCATGCTCGCAAGGTTTATTACTATGACTCTGTCAGAGATATGATGCACACGAAAAAGCCAACCACATACGGAGTGAATACATGGTGGTCAGTATCTGAGTAGCGGGGATCAAAGTCGGTGAGAATTACAAAGACGAGGTCAGATACCTTTGATCTTTAGATTCCTGGAGCGTATTACGGGTCTCTGGCGCGGGGGAGCGTCCACTAAAACATCTGGGATATAGGCGCATCGTCGTTTAAAGATCTACGGGGAAACGTTAAATAAATACTGTCGATGCGAAACAAGAGGCAAGGGCACCTCTCGGCAGGGTTTTCGACAGATGGTCGTGAGTTCGCATGGAGTCATGTCCGGGGCGTGGTCCAGCATATCGTGCAGCGTCTCAATGTCTTCGGGGGTCCAATGTATCTCCTGAAGATCATGAATGAGCACCCGCAAGGACAGATGCGAGAAAGCCTACAATGTAAGGCGGATTTCCATGAAGGAAACAATTCATACTACAAGGTCCCGAAATATCATCAGATAACCTGTCGCTCTTCTTTTTGGGCATTTGTTTCACGGGGGTTGGATCACATTCCCCTACGGGAGCTGTCATTAGTGGAACTCGCAGAGTCTTGGAAGCATAACCCACAATGAACCATACAGTGACTGACAAGACAGTTTAAATTATTGCAAAACCATGAAATTTCGCGGGTCCTGGGCCCGAGTTCAGCTAGGGAGAACAACGCTCCGAGCCACGGGAGCAAGTTCCTGCATTTAAATTAGGTCAGTTACCTAGTATACACAAGAAGAGATCCCTCTGCCTTCGACGACCGAGATTGACGACGCTCTGCATTTTCAAAGGCAAAACGTTCGTCTTGTCTATCTTTTCCAGAGTCATATTATTCAGATCCATCAATTTCTGCGCTGCAGCAGAGACGATGATTTCAACTAAAATAAATGGAAATCAGAACAGAAGAACATGACCAAAAATTTGGAAGAGGCGTTACGATCGGGATCGTGCAGTGTTTGCCACGCAAATTCCTTGTAGTAGGTGTAATGTAGCTGGTCTCCGTCCTGTGGAACCTCAACAAAACCGGGATCGTCCGCAAATGGCATGAAATTCATGCTATCAGGATCGTCACCGTGGAAGACACTGCGGCTAGCAAGAGGTGAGGATTCATATGCGGAGCACTCTGGAAACAGTGCTGCCACTTCGACAACTTCGACAGGTAGCCAAGACGTGATGGTCTCGCCATTCTGATATTGCTCGACGCAGAAGCCATCTTCAGCCATGATTGATGTTGCAGAGTCGCCAATTTCCCATTCGCCTTCGTCTTCATCTTCCTCCGAGTCTTGCCCAGCTAGCTTTTGAATAGACTCCCGACAGTATTCCTGCTCCCAAGCGTAAAACGCGTCCCAGGCATCTTTAAAGGCGGCCTGGACGATCAAGTTTGTGGAGCTATCAATGATTGGATCGTTCATAGGAGTCCGACGCGGCGTAACTTGAAAAACAGTTCAGTGTCTGACATGAAATTTGTAGTAATTGGAGTCCGGGAGTAAATGAGGGCGTACTGCAGGGACAGTTTGGAGAGAGATCACAGCTAGGATAGACTACAGCTTTGAAACAGTGGAATGGTGAACCTGAGATGCTACACGAAAGAGGGGAGAAAGTGAGGGTAGAGAATGAAGACCGGGAAGTCACGTGCAACGCGTTGACAACGGAACGCGACATCTTTGCGGCCCGCTCTCCCCGCTCCTTCGCAACAACCAACGCCAACATGAAATTATTCCTCGATTTCGGATGTGCAAGTCGGCGGGTAGCATGGATAGGAAGAACGAGCATACTCGGGGTTAGGAAAAAGCGCATTCAGATTAGCTGAATCCTCGGCACGCCGCATAACCCGTTTCTCCAATGTAGTTTGACTTTTGTTGTAAATTATGTGAGCCAAAGGTATCAATTACATTCCTGATATACATGCATGCAAGTAAGTGCCCCGAAATAATTAGCAGGGCTTCTCTGCGCCTATCCTGAAGTCCCAGCATCGAAGGCTAGGCGTAGCCTACGCGTCGATTAACCTTCGGGCTCGCAGCATCCAAACTTTTTGTATATGACAACTGTGTCAGAGCCAGACGCCTGTGATATTGTGTTACGTGAACTCGAACGTCGAGCGATGGCTGGTGAGAAGCGCAGCCTCTGAAGAGCTTCCCAATTAGGGCATGGCATCTAAGCGACAGCCCTCGGCCTCATCAACAAAGACTCCCACCATGTCGTTCACACGGAGACCTCGCATCAACCGCCTAGAAATGAATCCAAGCTCTGATGCCGTACCAAATGCCTTTTACCCTGGAAAATGGGAATCAGGATCGGTACGTATCACTAAGTATTCCCTCTCGTTTCGAGTACTCATTAGTGACACTAGCGGCCTTATACCAATGGTTTCTCGGTGGCATGGTGTCGATTTGGAACCATATGCACTCCCTCTCCATCTTTTTGACTGTCCGGTCTCCTGACGAATGCGACGAGAATCACAACACGTCCGAACGGCAATCGTACTTGAGAGGATGTTGGTTCAGACTCGTCGCCCGCTTGCATCCCTCTAACATACGTACTTTTCTCGAGTCTGATGGTGATGGACTACGGCCTCCGAGGGTAAGTCACCAGCCGCCAAAGTAACAAAGGAGGAATTGATGACGTAGTATTTCCAGGATCTCTCTCTTCCTGAAGTCACCATCTCCGCCTTCACTGAGACGGGCCAAGCAGAATCCTCGATCCCCATTCCATTACAGCGAGCATACACCGGTACAAAGCCCGTGATACCATCCCGCCCCGCCGACACTCCCTGTACAACCCTCGGTGTCCAAAGCCTCCTAGAGCAACTCAACACCACACTCGGGACATCCCACACCCTGCACACCCCATCCCTCCCCTCTCTCCTCTCAGACTGCCTCACGCAACTACGACTTTGGCACGGCCGATACACCGCCCCAATCATGGGCACGTCCAGCTTCCACTCCTCCGCACGCACATCCTCCCCTGGTCCACCCACCTGTCGGCGCGATCCTTCTCGTCCACCCATGCATGCGATATCGGCTGAGGCCAGCGGAGTTTCCCATCAACGTCCGTGATCCACCATGGGACTACCCGGTTGCTGTACAAATCCCAGACGCGTCGGGGTGGTAACCACGGATTGACGATCCGGTTCCCTACGAGGGCGGGTCTCCTGGTCCTCCTCTTCCAAGTCTCGAATGGTGCTCCAGTCGCGGGTGTACTATATCGGGGACTCGGTAGCATCTCAGGGACATCCGTTATTTTTTCTGAGCTTGCGCATACGGTTAACAGTGTTATAGGAACACAAATAACCGGGGAAAATATTTGTTTGGGCTGTCGACTGTGACTGGGTAGCAAGGATACAGTAGATGGGTAAGCGCTCCACGTCTAAACCAACTCCGGTCACTATCCAAGTCGCCCTCCTTCAAACACAAAGGCTGACCTAGCCCATTCAGGTATAACACCACACGGGTCGCCTACAGCCGCCTCCGCATTCTCACCAACATGGACCACACGTCATGCACGTAAATCAGTAATATTCCAAGGTCCAGTCCTGTCTTATCTGAAAGTCGCAAGGAAATTGTCATCTATGAGAAGGATAATAGCCGACAAGAAGGATGTAAGCAAGGATTTAATGAGGTACCAGTAGAGTATCGAAAGAGATAACCGTAACGAATGAATTGAATGAGAGCAGGCAGAAGATAGTACTGTTCCAGACATTCGTGAGTGGCAAGCGTTTCAGTGACAGTCCAAAGGTGAAAGAATACAGTCGTAGAAGAAAATCAGAAGGCGTGAAGATTTTGTACAGTCGTGGCAGCTAGGCGCGAAGAAAGCGTGTCGCGACTCGGATGATGGTGGTGCATGAAGAGCAACGCAACACGCGGGTCCCCAATTAGGTATCAAAATCTATTTAGGAAGGTGTGAGATAAGCGAAAATGTATCAGCCAAATCTGAGCTCAAGCCTCCCATTCAAGACGATCGGTTATAGGTCTAGCTGGTTACGGTTGGATGACCCTAGCTGACTCTGAAGATTGCGCTACTGACGATCTGATTATCCAAAGCTCCTGCGAAACACAACTTACCCAGCACGACAGGTCCCCTACTACAACAGGCCATTCGGACACCATCCATTCTTCCGGCACATCTGCTGGGATCGCGGCCTTCCATAACGAACTTGTTCCCAGTCTCCAAGCCGAGGTTCCCGATCCAAGCGAAACAATCCGCTCCTTGTGGTGCATGATCTCGAGAAGACGAAGACTTCTGCCACGTTGTTTACACACAGCAGCCTCGTTCAAATTGTGACACCTGCCTGCCTCGAGACAAACCCCTTTTCGTTTCGCACTCCCTCGACTGCATACCCTTCCGGGCTTGAAAAATGGGGAATAGTACGTATCATTAATCCCGCTCATTTTGAGTACTCAGCACAACGACATTAGCACCGTCCACGATCTTCAACCAATCAGTTTCCGCCGTCATGATGGAACCTTGGCGTCCGCCGAGGGTAAGTCAGTCAGCAAACAAACAGAGGGCAAATTGATAACACATCTCTAGGAAATCTCTCTTCCCGAAGTCACCATCTCTGCTTTCGCTGAGACGGGCCAGGTGGAATCGTCGATCATTGTTCCATTGCAACGAACGTACATCGGTAGAAAGCCCGTGATATCATCCCGCCTTGCCGACACTCCATGTGCTACCCTCGGCATTCAAGGCCTCTTGGATCAACTCAACGCCACACTCGGAACGTCACACACCCTTGACACTCCATTCCTATCCTCCCTTCTTAAAGACTGTATTACAAACAACTATGACTTTGGCATGGCATATGGGCGCCTCCGCCGGATATGGTACACCCGCAACTGGGGCACTATACGAGGCACATTGCGCAAATGGGAAAAGGAGGACCGGGAGATGTGACAAAAAGCACTTGTTGGTGATCAGATTGTCAATCCAGAGTTGCCACCTCGACGTGTCTGGGATCTGTGCAGCAATCGGGTGGTGCCATCATGGAACATGGGCATCTCTGTTAATGACCCCCCTCATAAGTGGATTCGGCCAATATCTCATGCATGGGTGGATGAGAAGAATCGTGTCAATGTGCAGACACCCATCAATGGATATGAATGGCCTGTTCCCATCCCAAAAGATGCCAACCTCAAGCTTATTCGTATTGAGATGCTCAATCTTGGAGTGGAGTATACATGGTTAGATGTTCTCTGTTTGAGACAGAAGGGGGGACAGAGGGAGGTTATGCGCATAGAAGAGTGGAAACTAGATGTTCCCACCATTGGAGCAGTGTATCAATGTTCTGCCAAGTATTCAGTGGTGGTGTGTTACTTGAGTGGGCTGGGTCAGCCTTTGAGTTTGAAGGAGGGTGACTTGGACAGTGATCGGTGTTGGTTTAGACGTGCATGGACACTGCAGGAGGTTGGCTTCAGAAGAGAGATTGCTGGGGACACACTGGATGGACCAATGCATCCCAAGTATAAGGATGGGAAGTATGAGACTGCACTACTGACCAGGTTTCACAAACAGCTGCAGTCTATGGATTCCATTTTGCAGGGTACATTTGTGGCCCTGGAGAGTATGCAGAATCGGGTGTCGACCAATCCACTGGACAAAGTTGCAGGACTAGCATTTATTATGTGGTCCCATACAATACCAGCATATGATGAGAGCCAGTCTCTTGAAGAGGCATGGACAGCACTAGTGAATTCAATGAATGTGAGGCTTCGGGGGCAGTTGTTTTTCTTGTATCCTGAACCAGGAAATGCAGGCACAAAATGGAGACCATCATGGGATCAGGTTATGACAAAGCCTCTGCTTGCAAATGCTGGCCCCAGTATTTACATTGGCCTTGACCCTGACATTGATCCTGGCCCTCAGGTTGAACTTGACCCCTGACATTGGGGTTGGTCGGAATGGAATACTAGATGAAGATTGGTGTGATGCAGACTGCATTGAAAGGGGGTTGGTGCAGGGGTTGGCTGTTGTGAAAGGGGTTGACCAATACCGACATGGGAAGTTGATTGTTGAAGATAAATATGGGTTCGCACATACATTCAACATCATGGCTACCCATAAGTACCCAATACCCGATGGCATGTACACACTAATTTGCACCCACTCAAGGGAAAATCATGTCTACTTTGAAGTTGTCTGTCGTCGCTATTGGGTTGTTGGACGAAGACTGTTGGGAAACAGGTTTGAGAAAGTGGCCATGTTGGAAATTCCTGATAAAGGAGGATGGATTTGGTTAGAGGATTTCAATGATATTATTAAAAAAAGTCGGTATGTTCTTGTTTGAGTAAGTACATATTGTGCAGTGGCTTTAAAGTACTTAAAGTACTATTCTTGATCCAAATGGCTATTATGCCTATCTGAGAGGGTGATGAAGATACTCTTTTGAGGGGCCAACATAGTCAGTGACTACTACTTAGTCACTGGTAAGTATAAAGACTGGTTGATTGTAAAACCTGAGCTATACTACAATGTACCACATAGCTCTATATATTCATTGAAAATCCAATAATGGAGGAACTGAGAAAAGTGAAAGACAAGGATAAAGATAAGGAATATGGGGAAAGTATCTAGATGAGAAGTTAGGCATACTGGCATATGAATTAGAGAGGTGTCATCAACCCCCACCTGATGTAAAGCAAACATTAACATGGAAGAGAGTAGCACAAGGCATGACATGCATTCATTTTTCTATTATTCTTCAGAGGTCAAGAGTTGCCTTCACCAGGACCACCCATCCATGTTTCAGACACATTTCAGAGATCGCTTCTAATAATTGGTCAGCACACCTGAAAATCAAAAGGAAAATAGGCATACCACTCAGCTGTTTGTTGAACAAACAACATGTCAGCAACAAGAACAAACCCTGGATACAAAGTTAGCCTACAAAGAGTAAAGAACAACTTCACATACTATCAAGTTTCAGTTGAGAAATGTAGGCCTGAAAGACATTGATTTTGGTGGCCAGCTCCTCCACCATTTCTTTCACAGAGATAGGGACACACTCTAACAGTTTTGCAAGCTCTACCTTCTCCTCTTGATGGACCCAAACAACGGAATCGACACGACGAACTATTTAGAATGGTTGAACATACCGATAACAGCTTGAATTCATTGGACAATGAGAACACACGGAACAGTTCTAGAGTCGACATTGTCGGTTTCAGATGCTGGTTGTACACACCATCATCGAATTATATGTTACATAGTAATGCGACACAACTCGACACTCTGGAATCACCCCGAAGACCGATCAGCTGACATACTGCGGTCGACCTGCCCGTCCAAGCTTCTGGAGCACGTCCTGCGAAGACAACTCAACCCAACGACCCTTCTCCAGATTGTAGATCTGCGTTCCCTTTATGACGACGGCATGTACTAGCAGATTGACGCGTCGCAATACACACGAGAACCTGAACAGATCCATTCGCAAACAGCTCCACCAGGGAACGATCTTCCGTGCACGACATACCAGCATAATGGATACCGACACCAACAGGAAGAAGATCGTGGAGGTTGGGTTTCGTGATGTTGTTGGCTTCTCGGTCAGAAATTCCTGTGTATCGCTGTCAGCTTGAAGAAATGGGTGATTGTCTCCTTATCCACCTGCCATGTCCCTCAGGAATGTCGCCGTCCTGCTATCTCTTTTCGTGAGTGCACGTAAACTAGGGTTAGCCTGACCGAGGACTTTCTCGTCGAAGGCTTAGTGCGTTACATGGTATCGCTTGTTTGCCTAACTCCGATGAACTATTGCTGAGGTCGGCACGAAGCGTCGAAATAGAAATGTCCTTTCGATTCGGCTACGAGCTCTGGAAGTATAACCGAGTCTGCGAGCTCCAGAACCTTCTGTCCCGGTCAACATCTACCAGCTCTGCTCATCGACACCGCCTGCTGCTTCAACCTCGACTACCGCGTCTTCTGCACATTCACCTCAAACAAAGACGCCGATGAATCCTTTACATATACCAAAAACACCGGCCAAGACAGAGTCCTATAGTGAGCCCTGTTGCCAACGCAAGGGTTTTACGACCTCACCCTGGGAAAGGGTGTCTCGAATACATACAAGTTCTCGGCCTTTGTTCTTGACACGAGAGTTCTAAGGCGATGGGAACCGTAGAGAAGGTTCGGACGACGGAAGTGGGGAAGGAAATTCTTGGTACGAGGATGTTCGACAATCTGTTGCTTTGTCATTTGAGAGTCGCTCGTAAGTTCGCCGGCTTTGATACCAAGCACTTTAAGCCTACGGACCGTTGCTTGGACATGTGGATGATTTTGAATGCGTCAAGGTCGGAAGTTCTGGTAGCATCATCATGAAACTTGGAAAACTAGTTCAGGATCGTAAGCGTAGCAACATTGGTCTATGTAAAGGGATAGTCAGCGATGAAATCAAGATGCAACCTAAGAAGCATACCTTTCCAGCGCTGATAGGCATGTAAATAAGAATGGACTCATCGATGCCAAATGAAATAGGGTAGAGCTTTCTCTGAACGCGGTCAAGCTCAGGAACGGTGTGCGGGTGTGCCTTCGTCCGACGATCTCCAGCTAGTTCGCGAAAAATCTATCCCATGGCCATTTCGTGCATAGCAGCTTCGACGTTGACGCGCTTATCCACATCACTGTGCATGGGCTGGGTACACCAGAGGATGATGTCGTGGTTTTTAAGGAGATTTGTCGTGATATGAAAGCAAGAGCCCCATGAGCTGGTTTTCGCAGTGATGAAGGTTGGACTCGGAGCCAAGAATTGAGAGAACAGAGGAAGCTTTGTCGGCAGCAGCGATTGGGTCCGGCCGTCATGAGGAGACGATGACCGGCGCCCCTTTTCTAGCTTTGCCTCCGTCTTCAAGTGCAACTTCGCCGTCCTCGCCATCCCCGCCGTCTGACTATCTCTGAACTCAAAGTCTTCTTCATCCTCGTCCTATTGTTTCTCTTCATGGAAACCTTGCAACGTCGACCCGTCGTCCTCTGCAACCCCCCGCTCCGTTAGGTCCAATGACCTCTTCAATCTCCCATTGGCGGTCTGCTGCCTTCGTTTTCGTCCTTGGGCAGTCCTCGGATGTCCCGACTCGTGGATCAATGCGACCAGTCAGTGAAGGAGGAACACTATCCAGTTCTCGCTCTCTTCGCCGGTCTGCGGTAAGAACTAGAGAAGAAATAGCGCCATGGGTGTGCTGAGAAAGGGTCGGGTGCGATTCGTTCGAGGGTGTTCGTACTTGAGGTATGAATGTGACTCTGTCCCATATCAACGTGTAGAAATGGCCACGCTAAAGAGAAGATATTAGCGAAACGTTGTATATGCTGAAGAAAGGCCTTACCAGCGATCTGCACCAGGTACAATGTGTGACTTTCTACACATCATAGACGTCACCTCGGACGACCGCGACGATACGCGTTCCGCCAAAACTGGGGCACATCGAACGGGTCCTACACTGAGTGGTTGAAGACGTCTATTCCGAGTGCTAAGGGAACAGTACTAGGGAGTTTTGAGAGGAAATAGACCTGTATTCGCAAGTCAGAAGAGAACGTTGGTGAGAGGAGACTACGGACTAAAGGGATAAACGATAAACGCCTAGCACGAGTTTGCTATTCTGTAATTCTCCTGGTCATCGCATGTCCGAAGAAGTCCATCTAGCCTGTGAAGATGCCCTTAACACCCTCACGATCTCATAGCAAGTGATACATGTTGAGTCCAGCCTGGACACTGGTGGCGAAGGGTATGTCGTATGATGTCGAGAAGTCATGATTATCGGCGTAAGTCAGAGGCGTGGAAGAGGATAGCTGTGATGGACGGGCTGATGCGGCTGAGACGTTACACCGTACGGGTTATATGTTGATGCTGAACGCAGGTATGAAGTCGTGTTGAACAGCGAGAGCGAGAACTGATAGTAGCGGAGGAGGATTCCGCATCTCCCCCTTCTGAAAACGTGCCTTGAAGCTTGATACCGAACCTGGGGTCGGAATCATCTCCTGCTGAGAGCATGTATCATATGTTGGTTGCCGTCGAGTATCGAGTGATGCATGCCAAGGCGTAGTGGGCGGAAGTGACGGTCGTGCTAACGCAGATGAATGAGATCGTGCTAGGTAAGAGTGAGTATGGTTGAACGTGGAAGCTGGAAGAAGGAAGGGAGGATGTACGGACTCTTGTCACCTTTTCGATACACCTTTCCCTTTTCCGTTTTAGCACCAAACCCGTACCTCAACGTGAGAGGATGGATGTCATAGAAGACGGAGAGAATGAACTTGCACTGCGACCAGTTCCTATCTCCGTCATCGCCAGAGTCAAATCTTTTACAATGTCGACGTCTAATTTTCTGAGTGCGTGCCCTTCGCGTAGAAATTTGTCTTGGTCTCGAGTGTTTGATGGTCAGCGTTAGCTGTGATACATACAAGGTCATAATTGTATAAAGTGAGAAGAAAGAATCGCTTGCCGCAAGTCATAAATTGCGCGTAATCGTTGGGGAAGGGAAGTAGGAAAGAAGTCGAGAAGTGTGACGTTACTCTCTCCCTATCTATGCGTTGATCAGCCTTCGGGCCCGCGCCGTCTCATGCATCCAAACTCTGCGTCAGAGCCAGACGCGGTATACGTGAACTCGAACGATGGCCGGCAGCCCCTGGATGACAGACGAGCTTCCCAATTAGGGCCTAGCATCTAACACACGGAGACCTCGCATCAACCCTATAGGCCGCCTGGAAATGAATTCAAGCTCTGATGCCACACCAAACACCTTACCCTCAACTGCATATTCTCCATAGCTTGAAAAATGGGAATCAGTACGTGCTACGTTTCACTAAGCCCTCTCATTTCTGATACCGAGTACGACGACATTAGCACGGTACAAGGCCTTATACCAGTGGATTCTCGGTGGCGTGATGTCGATTTGGAACCACATACGCTCCCGCTCCGTCTTTCTGACTGCTCGGACAAGTACAGACGACACATCTGAACGCGATGAGAATCACAACACGTCTGAGTCACAAAAACGGCAATTCTACGCCAGAGGATGTTGGTCCAGACTCGTCGCCCGCTTGCGTCCCTCTATCATGGATGCACGTACTTTTCTCGAGTCTGATGACGATGGACTACGGCCTCCGAGGGCAAGTCACCAGCCGCCAAGGCAATAAAGGAGAAATCGATGACATAGTATTTCTAGGACCTCTCTCTTCCGGAAGTCACCATCTCCGCCTTCACCGAGATGGGCCAAGCAGAATCCTCGATTATCGTTCCATTACAACGATCCTATACCGGTAGGAAGCCCGTAATACCATCCCGCCTCGCCAACACTCCCTGCACAACCCTCGGTCTCCAAGGCCTCCTGGACCAACTCAACACGACACTCGGGACATCCCACACCCTGCACACCCCATCCTTCTCCTCCCTCCTCTCAGACTGCCTCACGAATAACTACGACTTTGGTACGGCATACAGCCGTCTCCGGCCGATATGGTACACCCGCGACTGGAGCACCATCCGGAGTTTACTCCGCAGAAAAGAAGAGGAAGATCAGGAGATCCGACGAAAAGCACTCGCTGGGAACCGGATCGTCAATCCGTGGTTACCACCCCGACGCGTCTGGGATCTATACAGCAACCGGGTGGTACCATGGTGGATCACGGACGTTGATGGGAAACTCCGCTGGCCTCAGCCAATATCACACGCGTGGGTAGACGAGAAGGATCGTGCCGACGTGTGGACGCCTATCAATGGATACGAATGGCCGGTCCCCATCCCGAAAGACAGTGACCTCAACTTTATACGCATCGAGATGCTCAATCTCGGCTTGGAGTACGCGTGGTTGGACGTTCTCTGTTTGAGACAGGTGGGCGGACCAGGGGAGGATGTGCGTGCAGAGGAGTGGAAGCTGGACGTACCGATGATTGGAGCAGTATATCGGGCGACCCGTGTGGTGTTATACCTGAATGGGCTGGGTCGGTCTTTGACTTTGAAAGAGGGCGACTTGGATAGTGACCGGAGCTGGTTTAGACGTGCATGGACATTACAGGAGGTTGGTTGGAGGAGAGTGTTTGCTGGAGATACACTGGATGGACCACTGCAAGCCAAGCCAATAGATGAGAACGGGAACTATCAGACCGAGCTCCTGACCAAATTCCACAAACACCTACAGTCGGTGCATAACATCCCCCGTCAAGGCGTATTCGCAGTCCTGGAGAGCATGCAGAATCGGGTGTCTACGAACCCAGTGGACAAAGTCGCGGGACTGGCGTGTTTCCTTGGGTCCAAGACGATACCGGCGTACTACGAGAGCCAGTCTCTCGAGGAGGCATGGACTGCGCTGGTGAATTCGATGGATAAGGGGCTGAGGGGGGTTTTGTTTGCCTGGTTTGCTGGGCCGGGGGATGCTGGTACCAAGTGGAGACCTTCGTGGAACCAGGTTATGAGGGTGCCTCTGGATGGGGGGTATACTTTTGGTGTGAACGTTGACTTGGAGGGGGATGAGAATTGGTGTACGGTGGATTGTATTGAGGGAAGGTTGGATGGGCGTGGGGAGTTGGTTGTTAGAGATGGGGATGGGGTGGAACGTGGATTCAAGATCGTGGTCCCGATACCTGAAGGCATGTATACGCTCATTTGCCCTGATTCGGGAAACTGTTTGGTTGTTGGGAGGACACTATCGGGGAAGAGGTTTGAGAAAGTGTCTGTAGTCAAGCTGACTGAGGAAGAAAGCGGACGGTTGTGGGATCTGAATATTACTGAAAAGCGTCGGTATATTCTTGTTTGAGTGAGTACACGTGGTGTGGTAGTTTCTAGTCTATAGAATATTACAACCTAGATAATAGAACGAACATGATATACTCTTTGGACTAGTTTGTTCGCCTAGCTCCGATAAACTGCTCACAAGCCTGTTGGTATGAAGTAAAAAGTCCTTTCGACTCGTCTGCGAGCTCCCGAACCTTCTGACCTGGAGGGCTCTGCTCATTGACACCGCCTCGAGTATCGAGTGTTCTGTACAGTCACCCCCGCAAAGACGCTGGCGAATCCTTTGCCCATACCAACAACACCAAACGCAATAGTACAAAGCTCGCTCTGAAACGTGATGAAGCTTGGAAATGGTGGATGAGCGAGCCTTCGTCTGACGATACCCAGCCCATGCTTTTGTCGTATACAGCAACATCAACGTTGACGTGCTCATCTGCGTCGCTCCGCATGAGCTTGGTACACCATATAATGACGTCGCGGTTTTCGTCGTGGCTCTACGAGTGGGTACGAAGGTTAGAGTCGGAGCCAAGGATGGAGATGTCGGCAGCAGTGATTGGATCTGGGAACCGTCGTGGAGACGACCTTGGATTGCGAAGATTCGCCACCAATGACAAGTACCTCTTCGCTAAATGCAGTCCTCGCCCTCTTCGTTTCTTCGAAATTCAAACTCTTCTCCCTCCTCTTCCTTAACAACGCCCGTCATCCCTCCATTCTACCTCGTCCTCGACACCAGAGTTGGCAAACTGACGCGGTGTTCACTGGTTCCATCTCCTATTGGCGTTCTGCCGCCCTTGGGCCGTTCTCGATGCGACGAGTCAAGGAAGTAGGCCCGCCACCCAGTGGTTCTTGGTCAGTCTGACAAAAGATCGCGATCGTAATGGTGAAATCATTTGTGTCGCGGGAGCCAGCGGTGGGTTGATTGAGGACGCAAAGACGAGGTTGGATGTGTCGGGGTTCTGAGAGTCCTTGAGACGAGTTGGAGATTGTGTTTCAAAGCGTCCGCATCTCTAGAGTCCACTCATGCACGCGAATCCCGAATGAACTTGCGCACACAAGTCAGGGAGTTCTCATCGCTGTCTCCAGACTCGGAGTCCAATCTTCCACCAACATCGACGTTTGTTTTTCGCGCTGCGTCCGTCACGGGGAAATTGGCATTGGTCTCGAGTGTTTAGCACTCCTAACCAGCTAAAATGGAAGGGGACAAGAAGGACAAAAAATATTGCTTGTCGTAGGGAAGAAGAAAAAGCGTGACGTCACCAAAACCAAACAGACACGTACAGCTTTCGGGCCGGCCTGGCCTCAGCTTTCTATCCGTCCCGTGCAGCACGCTGATTTCTTCCTGACCTACGCTCTTCTTTTCTTTAGCACTACGAAGCTTTGGTATCAATGATCAGGTTGGCGATAGTGAAGCCAGCCATCATCAAATACGCATCCGCCAAACGTGCCGTTGTCTTTGCTCCTTCACGGGAATAATGTCGACTCACTGTCAATGAACTACTTATCCACTGCGCTGTGGATTACAAACTAGACATATTCCTTAACGTCGAGGTCGCAGTTTCATTTTGACCATCTGTGGGACGGACGTCGAAGAAGGTATTGAATATTCCTACGAAGCCATGGATAAGCAGGACAAACGGATCGTCCAACGTCTATTTGAGGGTGTAGCCGCTCAAGTGTTGGTAGCACAGTCGATTCCCACTGCCGGCTGCATGGGCATCATTATGGGCATACAATAGTATGTTGACTATGTATCTCATCATGGATGCCTTCCAGAGTCCAGACGATAAGTAGAATATGTCAGCCTCAAAACTGTGTTCTCATGTGTCGACAGACCCAGGACCTTTACAAGAAACTCTTGGCATAAGCACCTGTCTTTAGTCTCATTTGCATGACTACTTTGAAACTTTTTGGCAGAGATTGCGGTAGAGATTATCGAGAACAAACAAAACGCTGTGCACCTCTCAGTGCTCTCACAATGTTGAGCTGACTCTTCTCACCAAGATAATTTCACGCTCCTCCTTGCATTTTCCCCATTCCCCCCTTGTTTAATTTTCGATAAATATATAAAGAACTAGTACTTTATAGCATAGTTCGAGTTTTTGGCCTTTATACCTGACAACAGCTGCATGATACCTACTCGAGTTAAGAAGAGCTACTACACAATGTGTACTCGCTCAAATAAGAATATAGTGATGCCGTTTGATAATAAACAGATCCTCTAACCTGCGATGTTCTTTTTTAGAAGTGTTCAGCACCGACACTTTCTCAAACTTTCGGCCTGGCAGGCTTTGCCCAACAACCCAACTATGGCGCACGTTACACTGATATCCATCGAGAGAATCAATCAGTGTGTAAGTGCCATCAGGTATCGGGTATGCGTGGGGGACGGTGACCTCGAACCCATGTTCGATTCCACCCTTGTCTTTAACAATCAACTCTCCACGCAGATCATCCCCTTCCACAACAGCCAACCCCCGCACCAACCCCTTTTTAATGCACTTCGGATAACACAGGTCTTCATCCTTCTCCTCATTCCGATAAAGAAAGATCGCGGATTCAGTATGATATGCAGGCAGAGGTTCCATCATAACCTGGTCCCATGATGGCCTCCATTTTCTGCCTGCATTTCCCGGTTCAGGATACAAGGAGAACAGCCGCCCCCGACACCACACATCCATCGAATTCACGAGTGCTGTCCATGCCTCCTCGAGAGACTGGCTCTCATAATATGCCGGTATCCAATCGGAGTCCATGACAAATGCCAGTCCCGCCACTTTGTCCACCGGGTTCGTCGACACCCGTTTCTGCATGTTCCTCAGTGCCGGAAGCACCCACATTCTTATGTCCTCTGTACACTCCAGCTGCTCCGCGTGGAACCTGGTCAGTAGCTCAGTCTCATACTTCCCGTCCTCATCTATTGGCTTGGCATGCAGTGGTCTATCCGATGTATCCCCAGCAATCACCATCTCGTTCCCAACCTCCTGTAGTGTCCAAGCACGTCTAAACCAACACCGGTCGCTATCCAAATCACCCTCTTTCAAACTGAAAGGCCGGCCGAGCCCACTCAAGTAACACACCACCGTTTCGGTCCCACAATACACTAACCCGATCGTGGGCACGTCCAGCTTCCACTCCTCTGCGCGCATATCCTCCCCCGGTCCACCCACCTGTCTCAAACACAGAACGTCCAACCACACGTACTCCAGTCCGAGGTTGAGCATCTCGATGCGGATCAGGTTGAGGTCACTATCTTTCGGGATGGGAACAGGCCATTCGTATCCATTGATGGGTGTCCATATGTCGGCGCGATCCTTCTCGTCCACCCACGCGTGCGATATTGGCTGAGGCCAGCGGAGTTTCCCATCAACGTCCGTGATCCACCATAGGGACCACCCTATTACTGTACAAATCCCAGACGCGTCGGGGTGGTAACCATGGATAGACGATCCGGCTCCCGACGAGTGCTTTTCGTCGCTCCTCTCGGTCCTCCTTCTCCCATTTACAAAGTCTAGTTAGTATAGTGCTCCATTTGTAAGGTATACCGTAGTACTTAGGCGAAGGCAGCCATACGCCATGCCAAAGTCATAGTTGTTTGTAGTGTACTCTTCAAGAAGGGAAGAGAGGGATGGAGTGTCCAAGGTGTATGATGTTCCGAGTGTGGTGTTGAGTCGATCCAAGATGCCCTGAGCGCCGAGGGTAGCACAGGGAGTGTCAGCAAGGCGGGATGGTATCACAGGCTATTGTACCGGTGTACGCCCGTTGCTTTGGAACGATGATCGACGATTCCCCTTGACCCATCTCATTGAAGGCAGAGATAGGTGACTTCGGGGAGAGCCTGAGCGACAGGCGGCACACGCCGCTGGAAATATAGTATCAATTTCCTCCCTTTGCGTTTGCAGAATGACTTGACCCGCTGATGCCAGGATCCACGCTGGTCACTAGTCGAAATCATGCCGTCGAAAAATGATTAAAAAGAGACCTTGAACAGTGCTAATGTTATCGTACTGAGTACTCGAAGTGCGAGGCATTAATGATACATACTAGTTTCTATCTTCCGCGCTCAAGATGGGCATACAGTCAAGAGAGTGCTAAATAAGAAGCTGTTTGCCTCGACGTACAGCCTGAGTGCAACTCCGCACTGATGCGAGGTCTTCGTGTGAACAATCTGGTAGAAGTCTTCGTCGTCTCGAGCTCATTAAGGTTGCACAATAAGGAGCACCTTATTCCAGAACGTTAGCCTATAGATCGGGAACATGTTTATTATGGTAAGGATTGGTGGAATGGCCTCAAAGGCATGAATTTTGCCAAGGACGGCACCTATAGGTAGGCTTATTTATAAACACCACTTGGAATAGGCGCCATTTGGATATCTTGCATTCGGACGAACGGATGAAGCGCCCAAAGCACCTGCCCACCACGGACCGGACAGACGCTGCAGAGGTATACTCTGTCCATTCTCCCGACCTATCTACTCGGATTGCGGTCGTCCAATCCCTCAACGGTTCCCCTCCGGATTCATCCTCGATAAGGATAAGACCGATCCATCTATACGATGAAGTAGAACCGCACATTTGCACCGGTAAAGACCCCATGCTCGTCCCGCGCGAACGACAGTGAGTTATTAGCCTCTACCAATAGGCCCAAGTTTTTAGTAGGAAATTTGATATCTACCACGAAAACTCACTTCACGGGGAGGAGACGGAGCGTAGTACAACAAAAACAGCCTTGTATCGAAAACTGCGAAGCAAATGGGTCCTTTCTTTAACAAATGAACGAAAAATATAAGTACGAGCCAATGATGTGCTATGAGAGAGATAGAACTGACTTTAAGTCGATGTTCCGAGTGCCGTTCTTCGAAAATTGACGTTTGAACTATTGAAACGAGATGGCTTCCCCAAACGCAACGGCATCTTCAGGGTCGAGACGGGCGCACTAGAAGAATAATATCATTGACAGGTCGAAAAGCAATCGATTGCAATCCAGAATATGCGAGGATGCTGTTGCAGACATTAAGAAACGACGATACAGAAAGACGAGACAAAGAACACGAACCAGTTGACAAGCCTCAGTTCAGCTGACCCTTGAGTACGCCGGACTTGCGTTTCGTGTTCTTGAGTCGAAGAGAACGAAGCGTAGTTGAGCAAACTAAGCATTGAGGTAGAGAGAAACATCAATGAAGACGACTGCATGAATGTAGCAGACACGTCTTGATCCATCGAATCAGCTCCGGCAGCTTATACTCCTACCAAGACATCCTCCTTGCTCATGTTGTGACCTGCAGCTTTTCCACCTTCCATCTTTCAAACGTTCTGGATTTAAGCGAAGCATTTCAAATGCTTTGACTTCGCTCAAGGTGCACAAATTTTCCCTAGCCCTGATTATATCACCACTTCCTCGTTTCAGGACTTGTAGCTCCCGTAGTTTTTTTCTGGGACCTCCTTCCGTAGAGCGACGTCTCGTTCGTTGCCAGACCTTCTCACCGCCGTGTGGGTGTTGTTGTGACTGAGGACCTGCCCGCAACCTTCTCGATCTCGGCAAGGAAGGGAAGGTATGAGTGGTATAGAGCGATGATAAGCATGTTGCACTGCAGCATAAGGTCAATGGAACACATGTAACGCGCGTTCCGCCTCGGATGACGTTTATCGAGCCTGCACTTAATCACCATTATCAATCTCTACTCGGCTCTACAACGCACCGCCTGCTATAATTGACGGCAGACATTCCCCAGCTAATTCCTTGGGTTTCGATGATTCAAGCATGACCCGAATTTTGATCATGTCGAGTCGAGCTCTTCCACCCTTGGTCGACAAGGAACCGGGATGAATGGTATCGTCAGGGCATATACGTATGAGACGCGGCCAAAATTAGATGTCGGTAGCGGCGAGTTCGGTAAGGATTTGCCTGATGTCTGATTTGCTCGACAAGGTCGAACGATAGATGCGGCAGATGTGGTGGTAAAATCTACGACAGAGTTTTCGTACGTGATCGATGATCAGTGGTGCATGAGAACCTTCTCCAGATGACTTTGTCCACGAGCACGCTGAACGTAGCAAATAAGAGAAAACTCAATAGTCCCTGATATTATAACCCACCGGCAGTATTCCTCTCGCAAGGACAAGGAATCGTGTAGATCAGGGTAGCGCAATAGCCTTTACAGTCGACGTGTCAAAGAAGAAAAATCCACGAAAAAAATTGTCATACCAGCTTATCGGTCTACCACCCATGGCTATCGCCAGCATCTCTTCCCTCCTTCCTCTTAAGCACGCGAAATGCTGGCTCGGGGTTGCGTGTTGTATAGCCCGTCCAGGTGTCTCGGGAAAAGGGACGAGGAGACTCGTTGAAGCAGATAGATCCAGGAAACGAGAGAAGAGGATTCGTCTGAGAGAGGCCATGATGAACAGATGCCAATACTGTTTTGTGCGCGGCAGGGGAGGATACCGGGCGCACGCCTTGACGTCTGCTGTGATGTCGACCGTGCGCGTGAGTCCTCAATAACTCCTCCTATGAAAGTGACGCTCGAAGCAGGCCATTGTTCGAATTCACGTACTTCGCACGCGTCTGGCTCCGGCATAGAATCATGCACGGCTTTGTCAAGTGTTGAGTATCCGACTGATAGGCCGTCTATAGCCACTAGCTAGACCCGTCACCAGAATCGCCCGACGTCCACTGATGTCGAATGCTCGTCTTTCATGGCCTATCTGTGTACCGGCATTCGATGTCAGCCCGCAAGGCGTTATCGATGTGGAGTTTCCGTATGTGTGGAAAGGGCGTAGCTAGTAGAGGCGAGAGTCGCATGCATGAACGGGTTCCAAGATGTAGATGCTCCCGAAACACGATGATCCCCAACCCTGCTCCCGCGTCTCCCAATCTACCATAGCGAGGCCATCAGAGCGTTGGGCCCCGCAACTCGCTTCTGGCGTCCGATGGCGTTCCTTCCGTCTGTACGTGAGGCGCTCATCCTGCCATATCTGCACTTGAAAGATTGGTACAGGGTAAATTAGGCTTTGGTTGCGTGGGTGCTGAGAGTGAAGATTGGTTTATGACGGCACCGTGGAGGAAATTCCGGGGAAAGGTAGTAGATGTGATAGAGAGGATGTTGATGTGAGCAAGCAATCGATCAATGCATCGTCTGCGGTGCGACGAATTCGAAGGCTGCGTCTAGGATGGCAGCGAGTTGGCAATTTCGAGTTCTGGTGGTGGTAGTCGGAGCGTGAGAACGTCAGTACGCGCTGCTGGCGTGACCCTCCGTTTGACGTGTTAGCTTTACTCCCCTCCTTTTCTTAGCATCGATTGGATATCTAGTACTGTCTCTCAAGGGACTCTCAGAACCGAGTACCTTATTGCGATGCTACGAGGTGTGATTTTTAGCTGTCCATTATTGTCTTATCTGTAATAACTGTATTGTAGTCGATGAACGATTTATGATTATATCGTCCGACCAAGAGAACGACCCAGTCAAACCAGATCGGCATCATCAGGCGCTGTAGAGGGATTTCTTCGCTGAAATCGGAGAAAGAGAAGTCAGAATAGAAGTAGTAAGTGTAAAGAGATTTGCGACGTACACGAAGGACAGAGTGCATCAGAACATCTGTGCTGGGACGATCGTTGTCCGGATTATTACCCTGGGGAACATACTTTGACGGAAAAAGGAGAGCCTCGGCCCTGAATTCGTCCAGTGACATCGACCCTTTAGCTGAAAAGGGGGAATTGGTGGCATATGCGTCTTTACGATCAGCCATCTCTGTCCGCAATTTGATCCATGGAACTATGTAGAACAGAAAAATCAAAGAAGAAACCAAAGGTGACGGTCACTTACGGCTTACGTAGAACACCATGTAGTGCATATACGCCCAGGCGAATATCTCCAGTTCGGTATCAACATCCGAATCAAGCAGCTCGACGTCCCGTCTAGCCAAGATCGAAAAGAACAGTTTATGCCATTCGGGATCCTTCGACACTCCTGGGGGCGGCGGAAAGTGTGCGTGGTCGCCTTGGTAGAGCATATTAACATGGCTTTCACTGTTGCGCAAGAATTGAGACACTGGTCCCATCTTTGTCCTCTGGAGTTCGTGAAGGCTGGGCCAGAGAGAACGGTGTGTTTTGTCGGGATCAGGAACCTCAGCCTCAGCGTCGGCGAGGCTGGGGATGAGTTCGTTATGGAAGGTCGCGATCCCAGCAGAGAGGTCGGGAGAGTGGATGGTGTATACCTCTGTGGCGTCCAGGGGGATTGGCCCGTAGCCAGCGAAGAATGGGCCATATTTGAAGTCGGGGTTCCATTGAAATGGGAGATAATTTGAATGTCCGTAGATGGAGGAGACGGGTCGGGGCTTCAGGTATATCTGGACGTTGGACATAGGAGGACAAAGAGAAAGAGGCTGATATTGAGCTTGGAGGACCTCAGACATCTCCAGGTTGCGGTGCAGAACAGCTGTGTATGCGCCGAATCATGTTCTCACCAAGATATTTTTCCTATACTCCTTGCACCAACCAGGCAACATCTAATCGATCCCTATCCTTGTTTTTCGCATTTTCGTTGGGCCGTTCGTGCATGGTAGAGGAAGATACCAGGCGGCGCCTTTGGAGTCTGGCGATCGTGAGTGGGTACATCCTCCCCTCCTATTTTGTAGCGCTGACGCGAGGTAGGGCCGATCAACACGTAGGGAGAATGACAGGAGAATATGGATCAGGACGGAACGAAGTCGAGCTGGTGGTCGAAGCAGCGTTGAAAGCTGGGCGTCAGCTATTTGGTTTGGTGACGTCACACTTCTGAGGTTCCTTCAAGACAATCATTTCCACTAATACGCGGCAAGTTTTTTCTTCTCGTTTTATACAATTCTAACACTTCATTACAGCTGAGCGATGGCACTGATCACAAAACGCTTGACTCGTGAGATCAAGGCCAACTTCCCCATGACGGACACCCACTGAGAAAAATAAACATCGATATGGAAGATCGGACTCTGGAGACGGATGATTTGTGCGCTCATAGTGCCGTCTTATATTCTACGTCATTTCCCCTCTCGCGTTAAGGTACGCGTTTGGTGCTAAAGCGGTGATTTTTTGTTCAAGTAACGAGAACTCTCAAGGAGGCTGCTACCAATGTCGGCGACCAATAGTGCGAAGGGAAGGGAGTATCAAAAGGTGATAAGAGCGGACTCGGGATGGTAGTTCTCCCTTCCTTCATCCACGATCAGCCGTACTCACTCTTGCTATAGCCCAATCTTATTCACCCACATCAGCGCGACTGTCACTTCCCTTGAAGCATGCCCTGATACGCATCACTCGATAGTTGGCAGCAGTCAATGTATGAAACATCCGCCGAACAGGATTACCGTCGTGGGATGATTCTTAGCTCAAGGAGGTACCCGCCTGTGCAGGAGGATAGTAGCCTAGGGGCGAGGCAGGGGAGGGGAGAGATGTTCAAACCTTCCGCTACCCTCGGTTCTCACTCTTGCCCTCCGCCTCTCGCCTACACAATCAATCACAACCCCTCAGCGCCATACGACATATCCTCTATGTTATCAAAGTTTCACCACCTGTATTCAGGTTCGCTTCGACGTGTATCGTTTGCGGGGGTGTTACGAGCATCTTCTGGCAGGCTGCATGGGTTTTTTTTGACATGAGATAAGGGGAAAAATTGCCGAATAGCAAACCCACTCGAGGCGTTTCTTTCTTAAGTCTGTGGTTTCCTCTCGCCAACATTCCGTTCTGACTTTTTCGAATACAGGTTCGTTTCCTATCTCCTCAGCTCTCAAAATAGTCCTTCTCAATGTCTTCGACTACTTAGGGTTCGTTTCATGTGCCCCAGATTTGGCGGAACTCTTGTCGTCGATGCACTCGTCGTCTATGAACTTCAGTCTGCGATGTATAACAAGTTACTCCTCGTGCCTGGTGCACCACACTGGTAAAGCCTTTCTTCAGCACAGTATGACAACTCACTAACGCTTCCTCTTTAGGGTACGCATCTCTCCTCGTTAGCATGGACAAAGTTACATTCATGCCTCAAGTACAATGCCATGCACTCATATTGTAGGTCTATATATCGCTTGTGTCTTCAGAAATCCGACTAATCTACGCTTAGCCTTTAAGCTGCTTGATCATCAGTCTGTCGAGAAAGATCACTCACTATGGCACTGAGGACGAAAGAATGATGCGCTACAATACGGAGCAGAAGGATATAGGGATTGACTGGCGAGTTGACGACCAACACAGATGTTCCAAACATATTTTAGGACGTTTGATGAAGAGGAACAGCAGGAAGAGGTCGAAGAAGAGTTCGAACTCAGAGATGAATCAGACAATGTCGACGGCGAAGAGGGTGGGGACGGTGAAGCTGCACCTGAGGATGGAGGTGCTAGTCATTGGTATGAATCTTCGAAATCCAAGGCCGATAAAGACAGTGTCTTCCCACGACAGATCGCTGAGATGTACCCACTACTGGACCCAATCATTACTACTGATAAAGCCTTCTTTGTACTCTCCATCCTAAACTCCAGCTCCAGCTTTCGTGACTGCGAAATCCAGCTCTTCGACTACCAGCATTTTAATATCGTGGCAATATTCCCAAACTCTGCAACATCGACGTCTGGTGTACCAAGCTCATGCGTTGACTTGTTCAAGTTGCTGTGCACGAAAGGACGTGAGCCGAGATGAAGGCACACCTGTCCATTATTCCCAAGCTTCATCACGTTCAGAGCAAGGTCTACCCTATCGCATTGAGCACCGATAAGCTCATTCTTCTTTGTGCACCTATGAGTGCCGGAAAGGTCGGCTTATTAAGTTGCATCTTGGTTTCGTCGCTGATTATTCTTGATACTTGGACCAGTGTGACGCGTAAAAACACTAATACTGATTATACGAATCTCATTCGCTTCATCACCATCGATGTAATCCACCCGCTTCAGGAGGAACATGGCCCTGTTCTGGAGAGCATCATCCGTCGCATGGAGTAAACTGATGGGTATGTTCATATCGCAATATTCTCCATCATTATATTAAGAATTTCTTTCTTTTCTCCAGTCGTCTGAACCTTCTCTACGGTCCTGGCTGATCCCAATTGAGATCGTGTACTACTCGCTCAAGATACTTTCCCGGGATGGCATCGTAAGACACTTGCATTTGCAGCAGAGCTCGCGGTGGCTGTTTACAGACTCTCTGGTGCGAAATCAAGGTCCCGCGGCAACATTGGTAGAGATTTCGGCCTGGTGTTGGCTGGCACTTTTAGTATAGGCAAAAGGTCCGTCAGCGCTGGCGTCTTGTCGGAGATGACTGTACAGAGATGTGGCAGTCAAGGCATTTGAGGCTTATGGACATCGGTAAAAAGAATTTCGCGGAGCTGGTGGCTACTACGCATTGTGTCACTTAAACAAGAATATATTGACACCTTTTAGTAATATCTAGATCCCATAACTGACCCATTTCTTCATCCAGAATTTGGAACACTGACACTTTCTCAAACCTTTTCCCTGGCAGGCTTCGTCTAACAACACAATAGCAGTGGTAAAAGTTACTCATAAACCAGGTGTCAACTGGGTCATAGGCAGGCATCAGGATGGTGTAAGTGTTTTCAGGTATCAGGTAATTGTGTGTGGTTGTGATCTTGAAACCATGTTCTATCCCACCCTCATCTTTAACAATCAACTCTGCACATTGATCACTCCCTTCCACAGCATCCAACCCTCGCACCAACCCCCTTTTCAATGGAGTACATTTCATTACTTGAGTCTTCATCCATCCTCTCATCTGTTAGCCACCAACTCGACAAACAAAGATCAACAAGGGAATGCCACTCGCACTTCGGTGGATTGTTCACGATGAGGTCTATGCTGGTCTGAATGAGCCAGTAACTAGACTTAGATAGTCACGGAGCGGGGAGCTTTAGAGTTGGGTAGATTAAACCTTAGCTGAAGCTGGGGTTTAAGCCAGCTGAGGCTCTACTTAAATACAAGTTCGGTATGCTAATAATAGACTACTGTGGTTCGGTAACCATGCATGAAACAATGGGAATTGTATGATGTCCGGGTGTCACAGCACAACATGAGAGTCATGCATTGACAATGTGTGAACTGTCCGAGCACTTGGATGCGCTGATAAGATAAAGACAAGCGCTGAAGAAGAAAAATGGAAAAATTGTAACATTACCCTCTCCTTAAGATTCATTCGTCCTGAATGATCTCGTTATATGTACTCACTCCCCCTTTTGCAATCACTTTCCCCATCACTGTCATAGCTGTCCCACCCCTTATGCTTTTCTTTGAATTCTTGCATTTCTGCAAGGTCTTCAGGGGTAAGGGAACCTTGACACTCCTCCATTGATGCGCTTGTTCCTCCGATTGCCTCCTCGTATTGGTGAATGTATTCATGGTCTTCATTCATACATTCTGATGAGGCTTCGGTGTCACCACATTCTGAAACGCACGGGGTGTTTGGGTCATGATACTCGATGATGCCTTCCGGTTGTAGGTATGCTTCAGGGATTTTGTTGTCCTTTCCGACTAGTTTCCCATCCGGTCGCATCGCCCACTGAATCTTTTGGAGTCTCTCTTCATATTCTTTGACTAGGGTCTCCGCATTTGCCATGTTGGCCTGGGTGACCCACAAGTTCTCCTCCACGGGGTATCCTTTCCACTTCACCAGGTAATCGGTGACCGTTCTGCGTGTTCTTCCTCTTCCCACTGTGCGATCTCTTTCTCCCACAATTTCTTCTATTTCATATTCTTCTTCATCATCAATGAGGTCAGGCAGTGGTCGACTTGGTTTGGGCTGGTTCAGGAATTTGGGTGGATGATATGGCATTAGTAATGCCTTGTTGAATCGATTGTGGATCCTCCAGTGAGCCGGAAGTTTGAGCTCATATGTGGAGGCACCCTTTTTGGATATTATCTCGAAGGGTCCTACATGCTTGTCATCGAGCTTTTTCTTTGGTCATGGAAGGTGGAGGTTTGTGATGTCCAGCCATACCTTGTCGCCTATCTGATACGATTCCGCATTTCCTTTATGCTTATTGTACACCTTCTTCATCTTTTCTGCTGCTTTCTCCAAGGCTTTCGCCACCTGCTCCTGAGTCCTTTTTATTTCTTCCACAAATTTTTCTACCGCTGGTACTTCTGCCTTCTTTCTTTCCATAGTCATTGTTTGTCCATCTCGTTCGAAGTTCACCTTGTACAGCGAATACCCTGTCGAGGAGTGTTTCCTGTTATTGTGGGTAAACGCAGCTAGAGGTAACCATTCCACCCAATCATCCTGTCGATAATTGATGAACATTTGCAGGTATTTGTTGATTTCTTGGTTTGCCTGCTCAGTCTGTCCGTCTGTCTGAGGGTGATATGTGGTAGAGGGATTCCCTTTGATGTTGACGATTGCATAGAATTCCTTGATGAATTTCGATATGAACATTGGGCCTCTGTCCAAGATGATCTTTGAGGGGATTACTCCATATCGCATGTAGACTTGGTCATGCAATATTTTTGCCCACCCTAATGATGATAGTTCTTGAGTACATGGTACTGGTATAATTGCCTTGGATAGCCTATCCATGATTACTAGGATTGCATCATATCCTTGGGATTCTGGCAGTCCGGTAATCATGTCTACCGTGATGTGATCCCACATCGATTTTGGAATTTCATTAGGGTGTAAGGGCCCCTTCTTTGCCTGGGTGTTTCCCTTTGTCCGTTGGCATACCTTGCATCCCTGCACATACTTTTCTACGTCTTTCCTCATCTTTGGCCACCAGTAATTGTGGAGAATCAACTCCTTCGTCTTCTTGATTCCTGGGTGCCCCACAGTTTTGTGATCATGCTTGGTCGTAATGATTTCTCCCCTTAGTTCCTGGTTTCTTGGGACATAAATTCTCCCATCATAGAACAAGAGGTCTGCCTTTTTGCTCATGCCCTTTTCGTGATTTAAAGACACAGCTATTCCCTTGTCCCAGTTCCCCAGGATTTTGGTAACCCTCTTGATCTTGGCATGGACTTCTTCCTCGGTGGGCATTTCCATTGCATGGAAGTGTTCTGGCTTCAGCACCACTAGGTCCTTATTGTCTTCCTTCCCCTGATCGTGGTCATCCCTTCTGCTCAGTAAATCTGCCTTTCGGTTCTGTGCACCTGGTTTGTGATGAAGAGTGAACTGGTACTCTGCGAGCTCTGTCACCCACTGTGCTTGCCTGCGGTTGAGTTTCTGCAGTTTACGAAAGTACTGCAGATTTGAGTGATCTGTCCAGATTTCAAAGTCCTCCCTCGCACCCATTAAGTAGTGTCGCCAGTCTTCTAGGGCGATCATTATGGCTAGCAGTTTCTTGTCGTATATCTCATAGTTGCGCTCCATATCGGAGAGAGACTTAGACAGGAATGCCACAGGCCTCCACTTTCCTTCCTGTTCTTGTGACAATACCGCCCCTACTGCTCCTTCGCTGGCATCCGCTTCCACTCGGAATCTCCCGTAGTCTAAGGGGATGGCTAAAACGACATCGTTTTTGAACTGCTCTTCTATTTTTTCAAATGCGTCCTGTTGCGCCTCCCCCCACATCCATGGATTCTTTCCGGTGAGCTTTGTCAGTGGTTTTATGATTTTGCTATAATCTCGTATAAACCGCTGGTAGAAATTGGCGAACCCTAAAAAGGATTGAAGTTCCCTTTTTTTTGTCGGGGTAGGCTATTCCAGTAATCCCGCAATTTTGATGGGGTCCATACGAATCGATCCTTCACTGATGATCACACCTAGATATTCTGTCTCCTCTACTTCAAACTCGCACTTCTCCACTTTGAGAAACATTTGTTTTCCTGCAACTGCTTCAACACTTCTCTTACCAGCCTTCAATGTTCCGTTTTTTCCTTTGTGGCAATGAGGATATCGTCTAAATATACGGTTACATTTCCTCCCACAATTAAGTCCTTGAAGATATTGTTCATCATCCACTGGAATGTGGCGGGCGAGTTGGTGAGTCCAAAGAACATTATCAGGGGTTCATACAATCCCCGGTTCGTCCTGAAGGCTGCCTTCCATTCATCTCCCTGTTTGATGCATACATTGTTGTATCCCCACCTAACGTCCATTTTGGAAAAGTATTTGGCTCCCTTCAGCTTGTCCATCAGTTCTGAGATTAATGGTAAGGGATAACGGTTTTTAATCGTCATCTCATTGAGCTTTTGGTAATCTTGGACAGGTCGAAGTTTGCCATCCTTTTTCTTGACAAAGAAGAATGAGGATGCCATGGGAGATTTGGAAGGCTGAATCCTTCCCATGGATAGGTTTTCATCCAGGAATTTGTCCAGCTCTTCTTGCTCGGCAGGGTTCAGGGGATAGACTTTGCAGTCCAGACTGGCATTGGCATTGGAGATGAGTTTGATGGCATGATCCCATGGTTTTCGAGCTGGGAGTTCATCAAAATTGGCTTTGTCAAACACGTCTTTGTACTCCCAATATTGTTTGGGTACCATTTCTTCAAACGTCTTCTCCTTTTTCTCTTTGTTCACCTTAGCAGCTAGTTCGTTTGATTTGCTGCCCATGGCTTGTATGTTGAACGCCTCTTCAAAGTCCACCACCAATATCATATCACCTTCTTCGAATTCTTCTCCCCATTTTGCATCGGGATCCTCATCAGGTAGTTTGAATGGTATTTTGCGGCAGTCGCACCGGGCTAGTACCACCGTTCCTGTTTTCCAGTCAATGGTGGGGTTGTGTCGTTTTAACCAGTCAAACCCCAGGAATAAGGGGGTGGTGCCCAGGTCTACAACTGCCAGTTCCAAATACTCTGTATGATCCCTGATCCATAACCTTAGTTCTGCGTACTTGGTGATGTCTCCTCCTTTGTTCCTGGTCCTGTCAGCATTATAAACTGGGACAGACCTCGCAACCTTTCAAGTGTTGAGGAAATGGCTTTTCGCCCACTTCCAGTTGATGGCACTGCCCGTACACCCACTGTCTACCAGGGCGGTGATGTCGTATGCATCTAGGGTGTCTATCCTTTTGATCTGACATTTGATAGTGATGCTCCATCCCCAGCCCCTGTGTATGTACTGTGGGGGTAGGGCCAAGTTGTCTAGCCATTCTAGGGCTTCTTCCCTGTCGAGGTATGTCTTGTCCGCTTTTTCCTTCAAGCTTTCCACTAACTCATCGTTCACCTCCATTATTCGTCTAGGATGTACCCACCCATTGAGTACACCTCGCATCTCACTTGCTGATTTAGCTAAACGGAGCGCACATCGGGTCCAATCTGGACTGAACGGTTGCATCCATCGCCATTCAGGGTACTCCACTGAAGAGTACTTGGCTGGTAGGCCGTTCAGCTTTGGGGTCTTCCCCTGGTCACCATTCGCTGCAGGTTTTGTGGCCCTTTGTTCTTCTGCAGTTACTGAGACTTCTGCCTGTTCACTTGCACTACTAAGGACTTTTCCACTCAGGGATGGCCCACACAGGGAGGATTTTTTCAAGTTCCTCAAACTCTGTTGATAGCTGAAATCGTCCTCCTCATCTGGGACCTCTTCCACGGTTACTGCACTTTTAAGAGAACATAATAGTCCCTCCTGCCCACCCACTGAGGGACACGAGCCCCCAGTGCCATTATGGGAATTAGGAAGGCATACCTAGTATATGAGAATGTCTCCGTTGGGCTTCAGGACAATGCTGGGGTCCGTCGTTTGAGAGAGGAACCTGGTCTGCTGGTCACCGTTCTCAGTTGCAGAAGTGTTCGGTGGTACTTGGTGAGCGCTGCCAGTGTAGTCCTCAGCCGGTTGCCCCTCCAGAAGTCCACTTCGGTTGGTCTTCTCGCCCCCTGGGAGCTTGATCCGAGGTTGGGCATCGCTCCTGCTTCCAGGGACAATGTCGGTTACTGTCAAACCTTCATCTGGGAGCACTGTTATGCTACAGGCCTCCACTGTCCCTGCGGCATGATCCTCCGCTTTCCTGAGGGGTTCTTGACCATCACAGCTGAGCCTACTTGTTCTTGATCCCCCACCACCAGCAGCAGTGGTTTGCTTGTCCGTTTCTGAAGTTGCGCATGGATCGCGCCTCATGGGGTTCACTGCCGGTTGTTCAGTGGGGGAAATCCCTCGTACCCCATTGTTGTTTTGCAATTCTGACTCCATGGGTTCGATACTGAGTGCAGAAAATTTGTTATAATTTGCATATGATGTACCTACAGAAGTATCATAAGTTTGACCAGTGAAAGATGAGCCCGTACCCTTGTCCATGAAGTCCTTGGCTGACAAAAGCAAATTGCTTATTCTTTCGCCGGCTCGTCTTTTACCTCCTCGACCCTTGTAGTGTTTGCTAACCCTTCTTCCTTCTCTGCCTCCACCAATAACTGTCTTAGTCTGGCCACGTTCACCTTCTTGCGTGGTGGCAGCTTCACCTTCTTCCACTTGGACTTGTCGGTGTCGCATTTGTTGTCACAGCTGAAGTGTCCTTCATGCCTGCATCGGAAGCACAGTTTCTTGGCCTTCAACTCATCGATCTCTATTGGCTGTCCCTGTCCACCGTACGTGGTACTGCTTGCGTCTCGCTTGTCACTGGAATTCCCAGAGCTGCTGGCTTTTTCTGACGACCCTTGGTTGCCTCGACCTGAGTTATTATTTGAGGAGGGCTTATTGGGGTTTCCCCCAGACTGGGCGATGTTGTACTGGTAGTTGGCATTGATATGTATCACCCATCATTTCCACTCGGCATAGGTCATGGGATGGTCATTGTCCCCATGCATGATGGTGTTTCAGGTGGTTGGGTGGATAGCCTTTTCTACCGTTTCGAACATCTGTTTTTTGTCTCTGAATTCGTCACACTGGATCGCCAATTCCTCAAAGCGAGCGAAAAACTCCACCACCGTTTTGCATTCCGACTGCTTGAGTTTCTGCCACTTCTGCTTCTTTATGGCCAACTCCGCCTCTTCCTGGAATCTCGTCTCTAACCGGTTTCGGTATTCGAACCAGTTCAGGTATCTCCAGTGTCCTCATACTGGGTCCCGATAGATGTGTTCCTGCTGGTCCCACCATTGCCTTGCCTCCCCAGAGAGGTATCCTTCCACGAATGCTACTTGATATGGGTTGTCGCCATGTTCGTTCATGGTGTAATATTGGGCAAACACCTTGAAGTATTTTTCGCACTGGTTGAAGTACTGCCTCATCGTGTCCGAGCTCCCATCCCACTCGTCGGGTACTTTGCACAACTTGGGCTTGATACTGTCGTAAATGTTCGCTGTGGCTTGGGTATGTAAATGTGACGGAGCGTCGGTGGCGGAGGCCCTGGTGGAAGTACAGCGGGGAGTGTGGGATTCAGGGGTTGTGGGATCGAGCATAGCACCCAATTGTGGTGTGGGCTCAGGTATCCTCCTGGCCAGTTATGCCATGGTACTGGTGGTGGTGCCGAGGGCAGGGTTTGCGATGGCTGCTTGGTTGCTGAGTTGCTCAGTTCTCCTTCAGCATACCCGTCATCAGCCCCCTGAGCTGCCGCTCGTACCGGCAGTACTATTGGCATGGGTGCTGGCCTTCTGTAAGGGGCACTGTACTCCTTCAGGTCCTCGGGATGGATCATGTTCCAAATGTTTGCCATCATGCAATACGTTTTGACCATGATAATATTTGTTGCTACTAATTGATTCCCAGCATGCCCTGCACTGCTGTAATCCATTCCTGCCTCCATCATCCTCCATCCCAGATCCATGCATAATCCATACACGAGTACATCAAATAGTTCGTCCCATGTGAGCCCCCATAGGAGCATTGAGACCATCGCAACCTTCCTATCCAAGACGAGATGCACCTCCTTGAGCACCTCCCTGTAGTATCCTCCTACGGGTGGCTTCGTCGGCATATTGTCCTGGATCCAGACGGGGGGCCGAGTAGATTGCTGCATATCTTCAGGCCTCATCGTTGTTGAGTACCGGTACTCCGGTCCAGTCGTAGGTTGCCATGCCTCTGAAGGCAGTGATGTCTTCAGGTTCGGAGATCCCGTACCTGATGCATATGAAGTTGGCACATGGGTGATGTGAATTGGAGACCCAGGTCGGGTTGGGTTCCGAATTGGGGATGGCAGTCCTGTCAAACTCATGTGGCCAGGTTCGTTCTTCATATTCCCTGATGCTCCTGCTGAGTGCTGCCACCTCTCTTCCAGCCTCCAGACAGGCCTTGACTTCTGGAGGGAGCCTGGCAGACTGTATGTCGAGTCCGGACTTGATGAGCACGAGGTGAACCCGGGTCCATGGTCGCTCGAATGGGATGACGGGGCTGGCGAGCACATGGGCCTCTGTGACTCATCGGTTCTCGGTGACAAAAGCTCTTTTGGGCTGTCCGTGGGTCGGGGAGTCTGGTCTAAGGGGGCCTCGATACGGTGGGTAAGCAGGGACCCCTTGAGAATGCCAAGGGTACTCAGGGAGGGGGAGGGGATCATTGTTGGCCTCGATCCAGTCCCAGATGGCTTGTCGCTGCTGGTCTTCAGGGAGGGGAGAACCATGGGGGGTGTAGGGCTCAGGGGAAGGGGCCTCGATGGTTTCCTGGGAGGTCCTGGAAACGATGGAGGTACTTCCGCTACTCGCGGCTCTTCCCTCATGGATTGGCCATCTGCCCATGCTTGGGCCATTGCCTGGTACCACTCTTCGTCCAGGGGAGAAGGCTCGAATTGTCGAGGAGGGTGCTGGGGATGGGGACCAAGGATGGTAAGATCCTCCATCTGAGTCTCCACCATCGTCGATTCCTGTCCGATTGAGTGCTTCCTCATATGCCTGGAGTGCTTCGAGGTAGAAGCTTCTGGTATGGGGGTCAGGGGTCGTTTCTGTGATCGATGACGGAACAAGGTCATCGATGCGTCCACCTTGTCGGATATACTCCACAAAATCCCTTTCTTCTTCTTCTCCTGGCTCTGCTGGGAGTGGGATGTTTGGATGGATAGGTGTGAATCCTGCGCTTGAGTGTTCTGATATGGGCTCCGTGATGTCAATGGATCCTGCTCGACTGGAGACTGGGGACGGGATTGGGGTGATGGGTCTGCCATCGTGTAATATCGGGAAGGGGGGGGCTATAGTGTTAGGGTACGGTTGTACGTAGTAGTATGGTACCGGTAAGTGTGTGATGGGGGGAACGGGTTGTACTGGAAGTCGTGCATGGTCTCTGCATTGGCAGCAAGAGAATACTCTGCCTATTGCATATAGCAGGGCACCTGCACAGAATAGCCTGAAGGCTGTTGCGATAGAAATGGTTTGGTGTTACGATTTATTCACTTTTTTCCTTTTTCTTTGTTTTACTCAGCCTGATTACTCATATGCGACCGTCACAGACAGTTTCTCACAGTACTATTATTAGCGTATCCAAGTGTATTTAAGTAGAGCCTCAGCTGGCCTAAAACCCAGCTTCGGCTAAGGTTTAATCTACCCAACATCGAACTCCGTGTTTCGTGTCTCCTTGTTCTCTATCGACTTGATACATCATCTTTGACTTGCTAGAGTATCGACCACCGAAGTGTGAGTGGTGATCCTAGTTCGATCTAAGTCGATTAAAGTTGGTTGATAACATTTAGCCGAAGCTCGTCTTCAGTTGCCCAGCAATTGTATGCTGCCCAACATTTATCCCATCATCGTAATCGCTGCAGTGACCATCTGGGTCCTGCCCCTCCTGTTACCGGATCCGCTGATCTTAGCATTAACGGAGGTCGGAACCATCATCATTATCCTGAGGACTTACGTCTCGGCTCCAATCCTTGCAGCCGTCCTCGTAACCCTCTTCATAGGAATCATCCACTACTAAATCATTCACCCTGGAGCCAGTTATCGTCATCATACGAATAGTCGCTATTTCAGCGATCATTGTGCTGCTTACAACTAGCGAACTCTATCTGGTCCTAACCATCGCATGGTTAATCGTAACCGTCGGACTCTTCGAAGAATAAACCCACGCGTAGATGCCCTTATCAGACGCCATTCCCATAATCTCCACCATTTTTATACTCTTTTTCTTGTCCATTTCTTTATACCAGATACGCCGGTGTTGCTGCCAGCAAAGGCGAATCAGGTCGCAGCTCCCGTTCCATTATGTTCCAACCACTCCGGCATACCTGCCTCAGGTGATCGACATCCCTGCAGCCTCACAACAAACTCTGCATGATGGACGACCCATCACACCCAGAGGACCTGGAGAGTCCCTCTACGCCTCGTCGCGATCCAACTCGGGATCCTCAGAGTTGAGCACCGACTCCTACAGAAGCGCTACTGCCGAGTCAGTCGACATCACCAATACCCGGGGCGTACTCTACGAGCGAGGAGACTCGCCAGTACCAGGAATCTTCCATCAGCCTACAGTCCGCCGCGAGTCAAGCGACGACGAGTCAGGAGAAGAAGGAGGGAGCATGGAGTCGAGCGAAGAAGGCGCTCTCAATCTCTGGGACGAAGAAGGATGCAGGCTCCGCAACTTCCTTGAGAACGATGGGGGGCCAGACGAAGAAGACTCTGACCCCGATCCTGGAGATGAGTGGGCGGTTAGGGAAGTCCAAGGAGGACTCCCAGCAGAGGAAGCAAGGGAAAGAAGGAGATACGAGAAGAGCCGAGCAAACAGGGACGACTTTGATGAAGATTCCGGAGAGCTTGGCCTTGGGGCCTCCGCCACAACTACCTCCCATACAGATGGAGCAAGGGCCCATGGACCTAATTGGCCAGCCAACCGGGGAGTACCAGTCGCCTGGCATCCCCGCACAAGTTGGGTCTATGCCGACCCAGGGGAAGAAGCTCCTGTGGCCAGAATTCTGGCCGCAAGGACCATCCCAGTCTCCCTGGTCACAGGGACCAACACAACCACCACCGTCATCCCCAGGCCTGAATCGGAGGATCAGCAGCTCTGGGCCGAGTTCCCAGATTACGACCCCGAGGAACTTAGAACAGTTGCCGGCACCGGAGAACTCCCCAGAGTCCCCAATTTTACCCCATCGGTTGCGTCTTGAGCCTTTGCGGAACCCGTCCCCCGCTACCAGTGTCCATGGATGCTCCTTTATCACACGCTCGTCGAGTCCCTCGAACTCTCTCGAGATGCCCGGCTCGCCCCAGAAGTTCAGGCCCGAATGGACAGAGCAAGAGCGAACGACACACACATCCGACAAGCTGAAATCAACACCCTCCATGGGCCCAACGCACTCTGGGATCTCCCCCTCGAACCCGATGCAACCCCTGCCGAAGTCGAGTTCAGAATTCGAACCACTGCCCTTCGATACTCCGGCGCAGCCCAGCGAGCAGGAACAGACCTTGAGGCATGAAGGAGAGCCTGGAACTCCTACCAGGCTGAGATCAGTGACGAGGACTCCGACATTGGACATTGGAGAAGGAACCGAGAGATCGACTGAATCACCCGAGAGAGGAAGGAAAGGGAGGATGCCGAGCAGGCCACCAAATCAATCCATCGAGAAAAGGGTGATGGAGGCAGCTCGGACCATGATCATTAGTGCCGGAGCATCGGTACCAGCCATCTTCAACCTCCTCCCTTGGGAGGGGTTGTATGAGATCATGATGGAGGACATGGAGAAGGACCCACAGTGGCTCCTTACCGATGCAGGAGCAGATTACCGGAGCGCCAAGTACAGCGGTGACGTCTATTTGATGAAGAACATCTTAGAGGTGGAGACGTGGCACTGAGCAACGATAGTGTGGAATCTCACTCATCCAGACCATCTACGGCAGGGGTGTGAAGCCTACCGATGCCCTCAACCGATGCCCCACCCCCTGGAGACCTTCACGTTCGGCGCAGGAGCCGGAGGGGGGGATGACGGATACGCCGGAGAGGATAACGACGATGGGTGGGCCGACGCAGGAGCAGGACCCTCCAAAAAGGGAAAGGAGTCCATGGTACCGTCACGACCGCCTCAAGGGCCACCAAAGCCCCCGGCTCCGCCCTCGTATCCGGGTGGGTACCCGTCACCAGGGGAGAACCCGCATTTGCGCTCTCTCCCTCGGCTGCCTAACCCCCCAGTCCCACCGGTCCCACCATCGCCCCCCGAACCTATTCCTCCTTGGCAGCTGGCCCCCGGAGCCGTAAATAACCCCTGGAACGATGTAAAACCCAAATTAGTCACGCAGCCCGAATACTTTACCGGGGTATCCTCCGACATCAACCGCTTCCTTCACCACTGCGAGGTGTACTTCCAGGTCTTCCCAATGTATTACACAATGAATCAGGAGGGGCAAAACCCCTACCGTATCACGTTCGCGCAAGGATACCTACGAGGGGAAGCACAGCAGTGGTGGGGCGACCAATACTATTGATACAGGGATCCGTCGGGACATTGGAGGTTCCCGATGTGGCAAGAATTCTCGCACGACTTAACCGTCCAATTCCATGAAGTGGCCGAACTGACCATCTGGAAGCAGGAATGGAAGAAGGTCCGACAGTCCGACTTCAAATCAGCGATAGAGTTCTTCGTGAAGTTTGAAAGGCTGGCCCACAAGTGCGAGGAATTCAGAGATGAGAAGCAGATGTTCGAAGCCATAGAAGCTGCCATACGACCCACGGTTCGAAATACGGTCATGCATGGGGACAACAAGCGCCTCACGACCTATGCGGAATGGAAGGCGCGAGTCTTGAGAATCGACGCGAACTACTGATACAACGCCACCCAAGGGTTGGGCAGTAAGTCCTCCTCGAACCAAGGAGCTGGTTCGGGTCGAGGCAATCAGTCATCGCAGAAGGGGGGGGGGACAGGGTTCTGGTGGCGATAAGAAGGACGCCATGGGAACTACCTATGGGGGTGCCGGGCAGCCGATGGAAATCGATAAGCTGCGAAGCGATAAGCGGTGCTTCAAGTGCGGGAATACCGGATGGAGCCGGGACCATAAATGTCCGATGGACAAATCAAAATGGCTCCCCGTCAAACTCCCACCTCGCAAAAAGATCCCCACTCAATGGCTCCATCAACTACTCGCAGAGGCTGAGAAGGAAGAGAATGGAAAGGACACGAAGATCGAGGAGGTCAAGGAGGAGAAGTCATCAAAAGACGAGCCAGCATCAAAATAAGCGATTCGACGGCATCGGCAAAGGACTTAGTTTCATCTGGTGCGCGCTCCTGTACTACTAGCCAGACTTATACTACGTATGTAGGTACCCCGTACGAACAATATCATAACATTTTCGCTGCGTTACCCGTAGAAGGAACTAAGAAAGAAGAATCGCGAAACGCTCATGGCGTAGGAGGGGATTTCCGCCGCTCCACGCAGCCTGCATCCAGCAATGAACCTCTAGGGGCTGTCCGACCTCCGGAACCCCCGCTTGACCGTATGGGGGAAGTTCTGGAGAACCCAGCGAGTGCCTCAGGTCAAGACAAGATGAACGCCAGACGTGGCTGTAGTCGCCCCGGCAGGGAGAATCGGCTGACAACCCCGACTGACGGGCCTTCACTTGTTGTTCCTCCAGTCAGCGGTGGAAAAGCAGCTGAGGCCAGGAACCAAGGGGACCACCTACACTCAGTAGTGGCCTCATCTGCAAATGGTGCCGACCCCCTTGGGGAGCCAATATGTGTGCGTCCACCTAGGGTTACCGAAAGTACCGCCGGGTACAGGAAGGAGGATAAGTATGGATCCAACGGGGAGGTTACAACGCCACGCACAAGTGCCCCAGGCCAGGGCCGAACACAGGGCAGTGAGCCCTCCTCCCCCAACTCGTCGGAAGGTGACCAAGTGCCGCCGAGGGGCCCTCTTCAGCCCGGTGACCAAATGCCACCTCGAGGCAAGAAAACTCCCGTTTCGTTAGAAGAAGTCGAAGATGAAGAAGCCCACCTACGGTCCGACATACCGATTACACCACCCAAGGGGACGTCTCGTGTGACCCCGGAACCCGAGCTAGCACCTGAGGCAAAAAGGGCGGTCCTCGATATGTACTATGAGCCCTTTGGAGTGCACTGGACTCGCCACGTGTTACGCCTCGCCAGGGATGAACCCATGGCATTTTCCACCTTGAAACGGTGGGTGCACCCTCGAAGGACCGGAGAAGTGACCGTTAAGCTGTGGGATATGCTCAAAGAAC